TAATCAGTCAGCAGATTTTATCTAGCCCATGTCAAATTATTACATATGGAACAATAAAACCTGCCCAAGTGTATGATGTGGCATGGGAACAAAATTTTTCTGAAAACAATTATGCATGCAACTTAAAATTTTAGCATACAATACTGAACTGATTTTGCAAACACCTCTCATACTTCGCAGACTGGCCTAGGTAAAAAGTTTCACACTAGCTTCCACATGCCCAGTAAATTCTACAGCCACTCTAAATTAGGCCATTGACACAAAGCAGCTTCTCAAAGCATTGTGCGCTTTTAACTTTAACAACATATAAATATTACACTAGAGGCACAGTTACGTTTTATCTGTTATCACTTTTTGTCAAAATGAAAAACCTTTGCACTACAAGCCTCACACAGATGTCAAATAGGTGGAGAACAGCAAAGTCAGGTGAATTGGACTCAGTTAAAATGGACTCAGGCAATTTAATGATAGCTTTTTCCCATCAATGTGATAAAACATTATTTCTAGACACTGCTTTATATAAGTTAATTATTTTGTTTCAGTCGCTACCATCTTGAGGAAAAACCCTAAAAGAGTTTGCTTACATATTGAGAAGATTATTTTTTTTGACAAATAAAAGGATTAAAGGCCGAAAACCTTGAAGAAAAAATTTGATAAAAATATTTCCATGAAAACTGCTTTTGAAATTTGTAAACAAACTTCTCTAACAACAGATTTGCAACTAAATTCCAAACTGTATGGATACGTTCGTGAGGGGATTGTACCAAGAAGATACGATATATTTGTTAAACATAGGAAGAGAATGTAATTTGTTAAACTAATCTATTAAACATAGGAGTACAATGTAATGCTATTTTGAGCCACAATTCCTATATTTTCATTCCATTTCAAAACCAACGGCCTATCACTGTATATCTTTCTATGGAAATTACAAATTTTCTTTAGATTATACATTTGCGTAAACCTTACCTCATAAATCTTATCGTAAACCTTGTTAAAAAAATAGTTGAAGACTTCTTTGCCTAGCTAGTTTAAAAATGTATTTTATCGTAGTATAATTTGTATCTCCTGATAATGTAGGTAAGTTCATGTATTTGCATTCATAGATTTATTTAGATATATTTGCTGAATAATGGTTATATTATGATCAAGAAAATGGCGTTGCGCGACATCACGCAGATAAAAAAGCAGTGATCTCGTGTTAAAACGTGAGCTTCCATGATAGAACAATAATTACACTACGATATATTTTTTCGGCTTAAGGGTATTTTTCAGAATTTCTGATGGTAAAGAAATAAATCCAAGGCCATCTTGATGACAGAAATAGCACTTGATAGGCATTAGGCCCACGCGCAAAGACCTCTCATAACATTTTCTCTCAAGTCAATCCATAAATCATCCCGATTTTGAAAATCAATCATTTTAACCCTGAACGCAGCTTACCATTTTAGGAATTGAGGCAAGAGAACTTCCAATAAACAAACTTTCCAATAATTCTTTTAAAACTTCAATCAACACACCGACATCTTCCTTTGAACGGCGCGAATATTCGAAAAGCAACAGCAATAACAGAAGTCCCTAAAAAGTCCAAAGGCAACAAAAATGGTAGACGTGTCTCACATCCATTGAAATTCCAGTTTTACTGTCCAAAAAGAAATTTCCTTACTCCTGATTGCTTGAGCAAAGAACCCTTCAACAAAACTCTTTTTACTCGCTTAAGCAAATGCAGTCTAGGATACAGGACAAGATCCCAGTAAAAACTACGAAACAAGTAAAGTAATTTGCTGTATATCATCACAAGTAAAAATTTATTTGTATAGAACGGGGTAAAGCACGGGATGATAAAAAGCAGTGGATACTATGTAATTAAATATTGTTCTTTGGATTATTTCGAAATCTGAACAATCAGGTTTTATTGAACTTCATTGTTTGTAGTGTGCAGCATTCTTAAAAGGGCCCGCGCCAAGAAGTGGAGGGACCAGCAATGTGAAGAAACTTCCCTCTTACCCTCTCTACCAGGCACCCCTAATTTTTGCAAAAAAAATTCAAATATTAAGTTTTTAAAATTCCAAATATTAAGCCCCTACTTCTTGCTCCTCAAAACTCAGGGCCCTTAAATGTCGTGCTCACGCGTACACCTTTCTGCAGTTATGTACAAACAACCTTGAAATTTAAAACGAAGCATTTTTCAATTTACTTTTAAAAATTAGTATAATACTATCGTTTAAGTTTATCTTTGGGTCTTTCAGCTCTAACAAAAAATCAAAATAAGGATAGTGTCAATGAATTGGGTAGTTCTGTTCAAGAGAGAAAATCTCGCAAAATGATACATTTCTACTCTTCTTCTTATCTTATGGTTACTCTTAAAATTGGCTAAAGTAAGCTTTTTAACGACGCTTCAGCTTTTCAATAATTGTCTTGGCTTTATAACGGTACTTAAGACTCTTAGTGTCCTCTTTTAATTTTACCAAACCTATCAACGCACTCAAAAAGAAATCCTGCTTTGGCCTACCAACACCACATTGTTTTTCCTAGCTATAGCCCTGTAAATTTCTTGCCTAAATCAATCGTCCTTGTCAACTTATACCCAGAACTACCAACTCTGATGTCATTTTTCGTGTGTCACACCTGGTCTTGAACTCTCACAAATCTGAGCTCTTTTTACACTTTTTTCAAAATTTGTTGTCGTCTTTATCTAGAAAAAAGCATTTGCGTAACTTCCAATAAAAATCTGATTCGCAAACCATAGCCAACGTGGGAACCTAAATCATCAGAGGACGCTTATCAGCAGTTTTTCTCTGTTTCATACGTAAATTTGGTGTTAGGATGTTGGCACTTTAAATACTTCAAGAAACTGCTAATACTATAGGTATTATCAAAAACACAATCCTCTGCCTATCAATGATATAATAGATTTTAAGATCGAAAGGGCAATTACAAAGGAAATTTTGCTCTAGGATGAACACTTAACACCCAATTTTTAAAACGCCGAGTGCTGAAAGTTTCTTGATTTCATACGACCTGAGTATTCAGTAGTTCTGAGTTTCTTAGATGACTATCAAAGCAGAAAACGATACCAACGCAGCAAATAGAAAATTCTGAAGAGAAAGATGAAGTGGTGGCTGGCTGAACCATGATTGGTTACAAAAAGTTGTTCTTTATGATAGCACTTTCATATTTAAGAATACCATCGCCATTCTTTCCAAAATCTGAAACAGAAAAGTCTTATAGCTTGAACAAGCAGCGAGAGCTTCTTAACTGTTCAGTACCCCAAATCCAGCCTATTATCTTCAGTGAGGGTAGGATTCCCAGGAGAACCTATAGCTTAATCATCTATCTGATCATAATGTTTTTCTTTGACGTGACACTTCCATTTCCTTTCTCAAGTTTGTAAATTTCTATCGGTTGAATATTAAACTATAGACTTCTGACCTCCGTAGTATAGATCTGTATATCTTTAGCTTAACAAAAAAGCAAAAATTCTGTAAGATTAATTGATGAACCTAAGAATGACAGGTCTGGGGTACAAAAGAACATTTTGACGGGGAAGGTCTTTGCTGCATGACTAGCATTAAACGGCAATCTTACAGTACTCAGACGGTACTGACTTGCTCAAAACATCAGATTATTTTTGTATTTTCTTTCCCTTTTGGATCAAAGACTCTCAATTCACCCCTTACGAGAAAAAGCGAGCTAATCGATCTCTGCAAATTAAGCAATGTTTTGTAGCACTTCCGTAACATCTAATAATAAAACGATTTTCGCAGAGCAGATGCTCGAGTCACATGATGGTTGATATTTCCTAAATTTTGGCTTAGAATTTCTACAGGTTTTCTTGGCCATGTAAGTTGGCAGAGATTGAATCCTTTCTAGCAGCGGGAACATATGCTTTTTTAAGGAAAAGTTTCTAGACAAGAAAATGTACTAATTGATCATCTATAAAAACTGTAATTATCAATGAGTTCGACCCTCATCCATGGGCAGACAATAAAAAAATATATACATGTGTTCAATTTTTTTCATCAAGGCACGGCATGACCTTATATCACAAAGACTGAAAATCATCAAATCTTCTATTTCAGCCCAGGAAGAGCCTATGTATGGCTGCTTTATAGGGAATTGATCAGCAAAAGCGTAAATGAATTTGGCATCGCAAAATGAGTTGCTGAAATGAAACTGTATTAACCATAAATAAACTCACAATTTTATGAGGCGAATTCTCACTTGCATTATAATAATAAGGTCACCAAAAAGAGAGTCTCCAGCTGTATTCAGTATTCTGTCTGATGGAATTCTTGAAGACTTCTTGTGCGTGGAATCAGCTTGTGTCTTTCATTGGTTGCAAAATTCGTCGAGAATCATAAGAACTGAAGTATTTGTCAGCCATTTCAAATGCAAGGTTGTAGAATAATGCAACGTAAGCGGAGGGGCCAATCAGTCCCATTGCTCCCAAAGAGGTAAACGATTTTTGGCTTCCATGAACAAGTTGAGTGTTACTTAATGGCATAAATACACATTTGACGTCTTGAATTGTGAGTGCCAAGCGCGGTGACACAGCGTATTCTGGCCTAAATCCCATTTCATGACAATATGAGACGTATATTGTTGAAGCATATCTACCAACGTAAAGCACTGGGCCGTAGGGTTTGGCATTCTTTAATAATGATCTAAAATCTTTCCAAATCCAGCTTTCTGTTACCAAGAAAAGTGACGATAGCGCCTCGATTTTATTCAATACCAGTCAATCAGGCAATCCAGTGAGAGATAATGAGTACAATTTTGGTTCATGACAGGCCTCTAGTGAAAATGGTTTGGAACTTTCTTCAGTTAGTCTGTTTTTGTATCAAAATACACAGCAGGTTTCTGATAATAACTTTTAGAGGAAAATCTTCGTGAAAATACTAGAAGATTTCTCTTGTAAGAGCTGTCAAAATCTTTTGGTACTTTGAGAAGCAACATTCAGACAAGGCAGTTCATTTTCGACCAAAAAAAACTTCGTATGATAGAGTAGACGATTCTTAGAAAGATGATCTATACATCAATGACGTTTTTCTCCAAAAAACAATTTAGTTAAAAACAAATTCATCGACTCTCTTAAAAGCAATCAAGATTTGAAATGAAAACGAGGTAAACTGATAAAGAGGATTGATTTTCTGATGACTGCAGCAGGATCCCAACAGACCAACAATGAGAGAACGGTGAAAATCATGCATATTTGCAAATAAAACGGATAAATACTTTGCTCACCAAGTGTTTAACACAGGCTGGGTTTGATAAAAAACTTCGTATACAAAGAAACAATAAAATTAAGGACATGAAAATCCTTTGAATGGGGTTACCAAACATTTTCGAGCAAGAATCTTACATTAAAAGCATGGGTTACCAAGTTTTAGCAAGAATTTTTCGACTTTGGTCACATTATTACCATAAGATGAGACACTTAAATGCTTTTCCACAATAAGCCTGTGTGCATGAACATGCCAGTAGATCGTGTTTGACTCTAACCTAAGTTGAACCAAAGTTGAACACGAGTTGAACCATGAAAATTTATAGTCCAGGAATTATGCTTAGCCACTGTTATCTAATAGCAACTGCCGCTGAAGATCATCTTCACAGACGATTATATTTGATAAAGCAAACGCTTGATTGCCTTATAAAGCAAACTGTTTCTAAGTGACACTTAGATATGAATCCAATTGACATTGCATAATTTGATGTACTCGATTGGTATAAGTACAAGCAGCTAGGCGAAAGTTTGTGTCGAGATGTTTCATTAGTTCAGCAGCACAGCTTAGGCACTTTCTACACATTGGCCCGTCTAATGCGGGTTATTTCACTCTCTCAATTTTGGCTTGATCTTGTGAAATGGCCGACATAAATATGGTAGATGTCAGAGAAAAATGATAATTCAAACGTAAATATGAGCCTAAACCTGCTTGCTGGCATGAATTCCACATTTATGTTGCTGTAAAATTTGACTTTCCTTTCGTAAAAAGTGGATGTACTTCAATACTCGAAACACTATAAACGCCACAGCGCAAGACATGCTACTTTACTAGCTGATTAGATTGACGGTGAAATTAAAAAAGTATGAAATATCGTAAAGACTTAAGTGAATGCTCAAAGCTTGAAGGTGATATAATGTTTCATGAGGATCTTTTTTAGTTCATTTGTGTCAGGCCTACGCTCAATGTGTCGATATATTTGCTACAAGAACAAACTTTGAAAAAGGGCTGCCAAAAAATGAAATAAACATCAAAAGGGCCACCACAAAGAGGACTTCAACAAAATTAAGGGGCAGTTGACAACTTAAGAATAACGGACTATCGAAGGCATTTTAAATGCTGGATACTTGATAATACTTATATTAAGAGTCAACTCGAAGTTGTAGAATAATGGCCTTCCAAGTGTCAATTCGAATATGCTTATACCAGTTCACCAGAAAACGAAACCGCACTCGTTATGTTCAAGGGAGACTGCAGAAGTGGCTATGGTATCATATTGACGGTAACACAGGGAAGCTGTTTGCTAGGAATTTAATTGCGGAATGGAAACTAGTTTCGACATAGTAACGCCATAATAAGGTAGTAACTGCTTTTTTGCGACACACGAACTTAGCTCGTTCCTTTCACAATGCTGAACCTAGCTCAGGTTAAAAGAGGCCAACTTGGTAACACCACATACAAGAGTTTTTTGGTGACGGTAATGGGATCCTGCTGCAGAAAATGAGGCAATTAGCGATATTTTACGGTCTTGTATCGTAATGTTTCATCTCGACCTGACAAATCCTTTCCAACATAAAACACAAAAGTACTGGAATGATCATAACAATTGTTCAAAGGGACCTTAGGCCCTGCATAGGTCAGTTCCAGGCACCCTGTTGATTTTGTAATATAGAACAAAGTCTGAATAAGGCAAGTGTTCGTTTCCCGCACTTAGCGTTCGTTTCCCGCACTTAGCGTTCGTTTCCCGCACTTAGCGTTCGTTTCTCGCGCATAGTGTGTTCGAACAAGAAGAGAATAGTTTCGAAGTAGAATCTTTCACAGCTGTTAAAATCTTTACTTGCAATTCTCCAGCAACCTTGAAAAAAGATTTGATATTTCGAAAGATTGATTAATCATCAAGTATTAAAGTTGATAGGTTGGAAATTAATATAAACTGTAAATTCCTGTTTTTTTTCATGGCTTTTGTCATTCTACTCTGAAATTTCAAGCTTTAAATTGAAATTTTCTATTTGCTTTAAAAAAATATTTATAAATTTGTCATGGCTTCTAGGTTAATTCTTTGCATTGATTTGCCAAAACTGCTTTATTCAAGAGACCAAATTTTCTTCAAGTAAATTAGAATCGATATAGGAAATTTTTTGTCAAAATTCATTTCAGAAATCTACTTAAAATTCAATATTTTCAATCTTCTGGTTTTTCGAGGGAAATTCAAAATATTTTTAAGATGTCAATAAACGTAACTCAAAGAAACAATTCTAACTTATATAATGCTAAACAAATTTTGAAAATTAATAACTTTGCAAGCAATATTTTGTTTCAACAGCACAGAAAATATCTTTAAGGTCGGTTAAGAAAAATTCTTTCGTAAACATTGTGGTTAATGTTTTGGACACCACTATTTTGACATAAATTGAATATAATATTATCTTTGCTCTTATATACTCAAATTCAAATCGACGTTTGATTATTTTTTTGTCAAAATATACTGGATGACCTTTGGCATTTTTCTCAACATTGTGTTACATGTTTCAAATCATTTAATGCTGTTTGTTTCAAATGACTTATATATGGTTTCTATGATAAACAGCTTTTCCTGAAAATAAAACAGGACAAAGATCAAAGGAAAAATATATATATATATATATAAGTCAAAAGGTAAAGGATAAATGTTACAGGTTAGAGTAGCACACAAACAAATTTCTTTACCTTTGATAGGTAATAATAATTTTCCTTGACTTTGGTCGAAAAGGGAGAAAGAGGGAAATCTAAGGATATTACATTGAATGCTGCAAAACCTGCTGCCAATAAAGCAAAGTTTTGTAAATGGAAAATGCAAACGTAGCAGATTGAATAGGAGGTTTTTTCAACGCCAGCTTTTGTTATGTTGCAAATATATGATCTCAGGTTGTATATGAACTGATTGAAAATTAGTGTTTGTCCCTTTAACTTGTGCCTTTAAATGGTTGGGGTTTAAGCGTCGATTTAATCATAAGAAACAAAAAAGTTCACCTTTTAAAAAGGAAAAATGCAGCTATAGCTTTTTAAGTGTGCAAATAAAAATGTTGGCTAGAATTTACTGAATCATGGACGACAAAGCCCATAAAAACAAAACGCCAAGAAGTCCTGGACGTGCTTAGTTATTTAGGGTAAAACGTCAAATCCAAATAATTTTTCTTGACTTATTTTCAATGAAAATTATGGGCTTCAGGTAATTTTGTTTGTTGGTAAGGTTCACTCACTTTCAATAAAACTGAACCTTGGGTTATACCACTGATTTTTCTGGTGGTTCGAATTTTCAATCAGAAGAACAAAGAACTGGTGTTATGCTCTCAGAACAATGCTCTCTTGGTAGATAGTTTGTTATTAAAACAATAGTTGTATGGGTCAGGTTCAAGGAAATCTTGAAAATTTCATCTAATTGACAACAATTTATTAGATCAGATTAATATCTTTCTTTCCATTTTAAAAAAAATCAATAAAGGTTTTTCAGTGAGTGACATTAAATTAAGAATTTCGCTTTTTGGGCAATAGTAAGAATTTGTACTTTCATGAGACGATTTTAGAAATATTGAGAACTTTGTGATTGACATCCAAAAACTGATTTACGCAGTGTCACAGGTCACAAAACTTAAACTTATCATGCAAGTAGCATTTGCAACTGGAAAACACAATTAACTATAAAAAGCAACATATAATGACATAAAAACAAAATAACAAAATATAACCATCGGTTATGGTTGCCAATTATTGATAGTTTACAGTAACTACCATTAATTAACCTTGGTAACCACCAATAACAACCCATAACTACAAAAAACAATCAATAACCACGAGTAGCTAAAACCCTCTTACAAGTGCCCTAGTATCAATGGGGGTGATCTTCCAAAGTCAATGGGGGTGATTTTCCAAAAACATGGTGTTGGAATTATATTAAAAGATTTGCAACACCCCCAAACAAGTAATCTGATGAATCAATATATCCCGGAGCGAAATATCTGTTAAAGTCTTGTGTTTTGTGCAGTATCAGGCTATCATTTATTGTTATTCCCAAATTTTGTTTCTCTCAATCAAAAACACTTCGCCTAGGTTGTTACAAATTTATTTGGACCCTTCTAGAACACTGTTACCAACTTACATTCAGAAATCAGCTAACGATTATGGTTCTTTAGACTGACAAACGAACAATTATTATCTATTAAAATATCAACGGTATCACAAAATGGAAACACTGTTTAATTGGACTCTTTGCGTATGTACACTGTGAAACAACTCTTCTCTTCTTTTCAATAACTTTTGTCATACAACACGAGACATCCAGACCCCACAGCATTGATACTGCCCAGTTTTGAGCTCGTATTAAAAAAACTGGAAATTTTGGGCTTACTTAGAATTTACATATCTGAAAATGTTGACCTCACTGGTAACAACCGTATAAAAGACTTATGGAAAGGTTCAAGATTTTTGTTGTTTCTAAATGAAGGTGAGTTCCTTTTATATTTTATTTCAAAGTTCCGTTTAAATTTTGAAACCTATTGGTTTTTTTAATTTTGACCTTAAATTTTTTATTTCGCAGTATTTAGTAGAAAGGTCATTTTAAAGCATTGCTCATAAGTTCATAACTTGATTTACACATAAAAAGGAATATGTATATGCAACGTTTTGTTTCTTTCTTGAAATAGTTTGAAAACTGCTTATTCGCAATCCCAGTTTTAAAAGGTACAGACACGATAATTTGTTTAAAATATTCATTTAAATTCACTCATTTTTAAAGTATCTTGTGAATCCTTTGAAAAACCTGATGGTCTCGAAGATAAAAATGAGAGGCATGCTACAATGAAAGCAAAACGTGTCGTTTGATCTCGAGGACCTGTCTGTCGAGCCTATCTTTCGCCAATAAAATATCGACCCAACGTCTTAATCAGCCCTTGACTTTATGAAGCACGTATTTTTGCAATATTTACATACAATGACGCGACATTGTTGATGTACCTTGACCATTTATCTTTACAAGTTTAAGTCACGTAAAAATCTTGCAGGATTTTTAGTTCAAAACAGCTTTGAAGTTACCCCGAGACCGGAATCTAGCCTTTAAGGTGTGACCAGTTGCCGAAATATAAAATAGACACAACAGAAGGGTGAGCTTTGCTAAATCTAACAACAAGCCAGACTGAAAAAACCCCAAACACAAACAAAAACCTAGCACCATGAAAGCCTGAACAAAACGTCTGATTCAAAGACCGAATATTTGATCCTTGGAAACAAATTATCATTCTCTAAACAAAGGTTTATAATAAATATCTATTTATTTTTCTAAACTCAAAAATCAGGAAAACCATAAAAACAAAATAAAATGAACTAGAAGGAGTTTGTACCCTGGGATTAAGAACTGTGAACTTATCAAGCTGAAAAGTAGCAAAATCCAACTTATAACTTTTGGGTCGATGGTTAGAAAAGGTGTTTAGTGGCAAGATAGAAAGATTTGCACGTACAATAAAGTTTAAAAAAGTGTTACTTACCAAGTTTAAAATCTAGAAGCACCATATGAATAGCCAGCATCCCTGCTTTGAGTCTGCCCTGTGCTGGTACCATACGCTTGTTGATTGTCCCTTCCATATGAAGATTGAGGGGTTCCAGATTGGGGCTCAGCGCTTTCATACGGTTTCTGGCCAACTCCATACCCACCTGCGCTGTAGCTGCTCAATGGCTTCTTTTGTGGGCTTGATTCATATGAAGACAGGCCTGGTATCTGTGTTTTAGAACCATAGCTAGCGTATTCATCCTTGCTAGCCCCTCCAGCTGCCCCAAACCTGTCTTGTCCAGAGGACTGACTCGACATGTTTCCGGTTGGTCTTGAGCTATAACCAGATGAACCACTCTGGGCGCTCTGTGCCTGTCCTCCATATTGCCAAGATGAGTTGCTGGTCCCATATTGACTGGAACTTTGGTAGCCTTGACTTGTTGCTGCGCCAGTGGAGCTTGGCTGATAATAAGAATCTCCATACTGATTTGACCTGTCACCCTAATAAGAGAAGCTCAAAATTTAGGGGCTTGTAGGTGGAGAAAGGGTAGCATTTGTTTAGGGTTTCGGACACTCTCTGAAATTGGTTTGCAACTGCAAGAACCGTTGTGTGTGTAACTTTACTTTTAAGAATGAAGATAAGTTTATTAGAAACTCTTATTTGATGGATTCAATTTGATAGAAACTTTAAAGGCCATATGAAACAGATTTTTTATTGCTTACTAACGCTGTTTAGTTAATAGAAATAAGTCTAAGAAATCTTGATTCCAAATTTCACTAATATTTTTCTTCAAAAATGACATGTTCTACTGTATATACTGCAAAGACAGCGTTTAAAAACAAAATTAAGAACCCTACAGCTTTGAGAAAATTTATGACTGGCCCTTGCCAGTAGACTATTGCGAAAAAGATAGCTTCACAGAATATTTCACTTCGATAAATTACACTTGGTAATCGGAATTTTTTAATCCCTTTCCCCCTAACGTGGGTCGGTACACAATTATTTGAGGCCTTAAGCAAGACTGTAAACAAAGATAGCTACCGTCACGCCTTGAGACCCAGAGTAAGACTTCTGCGGTGATGCAGCGCTATATTGAGACGTGGTGTTATAGCTGGTACCAGCTTTTTGGTCTGACTGTGCTTGGTATGGGGACGTTTGGTAATCAATTCTTCGGTCATCATACGAGGCTGGCCTCTGTCCCGTAGGTGCAGACTGAGAGCTGTAGCCATAGCTACTACTGGATGCGGCATAACCTTGATCCCGACTCTGTCTGTCATATGCTGGAGCTTCTGGTCTGTATGACTGATCTTGGTAAGAGCCAGGGCCCCGTCTAGAAATGGAGATTTTAATAAATCAAGAGAATACAAATTAAACATTTATTTTTGCTTTTACTCATTAGCGATGACTAGAGAAATTAGCTCATAAAACCTAAGAAGGAATGTTGCTATACATTGATTCAAATTAAACGAAAGACATCAAGATGGGCAAAATCAAAATCCTTCAACAACCCAGAAGGTTTAAATTTGAATGAATTAAAAAAATTCCAGACTCAAACGTAATTCCACTATAAGTTTTTTGAACAAGAAAGATAAGAGCCGTCTATTGAAAAATCTAAAATAGACTGCCTTAGATTAAAAATATTGTTTAGCTTTTCAAATCCCCCTGACTATCGCCAATTCATTGTAAAACTGATTAAGAAACGATTTCTTCGAATATGAAAATACCGAATAGAAAGCTAACCAAATTTCTTCAAACTACCTTTGGTCAATGCTCTGGCCAGCTCCTACAGCCGATGTCTTGCTTATTTGATCAGACCCCTGCGTGGCAGCACCTGTTCTATAGTTTGTTTCCGGCTCATACTTCGTTTGAGAAGAAGGGTAGTACGCGCTTGATTGATCAGAAACAGGCTTTGTGCTACCATCTGATGAGTAACCTCTTACCGGCCCGGTGCTGTACCCATCAACTTTGGAATACTGCGAGTAACCACTATCAGAGTATCCATAGCCTCTTTGGTAGTCAGAATAACGACCACGTTTGGAATCGTCTATTGGATCATCAGCAGACTCTCTTTTTGTACCACTGGAAGTGTACTGACTAGGCGGTCCACCTATGTCAGGAACTCTTGAATCTGTACCATATGGATCCTTTGCATAGCCTCTTGCTGATCCTTGTTCATACGTGTCCCGTGAACCTTCTGTGCTGTATCCTACATACTGGTCTGAAGACCTGACACTTGTTGTTCTGCCATCACCATATCTTCCTACTGGAGTTGATGCTTGACTTTGATCATATTGGGATGACGCATACTGACTTGACTCTATGCCACCTCGTGCTGCTCTTTGGTCTGTTCTATAATCTCCATAACCTGAAGACTGATTTCCATGATGATAATCCCTTTTCAACTGGTTATCATTGTAGGCAGAAGCAACATCTGCTTTGACTGGCACTGTGGTGTCAGAAGCCCTGGGAGGAATAGGATCACGCCTGCTGTAGACATCTCTTGAATATCCTGGATCCTCTGGTCTGTAGCCTTGGTCTCTGCTTGACTGATAGCTGTCCCTAAACCGATCAGGATAATCTGAATAACCACCACCTCTACCGCTGTCTGATGGTCGGCTTGATGACATATCTCGGCCAGAACTATTACCTCTTTCACTACCTATCTCACGAGGAACACCTCTGCTCATTTCAGCTCGCCGTTCTCTGTCCGACTCTGGATATCTACTGCCGTCTGAACCTCTACCGAGCTCTCGTCTTTCACTTGATGATGCCCTTTCCACTGGATATCTTTCATAACCACTTCCACGTCTATCGTAACCATCCCTATCAGAATAATTCTTTGATGAATACTGATCATCTCCCCTACCATAATCTCTACTATCTTGATATCCTCTTTTCTCATCCCGAAAACCTCTATACCCCTCATCACCAGGGCCCCTCTTATAGGGTGGTTCGTCTCTTCTGTATTCGTCTCTTGGTCTCTCTGGCCTACGGCTTTCTAATTCTTGATCTCCTTCTGAATGCTGCCTCTTTCTGCTGCTCGATATATCACCACTACTCAAAGCATCTTTTCTTCCATATGATGGTGATGGATCTCTGGGACTACTTTGCTGGGAATAACGGTCAATTGGACTGTCACGTGATCCGAACCCTGAAAGAAATCATACTAAATCAACCACAAATGAATAACAAACCTTCAAGGTTGAAGAAACGTCATTGGGCTCTGATAGCTTTTCTTTACATTACTGCTCAATAGACAAACGAACAACTTCTAGCTAACTGCAGATCAAAATTTCACACCAACCTGAATCAATTATCAATGTTTTGGACCACACTTTCATGTTTTTTCTACACAATTTGAAATGAGAGCCTGATATCCTCTCTAAGAAGACTGACTGCAACAATAGCAAGAGCCTTCTCATAAAAGAGCTGCCAGGAAGGAGCAATATGTTTTAAAAGATTATCAAAGTACAAAAATGTACTTCCAGTGCGCAATTCGCAGAAACCTACCTCTTGGTGGTGGCATTGTGATTTTTCCATCTCTGCCTATGGGTCTTTCAAGACTTTGGGCTGGTCTTTTTGAACCATCTGCATTTTCTAAGCCTCGCGGTGGTGCATCATTACTCCTTAAGCCACCAGAAGTTGTAGATGATCCACGGGCTACTGGACTTCCTCTTTGAACAGCACTGCCAGCAACTCCACCCTGACTAGATGGACTTCCACGGCTAGCAGAATCATCAAAACTCCCTGGGCTGGATTGCAATATGTTCGGTGTCGGCAAAAGCCCTTTTCCACCTCCAATATCCTTTGGCTCAGAGGAACCTGGCAATCCCCTTCCAACTGGGGGTGCACCTCTGTTTGCTGGTGCTCCTCTATTAACGGAACCATGGGTTGGTGGTGCTCCCCTTAAACCTGGGGCTCCTCTGCCAGGAGGCATACCCCTACCAGGAGGCATACCCCTGCCAGGAGGCATACCTCTGCCAGGAGGCATACCCCTGCCAGGAGGCATACCCCTTCCTGGTGGTGTACCTCTGCCTACCGGTAAACCCCTACCCCTGAATCCACTTCTGCTTGTTTGTTCATCATTACGGACAGTTGAATCTGATGCAGAATATCTTCTATCTGACGAAGTTCCACCTAATTTTGCGTTATCTTGTGGCATTCCTCTGCCATGTGCTGAACCTCTGGGCGATGGGAAACCTCTAGATACAGGTGACCCTCTTGTCCCAGCGGCCCCTCTAATTGGTGGTGCACCTCTGATTGCTGATGTGCCTCCACTTGTAGGACCACCTCTAGGTGATGGGCCACCTCTAGATGATGGGCTACCTCTAATTGATGGGGACCCTCTTGGTGATGGATTGCCTCTACCAGCTGGAGCTCCTCTGGCAGCCGGCAGAACACCTCTTGTGGCAGGTGCACCCCTAGAATATGGGGAGCCTCTTGTAGCTGGAACGCCCCTAGTGGATGGGGAGCCTCTGGTTGCAGGTCCACCCTTTGTTGCTGGAACACCTCTTGTAGATGAAGTGCCTAAAAATAATTTTCAATTTTAAAGATATCTACCTTGAAAACTCCATACAGATGACGAGTGTATCCTGCTGGTGCTTTTCGCAAGTAAAATGCTTGGAATTAACCTAATGATAACTTTGATGATGAAACAAATAATCGGCTTATTGATTTCAAATTCAAAAATAAATTTGCGCTATTTATGATATAAAGCAATTTATCAGCATTGTTAGCAAATTACCAAAATTCTGCATGCTGGAGAGCTATTTTCACTACAAACAGCTACTCTAAGCTCTATGCTTTCAAATTTGTAGTCTTCACCATTGGCTTTTTTCACTTTCTCATTAATTTTTCAAAATGGATTTAATTTATCTTATAATTTTCTTTGAGATTATGTGGTAAAATTTACCACTTAGTCACATTATTCTTACCAAATCATTCCCATAAAACACCACTAAATGGAAAAATCCAAAGTCATTTACTGTTGATTCTAATAGATTAATTATCGCTGATTTTGACAATAAGTTTAACCTTTTTCATTTGGAGATCATAAATAGGGTTTTCGAGAGACTTTCAGGAAAAAAGGTTGTTTGACAAGGATCTGGGGTGAGTGACATATTAAGATTGCAGAGTCAACCTAATAAGAGGGAAGACTGTTAGCACATAAAGATTGGCAAATGGTGCAAAATGAAGAAGCAGCATGAATACTATAGAATCAAAATGTGCACTTCTATTTTTTTGCATAATTTTTAAAGCTGGTCTCAAAACCACAGATTATTTGCTCGACCATGACAGCATGGCATTATTTGGACTGCCATCACACACAAAATACAGTGTTCAGTACTGATGTCTGCATCACTTGCACAACTAGCAAACCCTTATGGGTCAAACAATTCTCAAAATTTTTACAGACCAGGCACATATTGTCAAACAAGAAGTCATATGAAAATTGTAACTTTGAAGCAAAAGTAATTGAAAGATCAATAATTCAAAGTAAAAATTTCAGCATCAAATTCATGGAGGACTCATTCAAGTGGCACTTTAAAAATGGGTTTCAGCTTGTGTGTCAGTTAAACATTGCTCTGACAATCACATCTAAACTTATTACTTCCCCATTCATGATGACATTTTACTCCTAAAAAAGAAAAATTCCTGAGAAAATGAATCAAATCCATACCTTTATTTGCTACTGCATCCTTTGCTGCTGCTTGACTATTTATTTCAGGGTTTTCTTTTTTTGGTTCCTCCGTCTTCTTTTCTCCTGTTTGGCTGGCTGTCTTTGCATTGGAGGTTGTGGCAGTCACCGTACTTTTCTGCTCTGTCTTATTACTTGTTTGTCCTGGCTGACTGGAGCTTTGAGCATTATTTGATGACACAGTTTTATCTATGGAAGCATCACTCTTAGGCTTTTGAGCAACTTCCGGTGTTTTGGTTGGTGTGCTTTCTCCAATACTTTTTACTGAAGATGAAGTACTTACAGGAGCAGCACTACCACCTCTTCCTGCTGGGTTACCACTACCACTTGCTGCTCCTCTGGTAGGTGTTGTCGCTCCACGGCCAGCCGGGCTTCCCTTAGAAACTGCAGAGCCTCTTACTGGTGTACCTCCTCTTGATGCTGGAGATCCTCGTGAAGGTGTGGCTCCCCTTCCAGGTGTACCTCTCGAGGCAGGAGCTCCTCTGGCAGTTCCTCTAACAGGTGTTGTTCCTCTTCCAGTAGGGGTTCCTCTAGTCACTGGTGAACTTCTAGTCCCTAGTGAACTTCTAGTCACTGGTGATCCCTTTACAACAGTCCCACCCCTACCTGATGGACTAGCAGTTGTACTTCCAGACTTAACAACAGTGGAATTATTTTCTGTTGATTTTGCACTAGTAGGAACATTATCAGCTTTCTTCTGTCCAGTTTCTTTGTCTGACTTGGTTCCAGTACTTGCTGTGTTGCCACTTCCAATAGCATCTTTATTGTCACTTGGCTTTGCAGAGTCTTTCTTTGCCTCTGGCTGGCCACTTTCCTTCGCTTTTGTATCTCCACCTGAAGATTTAGGGCCATCTTTCTCTTTATCATTCACCTTGGGGCCGTCTTTCATTTCCTTGGTTTGTTTTTCTGCAGGCTTCTCTTCTTTGTCTACTTTTGCATCCTTGCTTCCCTTAGACTCTTGAGCAGGAGTATCTGTTTTCTTTGTATCTGGAGTCTTACTGGCAGGTCTAATGGTCTGTGACTGTGGCTTTGGAGGTGCCGGATTAGAAGGTGAGTATGGCTGATCAGTTTTTGAAAATGCCACTTTGAGCTCATTTCCATGGAATCTCTATGAGTAAGAAAACAAGAACACAAACCTAACATAACAGAACTGTGTCTTTAACTGTTAATACATGTGCAACATGTTATAGTGGTGCTTTGAGGAGCAGCTGCATGCACAAGACATGCTCTACAACAATGGCTTTTAGTTGGCAAGAAAACAACTGCTAATGGATGACTTTTAGTAGACTACAAAAGTTCTTCTGCTTTTCAAAATTTTGTTTGTTATTAATCTCCATCCATAGAGGGAACTGGCCAGCATATTGTTAAATTTTTTGTGCTACAACATGCCCCAAAAGTCAGAATACAAAGGAAAATGACTTCAGATTCTAACGGTTAATTCATAATTAATGCAAAAACTTTCACACCACTCTAAAAAACTAAAATGATGGTGCTTTAAATGGTTGCATGCATTCTCCCTGCAGCTAACTATTGTGCCAGCCTATGACCTTCTACTGGATTGCTACAGAGTGGTGCTTAGATTTACATACCTGTCCATCCATTGCCTTCTGTGCATATGAAGCTGCCCTCAAATTAAAAAATACTACATAGGCAAATCCTCTGCACTGTCCAGTCATTCTGTCCCTTATCACTGTAACTGTAATAAAGATAAAATCTTTTAATACAGATATGCACTGATAAATCCCTTTATAAACTTCTTGCTGGTTCTACATCATTTATAAGAGGGACTGCTTTAATGAGAACAACCCTAAAATAGTTGTAAATTAAATGAGTGTCCTGGGCACTCAAAATAACTGTCATGTTTAGTCTTTCTTTTAATATCTGATGTGGCTCAAACAGCTAATTAATTCTAGCATGACAATTAATTCTTATGACTGTGAGAAGTGTCAGACAAATCAGCATTTATTGTGTGGTGGTCTACTGAAAAGATTAGCTACTGATAAACTCTTCTTTCATAAATTAGTGATTTATTTTCAAGTTTGCAATGTAGAATGAAAACGGCAAAGAAAGAGCTCTGGATTTAACAAAGTTTTAATATTTCAAATTTGAGGCACTGGGTTGGTTTCCCTTTAACTCTTAGCATAATATGAATGTAGTGGTAGCCCAATCCATGGATATCCAATTGGAAAAATGTCATCTTTCTAAAAACAGTCTTAAAATATGATTACAGTTTTACTCAAACTAAAAGGTTTCCTATATATAAAAATAATACATAAATAAATTGACACATGCATACATTGTGATGAGCATTTGACATATCTTAAGATGCACTAAACTAAGTTCAACAAAAAGTCACTAGGTAGGTACAATAGAAATAATGAGTAGACAATCTGGCATTTACTTTTTTGAATTTCCCCAAAGCGATGAAATGCCATTCCAATCATATCCTCATTGATATTTGGGTTGAGGTTACCCACGAACAAGGTTGCAACCATCTTTACAACCTGGAACAGAAAGTAAACAATTTCTTTTCAAGAATATCAAATACAACACTTTTATAAACAAATACACATACAATAAGTATGTATACATATAAACAAAAAAATTGACATGAAGCAGCAAAGATCAAGGTGTCCAATAAGAACTTGAAAGTACCCAAGCATAATACTTGGAGAGAAACAAACATGTCTCCTTTTTTATTTTCCATCTAATTCAGGTGCAAAATTCACCCTTATTTTATAATAACATGCATTTAAAATGCTCGAGGGCTATGTAGTTTCAGACTGTTTCAAGTGTTTCTTAACTACCATACTTTTTCTAAGTTAAGAAGTGTCATCATCTTTAAAATTCACTTATCTTTGGGCCCAATTGTGGCACTGGATCAACACTACTCCCATTACAAATCCCAGCCACTACTTCAACCCTGACATTTAACTTTAAATACTTATTTTTGAAAAATTAACTATTACATCTGATATGAACTTTTAGCAGAATTCCTTAATGCTGATATGATACACATAGTCTGTCGCATTATGTCACACAAGCACCAATCATAGTCATATTAATCAACATTTTTTTCTAAGTTTGAATTACTAATTCTAAGTCTACTTTTGTTTGTGTCTATGCGTTGTTTAGGAATGAATATCTGAGAGAAAAAAACATCAGTTTGCAAAAAACCATTCAATGCAAATTACGAATTTCATGCAATAAAAAATACTTTATTTTTGCATAGTTATAATGCAGTTTAGATTTAGAAAGTACTTCGATCTTATGCCAAGGAACATATGAAAAACAGTTTCACTGTCCAGCTGATCATTTGATATCGGAGCCATTCATAATCCCAATTTTGCAACTTAAAAGTTTTGTCGAGAGGACCTACTTGTAACTACGAACAAAATAAGTAGCATTCGTTTGGATGTGTTAAAAAATAAGAGGCCTTTTTTCATTATAAAAGTTCCAAGCGAGTCGGCACAGCTTTAAGTATCTGTGTAAGTGTAACCACAAAATAGCAGCCATATTTCCTTCGCGTTTAGGCCTATAAACGTAAATAGGGTAAGAATTCAATAAAAATTAAATGCATCAAAAACCACTCCAAGTTTTTGGCGAAATTATCATCCTTTTAATGATGCTAAATATTAAAACCACTAATTTCCATACCCTTTTAATGCTCAAAGTTCTCTTCTGTTCATAACGATTCACGTTCTTTCTTCGTAAACTTTCTTTCAGCACGCAACTGCGCAGGTGTGCATTAGCTAGCCGCGAATTGAAAATTCTCAAAGCGAGAATGTGAATATCCCAGAATGCAATACCTTCCGGGGAATATTTGAAAACATAGAAAGAAGTAATTTTCAAGTGACGTCCTTATAGAAAGCCACAGAAAGATCCTCCTCTAAGGTACTCCATTTTCTGATAGATATCATTTTTAGGCATTCTCTTTGAACAGATTTTAATGTTGTGGAGGTGCAAGTAAGCTAGACTGCTATTTTTGGCAACCTTTGTTGTACATGCAAATAAGAAACACTAGAGAATTAACTTTGAAATATGGGATTTCGATTCTAAGCTGTACTGTTCTTTGCTTACATTTTTTCTTAACTGCAACCATTTCAAAAACTTTCGTCTTAATACACTCATTTTTTCATAAGAAACAAAGGTCGATGTTGAGTACTCCAGTTTCTTAATGTTCTGGAAATTTCAATACTCATTGTTTCTTAAGAGTTTCTTAATTATGATGTCATGAATGATGTTAAGAAATGTTCGTGATCTTTTTTTCACGTCAAGAGATTCGCTTTCGTTCTGAAGCTGCATTCAGACGTAGGAAGTATCTTTTTATCCCTTGTATCTTAACTTCTAGGCCAATAGGGCAATATTGTTCTTGGATTTTACAAATTTTCGTTGTTCTCAGTTTTATCACGATTTAATAGTTTCTTAATTTTTTTGCTTCGAGTACTGAAGTTTTTTAATTTTTTCTGACTGTCCAGTACTCGTTTCTTATAGCCAGTTTCTTATAAAAAAATGAGTGTATTTATACCCGAGTGAGTCTGGTAACAAGGGTACAATGTTTACAAATCCATGTGTACTGTATTTACTGAACATTGAGTTGAAAGAGAAGTCACAAGCTAGACAGAAATCTGCTATTTACTGAACCAACATTTTCATAGAAAACTGAGTCAAAATTAAAATAACGTTCATACATTTAATGTTAATAAGGAACATTGATTTTGAAATGGATTTTTTAAGGAAATTACATTACACTAACGGAATGGTTGTGGAAACTACTGTTTACTCAGCAAGAATAATATTACTCAAAACAAAATTAACAGTAGCAACAGATATTGAGTGTATCTCTACTAATTAAAACAACAGGGATTTATTTATCGCATTTTATTTTATTAAAAGTCACTAGCTTTGCAAAGGCTCTTTAATAGTTTTGATATTTCGGATCAAAAAATTGCCAAATTCAATCTAGATGATAACCAAGGTTTAATGAAAAAGGTCCAGGCTTCTTGTTGGAAGTTGATATCATAGCCTTTTCGAAGGGAAATTAACTGTGAGGGCAAGCTATTATTTAACAAAAGAGAAGGGCCTATTACGTTAAACAATATAAGGTCACTGGGGCTTGTGGGCAACTGCCCCCTAGATGATATTTTAAAAAAGCCTTCGCTGATATAGATTTACCGTTGATTTTTCTTAAACCTGTTTTAAAATATCAGTAGCAGCTGCCCCACAACCCATACCCGAGAGTCTTAGTTATAAGAATTCAGTCTATCTGTCGTTAGGTTGTAAGCAGCAAAATTTTCATGAATCAAGGAGTTGCAATGACCATGCTCATGTCTCTAATTTTATCCATCAATTTGGGAGCTGCTACTATTGGTTTATTCAATTTGCTCCTCTCACTAGGATTGTCTATTTTAAGTGATTTCTCTCTCGTTTGGCGCCTACTTCGTTTGATTTTAAAAAGTTTATTGTAAGTTATCGATGCATCGTTTGAAGCACTTCTTTTCCGCCGACTGTTTGCTTTCAAAGTCATTCTTGCACTGCGTTTTTGTAATGAAGGTTTCAGCCCTTGTTGTTCTGCTGTTTCAGGTCCAGATGCCATATCTCTCAAGGCAGCAACAAGGTTAGTGCTGACCTTTTCAGAGTTCGTTACAATGTTAGGTGACAACTGTGACATCATAGCAGCATTCAGGACGTCAGCAGTTTTTGCCATCTCTAGAGCTTTGGCTTTCTTTTCGACTGGAGATGCTATATCCTCCTTTTTCGTACCAGGCAAAGGCAGAACAGCTGGAACATCACTGCCATGCGATAACAGAATAGCGTGTCCCTTATTGTCTCCTGTAAGCAACGCCTTCGCAGCGTTTATCACATTTACAACATTCTGACTAGTGCTTGTTACAATTGTGGCCTTCTTCTCAGTATCAGATCCTTCATTTGCAACTTGGCCCGTGGCTGGCACTTCAGCAGGCCGCCCTGTAATTGTGCCAAGAATATAGCTCTTTGCGGTATCAATTGCTTTCTGTGTTTGCTCTTGAATACTCTGGGCAGCTGCTTCTTTTGCTGTCTGCCCAGTCATAAAAGACTTGATAGCGTCTGGGACATCACCGTTCTTGCTGATCTTATCCCTGGTACCAAAGCTGTTTGAGCGCCACTTTGCCAAAATCATATCAGCAGCTTCTTTCTACAAATAGCAAATAGAAGTAGTAATGAGAAACAAAAATATAATTTTTGTTCGGAAACTGTGGTGAAATATATCGTAAATAGGTTAGTTATAGATGTTTTTAAGAGCAGTAAGTATAGACTATTTTTGACAATACTTTTTTTCACTTAAATTCAGTAAGGTTTTGACTACAAACCCAGTCGATCAATCGATACTTTCTTAGACTTTATCAATTAAAAGTCAAAGACATAAAGACATGGTTTACCTCTTTGCTCGAGGGGACATAATTACGCACTCTCTCCAGAGCATACTTGTACGCTTCCTTGGTGAGGTATGGTCCATTCTTTGAAATGGCATCACGTAGCATTGCATCTGCAAAAAACAGGCATAGCATCTTAAATACAAGCATAAGTTATTCAAACTTGTGCAATGCAACCTACTTTCATTTGCCAATTCATTATTTCAACGTCAAAAATCACATCACATCTAAACTGTTTATTTCAGTGCTACAAAATGATCCATGTTTAGTAAAGTAAGGTGAGTTATTACATGAGGTAAGTTAAGTAAGGTTTTTAGCCGTATTAGTTGATTAGGGATTTGACGTTCCTGCTTCAAATAGCGACAAATTCTATTTTCATATAAATCTAAATCGAATATTCTATTTGCTGTTTTTAGAAAGAAGCTGCTGATATGATTAGACAAAAGGTAAGTTATTACATGAAAATCCTTAGTTTTAAGTAACATCTTGTCAATTGGTAGGGGCTCTGACGATCGGGACGCTGAGAGTGGGGCATGCATCAGAGTGTACATGTTTCCATATATATGTGACCGAATCGATCAATAGTTAGAGTTATGCCTGGGCACGATAAACTACTTCACAATAAAGAAACCATAGCTATAGAGCCAAGAAGCTTTTGAATAGAACTCTCAATTGAATAGAACAGGCAAAGTTTTAGTTATGAAATACCAACGGTAGATATCTAAGAGAGAAATGATCTAGACTCCAGTGAATGGACTAAAAAGAAGCAGAAATTCCGGATTGGCTAATACGACTAAAACCCTTATAGATACTGAACAATCATAATTGTAATCTGTACGGGGCAGGTACTCGACGTATGCCCACTGAATTTGCTTATTAAAGATTCAGGAAAATAATCTTGAATAGAAGTCAATACATACTCCCATGCAAGGAGTTGAACTCTGCATCAGCCCTTTTGCATTTTCTCATCTGCTTCAGGTAATCACGAAGTGTCAACTCAGCATTTGTGTATGACTTTACAAGATTGACGCACCTCGAAGGGACAGTTTTTGGAATTTTGAGCTCTGAAATTAAAGTGACACAAATCAAGACAGAAAATTAGAAGGAATAGCATTCGTACTTGTCCTAAATAATAATTTTCCCAACTCTGTTACCAGCTTTCAATAGCTAAATGGCTGCTTGTAATTCTTAAGTATTACCTTACCTGCTTTCTTTCTGATGTTAGATGGCACCTCACCAGTATCAGACGCAATGGTAGCTGAAACAGGGTCTTTTGCACTATCAGTAGCTTCAACATTTGAGCTGGTTGTAGAATTAGATGCAGGTGCTGCATTAATGGGTTGTGCAGCTGCCATCTGATTCTTTGGAGAAGAAATGCTTTCTAAAAATAAATCCAAAACAGGTGATTTGGAAGGTATCAAAATGAAAGCTAGAATAGAAGGGGTCAAGAAAAGCTACGATAACTGTTGAACAAAATATTTTCATTTGGAATTTAACATGGAGTGTGCTGTTTCAAGCAAGATTTACAGACTTACAAGAAGACTTACAAGAAAATCGGTTTCTATGATTGGAATAAACATTACTTTGATCGATCAAAACCACAAATAGACTCGTCAGCCGCCTTATGATAAAAGTGACGTCACTATCCCAGTCTAGAGCCCAGTGCTTTTGGTGCTTTATTCACCCTTAAAACTCTTTAAATGAAGAACACCATTCGCTTATTGATTCTATTTGGAGATGGGAGGTGATCCTTACGAGCTACTTTTGCAATAGAATATCAAGAAAGATACATTGGCTATGTAATATCTTCTGTATCGAGACATCTAATAACTATTACCTCAAAACACGTGCTAAGAGTTTTTCCTGCCTTCAAAGAATATACAAAAAGCCACCAAACGAGGAACACCTTCAACAACGGACAGCTACCCTGGTTTTACTGGTGCGAACGAAATAAATGTTTCAATGCGGCTTATTTCAATAAATTCAGATTGGGTTAATGGTACACTTACCAGTTTCAGTCGATGCCTGGTCAATTCTTGCTATATCAGCTTGATTTTTAACTGTATTATTTAACAAATCAGTTGACAATTTCATTGGCAAATTATCTCTCTTTACAGCTGGCATCTGTCCCGTTGCGTATGCCTGGGCAATGCTCATTTGCACCATATTTGCTTGTGCCATTCCTGCAGGGGCCATATTATTAATACCATTACTTCCCCACCCAGGAATCTGTGCCACTTTTTGCACCTTGTTACCATCTTTGGTCCAGTTGAAGGTAGGATAGTCAATTTTCGGCTTATTAGCTTCATTGTCAACAGTCGGCCTTTTTGCATTGCTTTTTTTGGTGTTTTGTTTATGATGGTGGTGGTGATGATGGTGATGATGATGCGCAGGTTTTGAAGGCTTCTTCGACTTCTTGTCTGCTGTTTTCTTTGATTTTTTGTCGTCAACTTTTTTTGACATTTCTGTTTTTAATATCTTGTTCTCTTTTCCTTTTGTTGCCTTTTTGCCTTCTTTTTCAGCTTCTTGCTTCGACTGATCTGATTTATTCAACAAAAGTAAACAAAATTTTATTGACTAACACAGGCCCTGCAAATCGTTTACTGCATGTTGAAACTCAGTGTTTCATGTTTTTCTTAGATTATGTAAATGATTCTGGATTTTCAAGGTGTTATACAGTTGATGAAAGCTTGTGTCACCTACACAAACCTTCCACCAATCTTCTTGTAAATTGCTACTCTGTACAATTAGGTAAATTCATATAACATTCATATAAATTCATATAACAGAGACACAATCTTGCCTAAGAAAACACCTTAGCTAAGTGATTCTAAAGACAGATTTCTGAGGTTTCTATTGAAGGTTGACTATGTATATTTCTTAAAGATGAACCTGACTTAACACTATTATTTTTTTTTACAACGGCGTTTCAGGCATAAAGAAGGAAGCATAAAAAGTACCTGCAGATGTTGTCTTTTTTCCTGCTTTATTGGCACCCTTTTTTGTAACTTTCGACTTTTTCACCGTTTCTGCTATCTTGTTTTTATCCTTCTCAACATGTATTTTGCTTTTAACCTTAGAAGGCTTATTGGCATTTTCATCCTCCTTCGTATCCGTTGTCTCACTCCCGGATGTCTCGTCATCATCTTCGCCACTGCCCTCAACATCGGTCTCAACGGCAGATTTCGTTTGCTTTGCGTCCGATGCTTTCGTAGCAGCCGGTAACGAACTCTGCGCCACCGCAGTTCCAGGCAATGATGTCTCCTTGAAGCTCCTGTTCATCATGTCAGCCTCGTCATCTTCTCCCGATGATTCGTCATCTTTAGCGTCATCCGTTTGTTTTGTTACTGTGAAATACATAGTATAATTGAGACATAATGACATTAATCAGAAAGGTTTATTTTAGTCCCAAAGTATTTACGTTGAAGATAGAAGATTGGTAAGTTTTCGAGGTCATTTTTCAGTCAGTCTTTGGATTCCTTGCTGTAAATTTTTTACATTGCCATATGTGTTCTTAATATTCATCTCATGAAAATAGGATATTAGAGATTTGTCGAGGGCTGGAAGTGTGTTAGTATGTCCTAAATATCCAACACCTGAATAAACATCTTCAAATCAGATTTCAATATTTCAATAATTTGGTGTGAGCAGTTTTTGAGGTACTGTCATAAGGAAAATATTCTCACATGAAAAATATCCTTAGATCTTGCATTAGACGTCTACAATATAGATGGCAACAACACGTGCAAGACAACCTTGATATGAAAAGGTCTTCATTTTACAGAATCTATAGGAGAAGCAATTTTATATAGAAGTAATATATTATTTTAGAAACCATGTCAAACAGCATCAAAACAACAAAGCATTTCAACATAGCAACATCTAGGAAACAGCTTTACTTTGAAGATATATTTATTAAGAATATTTCAAAAGCCCTAAAGCAACAGAAGAAGAAGGTATGATTTGGCTAAATATCGTACCAAAATATCGGCTAAAATGTCTCTAAGCTTATCGTTTTTGGGAAAATTGTAGGTTTAATACGTCTGTTCAATGCTGCCGAAAGTTTTAGATGTCATGAATAAAAAGGTTGAAAAACTTTGACGAAAGATGTTGATATTTTGGGGAAAAAAATTTCGTGGGACAGCGACAACAATCTATTTAAAATAAAAAAACAGTCAGTGACACTGAATAAATATGCCAAGCACCGTTTTGGAAGTTTGGATGCGTGATACTAGAATATTTCAAAGCATTCGGGAAAAAATTATATGATGAGGAAAGATGTGACTAAGGGAGCCTGCTATGTTACCGTATTCAATGGTCTGAGAAACAGCAAAAAATCTTACTTGACAAATCTTTGCTTTCTATGCTAAGATTGTCTAGTTATCGTCCTTACTTTTACCCAAACGTACGATCGATGGGTTTTTGAAAGCAAATGAGTCATTCATGTTTTTGCTTGATGTCTGCTGTTTCGGCAATATTTTAGTGAAACTTGCAGGAGTAGTCAGTGTGGAGTCTATAGACGAACAAGCAATGCAAATGTTGGGTTCCTCTGACGACAGAACGAGATATGGACGATTTAGGCTCTTCCCAATTGGAATGATTTCGCATAAACTAACCAGATACTTTTGGCTTCTGTGTTAAAGGAAGGATGGTTTAGTCGTAGACACTTGAAAGACAAGGTTGACAAGGTAGAGGAAATAGGTAATTTATAACCGGAATCATTTTACTTGGAGAATATATTTCGACTTACGAATTACTAAAGGCGAAGATACATGCCATTCTTGCATTTTGCCGATTTTGCATAAGTTAGTGACCAAAAATGTAAATAAAAGATAAAGTAACCATTTGAAATAACGAAAACTAACCTTCTTTTTGCGGCTTTGCAGCTTTTACTTTGTTTTTCTTCTTTGCATCTACCAGCGCCAGGCAAAGAAGTGCAAAAAGTAAGAAAGTTAAAATCTTCATTGTTTAGTTGGATAGGTCGACAGCATCATAAAATTGTATCCTTAAGAATGATTAACGAGATACAAATCTAATTAAGGTTGGATTACCATTTAGGTAGGCCTATGACATTACATCATAATAGCCAAGATCAAAGCCATGAATTTGCACGTCAATGAAGATCATCGGAACTCAATGGTCAATTCAACAGGTGTTTACTTTAAACAACCCGACAGGTCGATGCTGCTTCAATACAGGCATTTAGTTAGTTAGCCTTAGACCCACTTACCAGGTCCGTTGGAAACGTAGGGGCAGAGTGTTGCAGGGGGGAGGGGCTTCAGCCACTAGAAATTTCCGAACAATGCTCAATTTTCTCCTGTGGAGCAGGTACAATGGGAAACAAAAGATATATCGCTCCTTGCTCTCTGAGTTGTATCAAGGGTGTTGTGACTACTTTGAAATTTTTAAACCCCCAACTTTGCCAATTTTAGGGTAGTTATTCTGAGGCAGTTCATGGTAAATCGTCCTGCAGAACAACGACGCTTGTCTGGAAATCTATTTGTCTCAAACAAAAAGCATTTGAGACATTACTTATTTTCCAGTTTTGATTCAATTTAGGGTCCATCAGCTTCACAGAGACGAAAAACCTACCACTTTCTATTGCAAGCAGCAGATCATCTTTCCTAATGAAAATTAACTGATATCATTCTTCCTTGGGGTACAAGTGAAAGGGTGGGCGATCATAACCCAGCATCCCTTGCCACTCCGCTCCTGAACCATTCTTAACACAGTTGTAAAGGGGGTTGGCTGGCTGATGATAATAATAATGATGATGCCAAAGCTTTCCCGCCAAAATCATGATTGTGTTGCAATAAAGTCAAAGCTACGCATAGATTGACTTTGACGCCATATGGAAAACCCTGACGAAGACTGTTTTAGGGAGTATTCGATAGAAAACTGCAAATTCATCACTATGACCAAGTTTCACGTCAAAATATTATGTAGTCGTTATATCTTGGTATGAAAGATGTCAGGATTACGCAGTTCATTATGCTGTTGCCTCTATTATTTCTATGGATACCATTTTTGAGTATTGAAAGTATTTTGGGTTATGCATCCTGCTAAAGTATCCGAATCTGAATTAGAATCATCCTTGGGGAAAGGTTTGCACAGGTTTAGGCCACAATATGTTAGACTCGAATGCACACCATGGAATCATGCTTATCGTATACCTAAAGGCAATGAAAATGAAACATCTCGTTACTTTTTTCTCTTTTCGTTCTTTTTAAGCTTGCTTTTGACATTTAAAGCTAAAGTGTACATATCCTAACGCAGATTACATAAAATTTACTTATAAGATGCTTATTTTATCAGCTTCTCCAAAAAGCATGTTTTTTAACTTCATTACCTTTCTGTTTAATCATAACTGTCCAAGAGATTTTGTTCTAGCTCTGCTCTGAAATGCAAAGACAGGCAAGGTCTTAGGTTTATTTCAATTGCAAGCTGCTCAACGGGCACTCGCACAAACAAATCCAAGATTCGAAAAACATACATTGATAACGAGGCAAACAAAAGATGACTCAACAGACATCAAGTAAACACTGATAATGACGACTGCTCCAAAACGCCTAGTCACGCCGTGCTCACAAATCTCCACTCTGTTTGTAGGAAAGAACAATTGAACACCAGTTACTTGGCTGTCACATTAAACAATTCTGAATGAGTGTAATAATTTCTGCCCTCCTTTATGTTTTCGATATAATTCTTTTAACAATAGCAACAGTGAGGTCAGACAGCAACGTTTATCAGTTCTGGCTAGGCCAAGCCGCGTTTGCTAAATCCATGCTTGAACATAAAATTTGAAAAAAAAGTTTTGAGCAGCGCAATAAAAATTATGGAGGATAGCAGTAAAGAAAGCATTTGCGATATATGAAATAATATTTATTGGAAGCATAGAACAATTTGGTTAATTTGGAGTCACGATAATACTGAAGGTGGACGCTGAGATCATGATTTTCGCAAGGAATCTTATCTTGTTGGCTATTAATCTATGTTACAGCAAAGGTTACACTGAAACCAAATTACCTGGCAACAGTATCCATGCTCCTTCAAGGGAGGGTAAGTATAGTTAAATCTAGTTTTGATATCGAAGTTACAAATTTAGCCTTTCTGAATACATATGCACTTTTTCAAATACAATTGTAGATGAGAGCTACAAAAAGGAAATCAGACAGAGACAACCTTCTAAAAATCGTAAGCAAGCCATTTTTATGGAGAATTTCCGAATGTTGGTCAGCATATTTATGCAGTTATTGTAGGGCATCATCGAATTTCCATATTTTAACAAATCTTGATAGAAGCAGACAAATCTGTTATGCCTTATATTGTATCATCGTCTGCTTTTCAACCAACCCAACTCTTCGCAAGGAAATATCTTTAGGTTCACTAATAAAGGACCGAAATCATATTTCTTTATGTATCATTGTTTAGGCATTATTTTAATACTCTCTCCCGTCGTTTTATGCTAAGTAACTCACTGCAACTATCATTTGCAGATAGTGCAATGAAGACTCAGGGATTCATTATCGAATGTAACATGCTAGAACAATTTCACAAAGAAAAACAAATTTCTGAAAGAGAATACGAGAAACGGTTGAAGGCCTGCAAAGAAACTAGTAAGTAGATCATAAGTATTTACACTAACACCTAACCAATCACTAATCATTAACCAATCATTACGCATCAGTCAATCATTGAGGATTTATTAACCATTGGCTATTAACTATTCAACGCCCTGACAAATCGATGCAGAAAATGCACTTAGTGTTCATATTGCTTTGATGCAGTTAAATTCTGAAAAAATAGATGTCGAGGCATTTAGATGTAGAGAAGACAGCACCCCTAGTCCTGACTATAAGCAAGATTTACGAATTGCTTCTGTTTTGCCAGGATTGGTGGGATCTCTCCCTGCGGTGAAGATCCCCTCTCTGTTAACATCAACTTCACTGAGAAGATTATTCACTATCATTACTTTTCAAGCGTCAAAGTATGATTTTCAATCAATGCTAAAAACTTTGTATATTTACAGATACACAGTTTCAAACAAGTCACAACGTTTAAACAACATCTAATACCAATTTCTGGTCGTTTATACTCAAGGGTTTACTAACAGGTGGTCAACGAAAACAATGTATTGGCAAACAAACCTAGTGTAGCTACTTTCTGAATTATTCATTTTTATTCAATGACCTTAATCTCCTTCCGATACAAAGGCCCTAGACGCACAGAACAAGATTTCAGGAAGAACTTCTGACACACTAAATCTCTATTGTTCGTTCATAGAGAAAAGGGATTAAGCTTGTTAGTAAACAAATGCTGATTTTCCAGTGCGGCCACCCAAATTGCCATTGAACCCCAGAGCAGGACGAGCTCTGGAAAACGGAAATAATTAGCAATTAACGCATTTTTCTGGTGCCACAGAATACCCAAAGTCAAATCGTTCTTTGTTTTAAATCACATTACATTAGTCTAACAGCAAACAACCCCTTCACACACGAACTGCAGCGCGCTCGAATTTCCAAGCGGAAATCGGATTACCTTTGTCAAACTTGAAAAAGTATTCTCGATTTTCCACTTTGACAAAGATAATGAGTTTTATGTCAGAAATCAGTGCGTCTAGGGCCAAAGAAGGGATCGTGGATTGCTGTAGTATTGCGAGACATCAGGTATCAATTGTATAATCCTGATTTTAGGAGTGCCAACTTTTCTGTTCTATATTTCTTAGGCTAATACAATAACAATTTTGATGCTTCGTCTACTATTTTGAAGCATTTCTACTAATTAGTTGTCCGTTCCTATAGTCATCCGCTATCACAAGTGTCCGGTTCCATTAATGTCCGGTCCTTTAGGTATCTGCTAAATAAAGGTTGATTGCACCTTGTATATTTCCACTAATCACTAAAATAATTCTTACTGACTGACATAACCTATCTCAAAAATTTCAGTATTGACAGACACAAGAACAACAGAGACAGCGACAGATGACGACAAAGGGGGACTGAAAATATACTTCACCGAGGAAGAAGAAGATAGAAACGAAAAATACAAATTACTCAATGACCATCCAATAGGGCCAAATGAACAAGAACATGGTGGGCACTTGAAAAACCTTTTACTGACTTCTATAGACGACAAACAAATAAACAGCAGGCATGAGCTATATAAAAACCCTAAGACTCCCCAGATTAAGTTCAGGACCGAGCCGTCATCTTCGTTGAGAAGTGTCGCTTCGCCATTACTGGTTCAAAACTCTGTTAGAAATAGACTTCACGAGAAAGAGGCAAAACAGAGAAAACGTAAGCGAGGCATCAAAAGTAATTACTCGCGGCATGAGACTGGTCCCTATAGAGTCAAACGCTCAATGGTAAATGGAGCGACATGGTTCAAAAAATATCAGGCAATCTATAATAACATGCTGCAGAAACGGAGTAAATACCAACCGATACCGTATGCATTGCAACAACAGGCACCGCAACCGACCTATTACGCGCAACAACCAGTAAATACTGCTGACAGGGCTAACATACCAGCCATCCAATACGCTTACAATTATGTATACCCCTTGTACCACTTGCATTCGGATGATGCAGGCTATAAAACAAGACATAACATACCAAGTTACGACTTAAGAGCAAGCAGCACGCGAATGCCAATTCAATTGCACAATTCGATACCAGCAGTTTCGTACAGTAGCACCACTGCGGCAGAAACCAAAAACTTTCAAAACATTATGCCAGCTGTAGCGCAGACTGGCCAGACATCTACCAACGGTCAAAGTGTGTTTATAAAGAAAAACGATATCCAGAATATCAACTTGCTGTATAAAAACGTGAATGGCAAAAGAGTAGCTATTCCGCAGGATAAAATTCAAAGTAAACTAAATGAAGTAAAGAAGGTGATATATCCGGATAAGAAAATGAGAGATTTTTCTACCTCCATCCAGGAACATGCTTTGGCACAGGAACACGAACTTCACAGGATAGGCCTAAAAGATGACGCATCGTTTATGGAGGCCAAGCCGAATTACGACAGGAGCCCGTTGACATTACATGCAGTGCAGTCATTACTCCCAAGGCCACAGGCAAGGAATCTAATTCCTTCAATGCAGAAAGACGCTACTCAGAAAGCCCCCGGCATACATAATTCACGGCTGGCGTTCTTGAAGGTCCCACCGACGTTTGAAATATCCAGCAACAATGCCAGGGACTCACTCTTTAGCCGGGGGCAGCAGCAGCGTTCTGAGATCGCGAGACCAGGCCCCCAAAATAACAGGATAAGTAGCAAAGACATAGCGTTAAGCTTTTACACCGAGCTGCAAAGGCCACAGATTTCATTCCCAAAAGATGCTTCAGACGAAAAGAAAGACGTTATTTACAGCACAGTGAACCCAAGCAGCGACATCGACTCTGATGACATCACAGCTGAAAACCTCGCAGCGATATTCAACGAGCTCGATGGCGAGATTGATCACGTTCTAAAGGCGGACACTGCGAAGGAGAGCGTTTCTAAGAAAGACGTAATTTCAGAGGCCAAAAGTGACGTAGAAAGACCCCAGGATCAAATTGAAATGACTGTCTATGATGCTTCAACCGACAAGCCAAAAACTAAAGGTGTACATTTCATAAAATCATTGGAAAATGAAATAAACTTTGAGCAGAAATTGGGGATATTTCCAGCCGAAACAGACGATACAAAAAGATCAATGACAAATTCTGAACTAAATCAAAAATTTAATCTTTCGCAGTTACATTATGGCCTGAGAAACGGAAACACGTTTGAATAAAGAAGTTGTGTTACCTCTGATATAAAGAAGTTACTTAAGGTTTACATCAGAGATGAAAGTTCGGAAACGCTTATCAGGCAAATGTGACGCTGGGTGACTTGGATCCTTGAAATATGGGATACTTTACTGGAAGACATTGAAAACTGCGCCATATTCTCAACTCACATTTGCTATAAAAGCTGGTTTATCTACTCAAGCAGAAACAGAAAATAAGATCCAGTCACCCAACCAGCAAACAAATAATCGATGAACAAATTCCTGACGCAAACCAAATGATAGACGCTGCATGCTTACAAGATTCTTAACCCAAAGCAAAAATTGAGCGAGAGGCCGAGGCTCCTAATGCTTCGACTTTACTGATGCAGGCGGCAAAAACATTAGAAGCTACCAAGAGCTGTTTAGAACTGTATATAATGCTGCAAAAACTAGAATGTAGCTGCCAAACGCTTTTTTGAAACTGTAAATAATTTGAATTTTTAAGAAGTAATATTTACGTTGCTTATTAGATTCTATTCTGGAGTTGTTCTGTGAGTCATAGTTGAGTTTGGCGGCCTTAAGGATGAGCAGCATTACATGAAGATTTCCTTTCACTGTACAAGAGCATGTTGGATGCAGCCGACACGAATCATCCTAAATAAGCTCATCAATATAATGCTGAAATATTTAAGGCTGTAAGCTTTTATTTAGTTTATTCAATATAATCTTTTGGTGGTACAAAAATTAAAATGGCTTTGAAAAAAGCAAACATTTGAGTATCCTAAAGCTTTTCGTCTAGAAGGAACAGGCTGTTTTATTATATCCTCCAATCTCTGGGTAGTGCGTTCTACGTAGCCGGAATCATACAAGCACGTAAAATCAAAGATAACGGAACTCTTTTGGGTGGTAGGAATGCGATCCTTTCGAATGGAAAGAAGGGTCTTTTTTGTACTGTAAAGAAACAATTTGTAATGACCTGTTTTATCCAACTTTTAGAACGCAAATAACTGTTACCGATCCAGGATAGTTTTAGATAAACCGGCCAAATTTGCGGACCAGATTTTACATCAGCCGAGAAATTTGCTCAAAGCAAAAGTCCCTAAATATATTGGCCATACGATGCTCATTTTTAATAGCTTACAAATTTGGATATGGAGGTATTTCCAATCAAATATGCCGTTAAGAAGACAGGGGCGAAGCCAAAAAATTTTTGAAGGGGTCAAGAAGTGCTTTATGCCGACAAAAAGGGCGTGTCTCACTTTTGAAGGGTGTGGTCAAAAGATAAATACTCTTATATACTGACAGAATAGTTAATACCTTACAATTGTTGAAAAAGGTTCCGTGGTGAGTGCAAAAATAGCTTCTTTTGCCCCGCAAAAATTCCTTAATGTGCCGACGGACAAATTGCTGGGGGGAGGCACCGCACCCCCATACCCCTCTTTGGCAACGCCACTGCAAGAAGAGCAAGAGGTTATGGTACAAAAAGGCTGTTTCTGAAATCTCACCTAGAAATGACAAATAATTGTTAATAATATTTGATTATCCAAAATTAAATGATACAGTGCTTTTTCTTTTACATGAGGATTGCAATAAAATGAATATAATAAATCTGATCATTTTTGAGTGTCTAAAAGTTTTAAGATCGACTCACGGTCCCTTAAAGCTTTCCAAGCAACGTCTCTTTCTTTTTTGGTCAAACTCCTTTTCTTCTGCTTGGCAGCCATGACTTTTCTGAAAGAGTCCATAACTTCAGCATCAATAACTTTGGCTTTTTGTTTCAACTCTTGTTTTTGCATTTCCTTCTTTGCCTTATCTAACAAGGAGATAGCTGCTCTCTTGTTTTTCTGCATCAATGCCTTCAATTCATTTTGGTGCCTCCGTAACTCAATCAAAACCTAAAATGAGACATTTTTGCAGTGAAACTTAAGAATGCTTAGAAATAACAGGTTTTAACGGATTTAAACTTTGTCAAAAGAATAATGAATACACAAGATGGCACTAAATAAAAAATTATTAATAAATTAATTCGTTCATTCATTCGTTCATTCATTCGTTTATCCACAGATTTTTTCAATGCTTACTCATTCATTTTTATACATAAAGATCGATAGATAGGGCAACAATTATCAATAACATCAATATTAAGCAAAATTAAATCAAACATTCTTATGCCAGCTCAACAAAAAAGTCTTACTTATCAAGATTTAAAGAGTTAAAATGATTTGGACGTATTCTTATTTTGAACTTTTTTTAAACCACTGCTCTAATTGCTTTATTTGGTGGCAGTAAGTTAAGACTGTTATGAGATAATTTGTTAAGGGTTAGGCAGGGCAGTTATCAATAAGCAATGCTGTATTATACAACAGTTTCATTGACATAATCTATAATGGGGTATGACAGTATGCAAATAAGGGTATGTTCTGACTACAAAGATTTGACTTAAAAAAAATCCATCATAAGAGAAAGTGGAGTTTTTTGGCTACATGGACATGAAATATTAACAAAAGTCTAAGGTTTCTCAGATATGACTTTAGCTCTTAGTCTTCTTCAAGCTCTTGGAATTGAAGAAGGTAGGGAAATTCAAAGGTTGTTGAAAATCAGTCAGACTTCGGGAGATTCTGAGTCAATTGGTGTGGTACAATTCAACAGGATCTTAAATTTGCATTTGTTTTATTTTGTACTTGTAGCTTCCCTCAAGTTTTGAATTATAATTCTAATTATAAATGGTAAACCATTTCATATGTACTGGACTTCAAGACAAGCAGAAGTAGGATGAACAACACTCAATAGAGCTATATCATGATCAGTGACCAGTGATATAAATTGCTGTGTAATCATTTAAATCTATATGTTTATCAGCACTATCAGGAAAGCTTTTGAGTGAGCAATAAAAAAGCAAATACCTCATCATCAAAATCAACATCTTCTTCGTCACTGTGTGATTCAATCAATCCAAGATTCACCAACTCATCTTTTATGGCATTTTCTAAAGCTTTAGCATGTGGTATTGTAAACATTTTCATTGGATTAGCTATAGCAACAGTGCCTCCATCATTCCCACTAGATTTAGAAGAATCAGAAATGTCATTTTCATCCATAGGTGCCAGGATATTCTCATCAACAAGGGCAGATATCAATCTTTGAGTCAAAGCCCCAAAAGGACATGTTTCATCTTCATTAATCAAATTGTTAGCGTCTACATGCTTTGCTTTTTTCTCAATATCAATGTTTTCTTGATTTGATGTTAAAGTGCCTCTTCTTTTTTCTGTCTTGCTACCCTCCCATTGCTCTTCATTAAGATCTTCTTGGGCCCAAACCTGGGTATAATGCTTCCCAAGAGATGGAACTTTAAAAAACTCACTTTCCTCTGAAACTGAGTTACATATATCTTCAAGAACTTTCAAGTCATCAGATGTTATATCAGCACAGTAAGGTTCTACAGCTGCCCAAAACTTATTTGGCATATCAGCTGAGGGTTTAGGCTTTGAAACATAGACTTCAGGGTCAGGTTCTGCTTTTGGAACCTTATTTGAAATTTTTCCTTTCACTTTCCCTGACTTTGCTTCATCAATCCTTTGCTTCTTTGATGGCCTTTCGTCAATGCTAGATTTTCCAGATTTTTTCCCAGTAGGAACATTTGTGAGAAGTTCTAATTCAAAGCCAGGTTTTCTGTCCTTTTTATCAGCCCATTCCCCTAGAATTTTCAGCTCTGATTCAAGTTGTCTGTGACGTATATTAGCAGCACCAAGTAGTGTTTCTAAGTCAGTGAATATATCATCAAGTTCATTTGACTGTACTGTAGCAGTTACTGGTCTTGAAAGAATAGCAGAATATTTTGGGCATCTCTTTGTGTGATCAAGGTGCTTAAAATCATGAAACTGAAGTGGCAAGTCTGTCATTTTTCAATTCGCAGTACTGAAAAAGAGCAAAGAAAAATTCTAAAGAAGAATAATGAAAAGAAAACAGTCATGGCAACAATACAAAGATGTATGAATAAATCTTAATATGCTAGCTCACCAAACTTTCAAGTGCAAATCATTAAAAACAAAAAGTGACATATTGCAGTTGATTACATTATCTAGCAAAACATTATCAACTGTAGTATCTAGATTTTCCAAATGATAGTGATTTTGGAGCAGAATTTTTTCAGGCAACTGAAGATACTATTTGAACCATTTATAGCTTGAGGAATTGAATATAGAAAACCTTAGAAACAAATGACTTTCAATAATTCTTGGCAGGGCAGGAGACCCCCAAAAACAAAAGTAGCTACAGTCCTGCTATCAGCGATGATTTTGTTGAAGATGAAGACATAAATGCCAACATACTGATAAGTTATATTAAACTACTGGCACAGATTGGATGGAAAGTGCTGCACTATTTTATGAGATCTCGGGTACACCAGAAGCTCTTTGTACACTTGTGAGTGACAACATGAAATTATTCTGTGCAAGATTTCGCAATCCTCAACCCAGGCTAGAAAAGTGGGCCGTCACCGTGACAGCCAGGGGGGGAGGAGAGGCTATGGGGGTTTTAGTTACATTTCAACAGCCCATCTTAGCATTAGAATTCAGAGCAAGGGCGTTAACAAGAACAAAAACAGGGCGTGCCATTAGATAATTTTAGCCGGTGAAGTCTTTGGCTGTGGGGCCCATCTCGCCTAGCGGCGGCCCTGGTCCTTCAAATAAACGCCTAAACTTGTAAGAACCGAAAAAGCCGCCGGGCGCTTCTAATAGGCGAGAGGAAATACAGCAGTATGGTAAAGGCAGTTAATGATTGCTAATTATAATCCAATCTTAAATTGCTGATGCATCCATTCTACCAAGATTTTGTCGCAACTTAGTTCTGCAATGGTAAATGCCTAGATTTTCAAAGACAGATAACAGCGAGTTAGGTGTCGTTGATGTCAAAAACAGAACAGGTGCAACCAATTGAGAAAGTATAATATGGTAAGCTTGTATAGTTGCGATCGCAATACAGTGTTGCAATATGAAACTTATCAGTCCTATCATCAATTTTCATTCAACAGAAGTCAAGCTGATCACCTTTATTGCTACAATCTCTTACCACAACCCAATCTTCATCACCACGAAAAAGAATCACTGTTCATCTTTGTTTGGATTCCATATTTTTACGACCTCATTTACATTCAGTCAATCTGATGTCGAGGCTTAGGTCCAAAAACGTTCTTTTAGTTTCTCAGGAATCTACTGAATTACAAATTTTCATTTTATCAGAAATATTAATATAGGGAAACTCAAGGCTATATCTTGGCTTATATTTTATAGAATAAGCCATTTGCTCAGATACCACTTTCAGGTTTACAAATGCTGGAGTTTTTTGGCTTTAATACCCAGGTAATATTCAAAATAAGAAATCAAAAGTACCTCCAAAGAGAAAAATTTGTAAAAGTTGGAAAATGGCGCAAGCTATTACATTTTCAAAAACTACACCAACTTACAGGCCGATCTCTGTCCTACTCGTTGCTTGCAGTAAGTAGGGCAATATTTATAGCCAAGAACATCATAATTATCTCAACTTTAAAAAATATTGATCGGTCAGTGTGATTTATGAAATATCTTCGAATTGTTCCTTGCTTATCATTATTTCTTGATTTACTGAAAATAAAGTTAGAACAATGATCATTTATGTCTGGGTCTGATACAAAAGCTGCAGCCTGTCCCGAAATTTCCGGAAACCGATTGCTCAATGACTAAGTCCTAAAGTTTTTTAAAAATTTAACGGAACATATAAAAATTAAAAGATTTATCTCTGATTAAGGACAAAAATTCACATTTAGGTAACACACCATGTGTTATGTCAATAACATACCTGACCTATTCAAAGCTAAAAAAACTTAGCTTTTTCTTGCATTTCTAAACAAAATTTTGAGATTAAGCATTGGGCAGCTTGCATGTCATCAAAATTAAATGAAGCATGGTGATTAAGAAATGTTTAGAATTGCAAACTAAAACATTTAAGAAATAACAAAGAAAAGCTATACGAAGTTTGCCTGTACAAACAAAAGGGACTTGCATTCTGGCGGTTGAAAAGAAACATGTGAAGGATTGTCTAGAATACCATTTACAAAGAATGAAATAACTAACAAGTAAATGTATTGTGACGAAGAAGTGGCAATGGGTTTCTGGCATTTAATTTTTTATGAATATAGGAAGGAGTAATGCTCCTAAATCATTGACATTTGTCCTAAATCATTATAAATAGTGTGATCAGGTAAATTATTCACGCATAATTAACATCAGCAACTAAACAGAAATACTTGTGGGCAGTATCTATTCGCAAAATATATAACGTTCTTCATGAATAGCACAGAAAACATGAACCAACTTTTCTTCTGGTGCCACAAGAATGTTCCAATTGTTAGTTTTCTTACTCAAAAATTATTCTTACTATAAAACGGATTCTCGTCTGGATTCTTAATAAAAACTTTTCGTAATGATAAATTAGTTCATGAAATTGCAGAGTTTCTGTAAAATCTTGACACAGGTGGAATCGGTAAAAGTTTTATATCTTCGAGTTTATAACACTCTCAGGCACCATGCACACTTTCGAAGATTGCAGGCTGTCACTTAAATATTTTTAGAAGATTCTGAACTAAGATGGCTTCTTTGGAAGATCTTTTATCATACTGCCGAGATCTTTCAAACTGACATTGGCAGATCCCCTTTCCAATGGCTTGGCCTAAAAATTATTCAAGAAAAACATAAGTGTTCAGAAAAAAAGACAACATCAATGTTTTATTAGTTTGAAAGAAATACTAGTTGAGTTAAGAAACCGAATCAAATTTCATACCAAAATGCAAGCTATTTATTTTCGACTTTTAATGGAAAAGAAAGAGCGGATTTTTCGAAATATTGCAAACGAAGTTGCATTTCACGTGATAATGCACTTATTAACAGATCTCAAAATTAAATTCTTTCCACAAATCGACCGTATTGTAGCCAAAACTTACAAGTATGAAGAAACCATTCCTGCTAAAATTTTAAAAAAAACTGTCGTAGCATCTGAAGTATTTTGGCAATCTTAGGAACTGGAGTGCTAAGCTCTAAATAGCAAGGACGAACAAAGTACATAGCAGACTCCGATTATAGTCACCCCAAACGAGGCTTCTTAAGCCAATTGAACAGTTCTGTGTATCTTGGTCTTAATTTCATGTGCCTGTAAGCTGCAGTGTGATTTTAAGCGGAGTAACTATAAGCTGAGTCGACTGTTCTTTAATAAATTTTGTCAGACACCCTAAGATTAAATATCAGGTAATCATCAAAACTGGAAATTTGAGTCGAGTCCGAGTATGCTATATCTCAGTCAACATAATTTTGAAATTTGGTTGTTTCAGGAGGCTAAATCGACAATGAGCTCTGGTTTGCTTATATGCATTTTTTACACTTTCTGGATGCAATATGTTCGGGAAACTAGAGGTTGTTAATAAAAAAACCTATACCTGAGTAGTAGAAGGTTTCCATCCAATCATATACAGAATTTGGTATGTTGCCGGGATACTGCCATCAGCATTGCCGTAGTACTCTGTGTAAAGATTAACAAACGGTGTACTGTAAGGAGTTAAGATGATATGTTTATAAAAAGTTGGATGCTTTCATCTGCATTCGATAAATTGGGCAATGGAAACAATGCAAAGATGGAATGTCGAAAGATGTATCAGGAAGTTTAAATCAATATCTTTAAGTCGGTGAAAGGAAATATTAGGAAGCGAATTCAAAATTATTTTGTCTAGAAAATAGGCAATTCTGTAAATAACATATAAATGAATAACAAAGTCCTTTTAAATATTGAGCGAGAATACAAATATTCAAAACTATTGTATAGATTATTTCCTTTTAAGGCACTCAAGTATAAACAGCATGCAAATGTACCTTTGTAAATCCTAGATGCTGCTTCAATAGTTTTTCTTCGTAGATAACTTTTTCTATTCCAAGAAGCATTGCTTTCTCCCATTCCTAAAGGCGTAACAAATTCGTTAAAAGTTTTCAAGTCAAAGTTAACACAACATATTGTATTGTAATGTTTTATTGATGTACTTCCTTAAAAACAAAGAACTTTATGACTTTTATTACAGGTTTCAAACTCTGTAGATATAGATAAACATTACAAAAACTTAAAGAAACACTTATTTTCAAAGACTGTTCACATCATTACCTTCAAACTATACACCACTCAAGAGCTAAATAAGATTAATACTTATGATCAAACAGAGACTCACCTTTTAAATCCTGCATCAAGTGATTTATGGTAGGATAATCAACTGTTATTTCATCAAAATCCTAAATAAAATACAACGAAAAACCAATACTTCGATTCTGTAACATTCTAATTCTAGCTTTTGCAAGAATCGGTATTTTAAAAGTATTCATTGAGTCCATTCACAAGAAAGACTTAAAGGCCATAAATGCACAGGCTCTCAGCCAATCGCCACTTTATGCATTTATTGCCTGGATTTCAGTGATAGTGGTTGATTCATAGTCAACAGAAAATAATAATATTGGTTTCTTCTAGTGAAACGTGAAATCAACTCCTAAATTATAAGCCTCTTTCTAATGGTACAAAAGATCAGGCTAGTCAAGAAAGGCGTTACCATTACTTATCATGTCATAGTGAATAACAATAGCCAGTGAACATCAAGAAACTCACAAAACTTAAGGCTTACAAGGGGGAATTTAATCGACAATAGTGCTATTGAAACAGCAAGCTTGAGCAGCGAATTTCTTCCTTCCGAACATATATTCCTTTCTATTTGCGTACATGCTTACCACAGTTGTTAAGTTGAATCCAGCTCGTGTCAAGAGATTACCACAGTCTCTCATCTGTGCAAATGGTGATATATGTGGCGCAAATCCCTGGCATGGAAGACGAAGAGACAGTTTTATAATTAATGAGACAATAGAAATGACATAATCTATGATCACAATACTCTTTAATGTTTAATTAAAAAGTCACATTCTGATAATTCAAGTGTTGTACGGTGTTGAATCTACTTTATACATTAATGTGAATGTCAGCAAAATAATTGTGTCGTTAATTTAAACTAATTGATGCTGATAATAAAACGTTCTCTCAAGACAGACAAGCCAAAAGTTGCCGCTATTACTTTAATAGAAAAACAGGCTTTATGGTATCGTCAATATGGCCTCCAGACCATTAAATGACTAATTCGCAATGTCTGTTGTAGAGGGACAAATATATGTAGACTAGTGTCGATTATTACCACATTACAAAGGGGGAACAATATGAGAGGTAGAGACTTCTTCACACTGCTATTAGCCGCTAAGTCCTTCTTCATTTAAGCCTTGGCTTTTTAAATGATTTGTAGAGCCACCTTTTGACCATTTTCCCCAATTTAACTATTTAAAAAAATTTGAACACATACGTAAGAGATTCTATGATAGTTAGGCTCTTTGTCTAAACAGGGCTTTAGGAATCAACTTGTTTCCTATGTCCTGGATTTGGAGTATTTTGTACCCAAAATGATATGATTTACTTACACCCTCCTGTTCAATCTCAGCCAACTGCAAAGCAGTGCGTAATTCAAAAAGTGTTTCACCACCAAACATTGCTCCCAGGAAAACACCATCTTCTTTTAAACATGATAAAACCTTTTTTAACACCCCAGGCAAGTCATTTACCCAATGAAGGCTAAGAATGTACAATGAAACATAATATGAAAAAAAGTAAAAATGATAAAAAAATCAAGTTTACATAAACGAAATCTAACAACAAAAGATTGTAGATCTTTTACATCAATTGTGGATACAATCATTTCATTCACAAAAGTAAAAAATGATACAAAAAGGGGGGAGCTTCAACCTCTTTGCATATTAATCTATGTTATTTGCAAAAATACCAATTCACAAGAGCAATATATTACTTTGCTGTTCTAGCGTGATACACTAAATAACTATATTGATCTTACAAACCTTAGACTGCTTAAAACAATATCAAAAAAATCTTTTTCAAATGGTAAATCTTCTTCATCTGCCAAAATTGATACAACAGAGACTTCCTGATCTGTACATCTGTCCTGTACAATCAAATACAAATCTTATCACATCCTTCTTATAATCATGTCTGTATTCTACCAAGATAGTTAGGTAGCAGCCCATGAAGTCCCATAGGACAAAGGAATACTGCATATTACTGAAACACAGGATATTATATGTCTAGTGGTTACTGAATCTCATTCATTATCACAGCATAATATCTTATATTACCTACAATAACTGAAACTCTAGAGAGGAAAGGAGTAAGATTTCCTCTTTCTCTTTGATAGGCGGGGCAAGGGGCATTTAAGTACCCTGTTTCTGAACACATGCTTGTTGACAATGTATTCATTTCTTAATCAATATTTTTATTGCTTTGATGAAAAAAGTATTCAAAATGTGCAAACAGCTTTCATGGACCAGAATTTTTTTTAAATGTCCTTGTCCTGAAAGCTGCCTGTTGCCCTTGGGTAATTCGAAAATTGAAATTTGCAATACAAGAATTAAAAGCTTTCAGTAGAATGTTAATTTAACTAAAATTGATTAGCATTAGCACTATAGACTTGAGAGAAATCATGAATAAAACATAACAAAAAACTAACCAACATTCCTTGAGACATGTCAGTCTGATGTAGAATTCCAACATCTTCCTGATAAGAGCAATTTCATATTCAATTCCTTTCATATAAAAAAGCTTCAATTTCCAGCTTAAAAAAACATTTAAAAATTACAGAAACTGAATATTATGAATGCAGCTTCAATTCTTTATCAAAGGTCTGAGCAGGAGAGTACAAAGGCAATTCAAAAACATGACTTATTCAAGAAATTGTTGGGGTTCAATGGCATGGTATGTAGCAATGTAGAATAATTACAAGAACGAAGGTAAAACTAAGGTACAACTGAATATCAAGTCAAGAAAGAAAGTTATTTCTTTCGTATGTATAATATTTTCTTTTTGGAAACCAATAAACACTAAATGCAAACAGGGACTTCTTACTTTAGTCAGATGCTTTGATAAATGACCCTTTCCACATCCCAAATCAAGAGCTACAGGAAAAAACCTAAAATAAACTTGAACAATCAATTTATCCACAAAAAATAAAAATTACAACAACAACAAAAAAGTGCATAAGCCATGTTTGATCCACTGACATTGAAACTAGAATTTATGTGATAAGAAACATGAAGTTCAGGGCAATTTCTATTATGTGATATGTGCTTTATGGTTTTATGCAATGGAAGGATGCTTTATCAGTAACTTTTGAGACTTGTTGCCAAATAAAGGATAGCTCACCCATTTTGTTGACAGATGGGACCGAAATACCCCCTTGAGCACAATAACTTGCAACAGCCCTGACTCTAGTGCTTGTCACCAAAAATAGTTGCTCATTAAGTACACCAAATTATTACATTATTTCAACCTTGCTTGTGTTCAAACAAAGCAAAGAAATTGAAAACATAAAAAAGTACATGGAATGCAGCATCGTAAAAAAAATATGACAATTTTCTATAGCTGCACCAAGCAAAACATCAATGTTTCAGCTTTATAATCCCCTCATCCAAATTACTTGAATGCCATATCTGAAGGAAAAGACTTCATCTGAAGGAATGAAAGCTAAGATAAGAAATAATTGGATACCTAGAGATATCATAGAGTCTATCAACCAATCTGTGTGCTACCTAAGGAGGCAATTTAGACTTCATGAATTTAACAGTCAATATTTATGACATGGTTTAAAAATTTTGGCATACTTTGTTGTAATTTTACCATATTTCTCCATATTTTGCAGTATTACGCAGAATTTTGTTTCATTTTGTTTCGTTTCGCTGATTAAAATGAGCTTAGCAAACCAGTGCTAATAGCCATATATTTGGTTGATGTCATTTATAGTATAGATAGATTGCAAGTACCCTAAATTCCCTTGGTTAAATCAAAATTTGCAAAATTCAACATCAGCTCTGTCTGATGCAACAATTTGCGTGTAATAGCCATGAATTGGGTTTTGTACAGTACAAGATAGATAAAAATGGATAAAAGGGGTTTGTAGAAAACCTCTCTAAGGCTAGGCTAGAATATAACGGTAAAATTTGGAAAAATTACATAACATTGGCATTAACCTTGTCTTGTCAAAAGCATCGTGCCTATAAAGTGTATACATTTTTTTAAAAGCCTATGCTTTCAAAGTAAACCTACAAACACATTTTGCTGTCATCCACTGTCAAGATCAAAAGGGGTAATTCTCAATACCTCGTCTTTCAAATAGTCGTAAACATGATGGTTCTCCAGTCTTGCAGCAACATTCCTCTGATGCCTTTTCGTTTTTCTATCAAATATGTTCATTACATCTTTTGAAGAAGTACTCAAAAGTCTTTTGCCAATACAATCAAGGCAAAATGATTGTCTTCCAGCACTTAGCAGACGCTGAGAAAAGCTTGTTGCAGCCTTCGTAAAAGTTAGGCCAGCTCTTGACGCCATATTGACTTCACCATGCAGCCTCTTTTCCATCACAATAAATAAATGGCGGGAGGGGAAGGGGCTGATAGCAGCGATAAACTGGGGCATATCTTACTCCAAAGAAAGGACATTTTATCATCAGCATCAATCAGTTCAGTTCCAATTTAGCGACACAATTCCATTGCAGACCTTCACAGGCAATAATGTAAAAATAAAATCAACACCAAATAACGCATAAATTCTCGCAAATAGATATACAACCGACACATTAAAAACATTCTGTTTTTAGTTCGTGATGCTAGAGAAAGGCCAACGAGTCTACAGCAAAGCCCTAAAAAGGAAAAGGAGGCAACGATTTGTAAGGGAGGAGGAGAAGATCAAGCTTGTTGATTTCCAAAAATGGAATTCAAAAAGGTCAAACCCCGAATTTCTAGATACAAAGTTGGATTGAGTTTGAAAATTCTGCAACATTTTATTGTTCAAAGTAAAAACACGTGAAATCACATCCTGTTTAAAGATTAGGGAACATAGACGAATAGAATGTGTGAAGTAAGAGCAATTGATTAGGTTTACCATATAACATGATATATCACAGTTCACTATTAACAATTCCTGACATTAAATGCAAGCAACTTGTTCCAAATATTCATGAAATTTACTATTAAGAGCAAAATATGGACGAAATTTTCAAAACACCGAGCTAATGTAGGACTAAATGAGTTTCCATTAACACTAAAATAATTTGAGCAAACAGGAACTGAAATTCCATTTAAGCAACATACTTTTCTTCAGAATGCTTACAACAATCTAACCACTATTTCTTCTTTTCTTTATTACCAGATCGTTGTTTTTCAAATTCATCGAGTTTTTTGCTCAATTTTTTCTTTGCATAGTTACGCTGAATGTCATTCAAGGGTTTAGTTTTCTGTTTCATCATTGCTTTATCCGAAGACCTTCTTGCATCGATTTTGGCCGCCTGGCCACACCCATGCACCTCTGCTAAACCATGCTTCAAACAGAACGTCCTTGTACAGAACTTGCATTTTTGGCCTAATGTCAAAACACTGGCTTTGCATTGATCAAAATAGCATTTTGAGTCATCTTGTGTGAATTTGGCAATCAAATCATCTACATCTTCCTCTTCTTTTCTTTTATCAGCACCTTTTCTTTTACTTTTTCCAGTTTCTTTTGCTTTACTTTTGCCCTCTGATGGCTTTATTTTCACTTCGCTCGCCATATTTTTCTCGCACCTCACAATATGCAATTCTTTGTTCTTACTAGGTACCAATTTGCCGCAAATTTCACAGAGATAACAGTCATGATTGCTGGGCCCACCTTCTAAACTATTGGCTAAAAATTAATGAAAAATTAATAGGCTGTTTATCAGCAACCTTGAATAATCTTTTGACCAAAGAAGACAAAACTGTGGACCGGTGCTTTACTCTCTTTTTCAAGAAAAATAATTTTGCATTTTATGAACTTTGATTATTTTGTTTAAATGTTCGGAAAAATCGAGCAAACATTATTTCAGTTCTTATATATTGATTACACTGTTAAAAGCAAAGAACAAGAAACTTTTAAAATTTTATCTTTGCACAGCAACTATACACCAAAAACCAGCAAAATTCAGTCGAACAAACCAATGCCGTATATTTGTTTATCCATATAAGCAATTGTATGCTAATTTATATGAAATAAGTAAATTTGCTTAACCGTTGAATTTCGACAATCAAAGAGCGCTTGCAAATAAAAAAGACAAAATATTGAATAGATACAAAAACTTAATTCTAGAAAAGGAAGTAAAAACTTTTAAAACGACAAAAAAGGGGAGAAGAGAGAAAATTGTAGTTTGTGTAGTAAAAACTAAAGTTAGATCAGATAAGACATCTACCTTCTTCTTTTCTTGCCTTCTTTGTCTTTCTCTTAACCGATATGCAACGGTCTTCACCTGTCCCACTGCTCCAATGAGCTAGACCGAATTTCTCGGCTAGCTCATGAACCCAAAATCTCCCTTTACCATCCAACAAAGAATCAAAAGTAAGGACTTCTTCCGCCTCTGATTCCAAGAATTGAGAAACCTTTTCTTCGATATCTTTCTTTGAGAACTTAACATCTTCCACATTCACTTCATCTTCCCTTCGTTCGTGGGAAATTTTCGCATTGCTTTCCCTATCAACTTTTTCAGTAATGCTAACATTTGTACTTTTATTTACCACTGAAAGGGTTTTAGAGGACACACACTCATTTTTTACACTAACATTCTTTGTGATAGCTTCTGCTCCAAGATGATTTCTTCCATGTCTAAGATTTTCAAAATCCTTCAACAAATCGTCAGCTTTGTCTTTGCCTAGATCATCCTCTTTATTAAGGAAGGTCTGCACAGATCTGACTTCACCATTATCGGCAACATACTCGTAGAATGATTTCAAAAACGGATGGTTGCTTATAGTTTGCGAATCTCCAATCACAGCTAAATGGCGCCTGGCTCTTGTGATGGCCACATTTAAACGCCTGTCCTCCTTCAGAAACCCAACCTCACCTAAAAATGCAAGACAATACATGCACAACATAAACATAATCAAAACGGTACTCGGAACAGACGAGGATAAACATATTATTCTAGTAAAAATTATGGTTTAAAAGAGAAGTCAACAGATAGATGTCGTATCAAACTGTTATTGTGATGGTTTAGGAAAAAAACTCTAGACAGAAAAATTGAAGAGCATTAAAATTGTTGAGGAGCTAGTTTTCAATGCAATGATCATAAATCACGTCATTAAACAAACAAGACTTTTTATCATAAATCATTTCAACTACTACTTTTAATAGTATTTGTTGGTTCACGATATACCGTCCTTAGGAGAAAAATACAATAACCATAAATAGTGTTGTCGTCATCATTGCAACTGAACAGTCAAAAATACTCTGAAGCATATTATATAATTTACTAAATCTCCAAAGTTAAACTTATGTAAGTACCAAGAGTTGTAATACTATGGTCCATCTCTTGGAACATTGCAATATTCAAGTTCGAAAATTGACGAGACTAAGCATTAACGTTTTTCTCTAGTTATCTACACTGCTGTTAAGTTAAGCTCCCTTTCCCTGCACAATTTATTCGTGAAAGCATTGATACAAATAATGATGGTCTGACCAATACTAGCAACAATAAAACATTGAAACTTAGATACACTGTTGTGGGATGATACGAAAAAAGACATGAAAAGAACTTTGTAAAACTGTTGAAATCTGGTGAACGTCTCCCATTTATTTTGACAAAAATCCTAGCTTACCATCGTCATTAGATCGAACAAGGGAAATAACTATTGCCTCCTTCTCGCGACCCTGAAAGCCATCAACTGATCTGATTTCGAGTTTTGGATACCGAAATGACAATCTTCGACGCAACAGTTCCACCTGAAATAAAACAGACGAAATAGACCCTGATAGAATAAATCACTTATTGCCTTGGTACACAACATGGCAGCATTAATAACGAAGACTCAATTTGACAATAGCACAAATATCATTAGAGTCAGAGAAAAGTTCTATTTCACATAAAATAGCAAAACAAAACATTTGTGAAATCCAAAAACTATACGAAAAAGCTTAGGCATATTTCTGCATACCTAAAAGTATGTTTTCTTTTAGCTCTCCTACAGGGCCTATTTTAAGAAATTTTTAATACTGCACAATTATAACTACATTTTTTATAGGAAATTTTGTTGTTGCAATTTTTGGAAATTTCTAGTCATTTCGTTTTGTTTCTTTTCACAAGAGAGTCTTTCCGATTGTCATACGAGATTTGCATTACATGACCTCTATATCGAGCTGACGGGGAAAATTCACATTTTGTGAACAAAGCGAGAATCTGGGATAGCGGCAATTAGACATTTTCACAAATCACAAAATTCAATACTGCACTTTTTCGAAATCAATACTGCACATTTTTAAATAAATATTGCACAAAGTGTGTAATACTGCACACTAAAATAGGCCCTGCTCTCCTAGTAAAATACAACATTGGATGATAACCAAAATCTAGACGCATATGGTAAAGTATGTGAACGTTAAGAGGTCACTGGTCAAAAAAGAAGCCCAATAAATAGGCCATTCATAATCTTCAGTCGCTTTCAGACATTTTTGTTTTAACTCCTAAGAAGCGTCGCGAAAATAAGCTCTTTCAGATTACAGTTATATGGTAATCCGTTTTTATGAAATTTTGAAATAATTTTACCTTCAAATTTGCATTATAGTGGTTAGTTTGGAAAAATAATACAATATAGTTTAGATGCTAGATAGCAAAAAAGAAAGATGTCACTGGTTTTTTACACGTGGTGGTCAAACACCTGAAAGATAGTGTGGAACCAAGACAAGTTATATCATTTTATCTTATCCAATAAGTCCTGGAGACCCGAAGGCGAACAACCACGGGGAATTCAGAACTTGAAAAAAAGCAAATTCAGAACTTGGATTCTTGCGTCTAAAACTGGATGGCTTACTTGCAAATTGTACGGTGTAATCACGCCGATGACATCTGGTTTAACCTTTGCGTTTATAAGAGCTGTCACGTGATTGTCAACCAAATCAACCTCACTTTCATTTCCCTTGGATTCTTCTGTCTCTTTTTTCATTTCGTACATACAGCATCCAGCTGTATCAAAAAACACCAATGGAACAGAAGTGTTTTCATCCGAAATGACACCAGGTAGTTCGCATAGTAAATGACTCGCAACAGAATCATCGGCTGTTAGTTTATTGTCATACAACTGCTTTGAGGGCCATGACATAATGTAGTTGTTCATTCTAGCGTGAGATAAAAATCCATTGATTGCAATAAGCTATGGTTGAAACGAATATTAGGTTTGAAATGGTTTGTAAATAAATGATGGTTTTATAAAGCACCAATTCAACAAAACTTGGTCCCTTGCCACATTGTAAGCATGTCTCAATAAAAATACAACGTTTATAGAATAGGTCCTTTCGACCAAAAGCCAGGACATTTCTGAATAACAAGTGAAAATCTTTCCAAATAAAAAGAAGATAGGACGTAATTTGGGAAAATATTGGTAAAATCAATAATGAGTTCTCTGAATCAAATGTATTTAACTTATCTCCTGATATTCACATATGGTTCAATTGCTAGTATATTTTGCTTGTCATTAGTAAAACAAATTGGAATTGATTCTTATCCGTCAAGCTTCACATTGTATTGCTTTCTTACCATTGCTTAAAGTTTTTACGCTAAAGTTCAGGGTGTAATGCTATGAAAACAACAAGGGGGTGCTCTTAGGCAAAATTAAAAAAAACGATACTAAAAGTAAAAATTGGCAACTTCTCAGCCTTAAAAGGGGGGCCAACTGACCTCTAGAACTACACCCTTGCCACAGCCTTATTTGATCACTAATTAATTTTCCAGGGTAATAATATTTCTACCACCAAATGCCCACCAATTAAAAGATGTAAGATTACATACGAACGACAAGAAAAGATTTGTTACCTGTATTGAGTAGTGAGCATTCTTACCACCCCCGGTCCAAACTCTTTCACTATACGCTCCATCAAAGTGACCTCCAAGCCCTTTTTCGATGCCTCCTGGCTGATAATGGTTGGAGGAAGTTGATTATGATCACCAGCGAGAATACACCTGAGCAAAAGATAGATTGTTATGTAAAACACATGGACCGTTAGCACATATATAATACAACTGATATAGGAAAACTAGAGAAACTTGTACTGAACTTTAGCTGAAGTTCTTGGGGTGGGAGTAGCTATTTATTGCCTTAAGCCGCGAGAAGTGAAAGGATACTATAGAAGAGAAAGGAAAAGCTTTTCAACATACCTCCAATTAAAGGCATAGTGAAGAGGTTTATTCCAAGGTAGAGAAATCCTGGCGACAAATGTGGACCCCAACAGACAAACAGCTTGGAACGGAGGGTACAGGGCAAATGTGGCACCTTTGATTAAAAGAAGAAGACTGGCCAGGAATCCCATAGCAATCTTACCATATTGAGAACAGTTGAAGAGTTGGCTGTGAGGGATAGCCATTAGACTCAAACAACATACACCGTTGTCAAGAGACAACAGACCCCTGGTCGTTACATTGCATAATGCAACACTTATTCAAATTATCATCACAGCTCTATTTCATGACAAGTGTTTTGTGGTTTTACCTGCTTCCAAAGCTCAAAGGTATCCAGCAACTCGCTTCCAATGCTTGGGCAGCTTCGTCGATTATTATCAAATCAAAGTGATCTTCATTCAGATGACGTAATGGGCCTTGTTCATACGAACTTGTTGTGGTTGAAAGAATGACATCAGCAGACGAAAGAACAGACTTGATTGCTTTGTCTTCCCTTTCAAAAAGTTCTTTTTTTAAATATTTCAGTTCAGCTCTCAGTTTCCTTTTTTCATCTCCATTTTTACTCTCCTTTAATTTTCCCTTCAATAAGATATTAATGTTGTAGTCAAGTTTGTTTTATTGTAAATTATGTAAACAGAGGTGTAGACAATGGGAGTGCGGGAAGGTTCTGCCCTTAACTTTACGTTTGTCCGCAAATACCAAAAATTTCTACATGCTCAGTATATTATCTATTACTCCAATTTTTTAAATATCAATGGTATATGAATGGTGATAAATTCATCCATACTATTTAGTCCATTGCTGACTACAAACTGCATGCGTATTCTCAAAAGAATCAAGGAACTATAGCATATGGAATTAAGTAAACAATCATGGCAATACGTAAAAAACCAAGAATAAAAAAGACAAATTATCAAGAAGTCCATCAATGTCTTTGAACATAATTAACTAGCAACACATTTGCAGGGTCCCCTCGTTTTATGTGTATATGCCCCTCATTCAATGCGTAAACACCATCAAGACACAATTGTCACGCAAAATAATCTCTTGCCTGCAAAATAATCTCAAAGATAAAATTGAAAAAGAAAGTAAAAATAATGCCATAAACCTGTGCCTTTTGAATATCATTTCTGACATTTCGAATTATCTCTGCAGAATCTGATCTCATTAAAACAGCATCCAACGAAAACCTTTGTAAATGAGGGTAAACACGAGCTGGATGGCCCAGCCTAATGATCTGTAAAAGTGTAAAAAAACTGTAAGAGAGAAATATGTAAAAAAGTGTTTGATGCATAAGAAAACTGAAATTTTGGGAATATAGTAATATATAAATTTGACAATAAAAATCTGAGAAATTAAGTTTTATTTGACTAGGTTAAGTTTTATCTCACAGGTACTGATAACTCGCTTTAATTTCCATACCTGAGAATTTTATCTAGAAGTTAAACAAACACATAGCTTGGTGATAGCACTAAGCATGAAAATCACAGTAGCAACATAGAACCTTCCTGTTCTATACACCCACATCATGTATAGCACTGCCAACACAGCATCTGACACTTGGTGACAGATAAAAAGAAATTTACGAATACAGGCAGACAAAAAAAAGAAAACTTTAACTGACTATTTCAGCTTGTAATCAATGCAATGAACTAAAAGATAAAAACAATAATAAATGGAGTGAATTATAGATTCAATCTAGGAATAATAGATATCATAGATTCTCTTACTTTAATTTTTGAATCTGCTAATTTTGCAACAAGATTGTCAACAGCCACATTTGAAGGTGCACAAGCAAGAACCTGAAATCATCAAAGAAGGTTTTCAATTTTTTCCAGGTCCTCTCACAGGTAGTCTTAAGCAAAGCATTTACTTTGTTGGCAAAAATCTACATATCATGTATATAATATATATCAAAACATTATATACACAATTTGCTCCAGCTTGCAAGACAGATTCTTAATACACCTGTCCTCATCAAGTCATGGTTAATAAAGATTTACACAGGAAATGACAGGATCAAATAGCAATTAATTGATTCTTATAAATAAAGAAATTTAAAAGTAATAAAGAAGAAAGTATGAAAGAAGATGAAAACTAGGCAACAACAGCAAGCTATAATTTGTTAGGACAAACCTTTAAGTTAAATTTCAAGGTAGCTTGCTTGATGATTTCTATAACAGTTGTTGTTTTACCAGTTCCCGGGGGACCATGGATGACAGCAACTTCCTTCTGATTCAAAGCAAATTTAACTGCATCAGCCTGGCAACTGTTCAAGGCTGTATCAAATAGATGGAAAGTGTCATCTTTGACTAAAGATAAAGGGTTTCCTAGTGGCACTAGGTGGAACAAAGCATCCTTCAAATGGGATGACTTCTTCGTATCTTGAAGATTTCCAAGAGCTCTGTAGAAACAAAGAATTTGTCCATATTAGCATATTTACAACTTTCATTTTATGGGTTACCTTCTAAAACTAATCTTCTAGCCATCCATTTATAGGCTACCATAAAGACCATAACAAAACACAACTGAAGTTACTGTGTTAAAACTAGGGCTATGATCCTTGTCTCAGAACATTGTAACATTCAAGTGTACAAAATTTAATCTAATAGCTTGTTTTCAACTGGGAAAATATTTTTCCAACAGCTATTGCTACACAAGTTGGTGTTTTGAGTAGCCTCTTTAATAGCAAAGATGTTAGCCAAGCTAAATACCTGATTAATTAGAAGGATTTCATTAGGATATTTAGAACCATATGATATCTAGAAATAATTAACACTTTTTTGGCAATAAAGTTTTAAATTTTAAATTGGCAAGTCTTGAGGTCATTTTACACAAGTCAACTGGAATTGTTTTCCATATTTGTTGAACGATGTAAATGGGATGGGAACAAATATTGACATTTTCCCAACATCTTCCCAGAGTTTTTCAAGTATGGCCATGTTTATTCTTGGCAACATTGTTGAAGGAATGACCTTTACTCTAGCTTAATATCACTTATTATACACCAGATATAATAAAGACAGATGTAAGGCTTCATTAAAGACTAACTTCTTAAGTCTTTGATAAGTGACATCATTGCAAAGTTTAATGAGCTTGAAAGTTTCATAATAGTTTGTGACTCCAAGTGCATCTTCAAATGCAACTGTGATTTTGTTTTCTGCTGCTTTTGTTACAATACCTGACCCAATATTATCATCATTCAGAGGTGAACTTGATGTCTGAAGGCCAACAATATCACCTAAAGGAAACAAAATTAGCTTAGATTAAAAAACAATAGATTTTTTTATGTCAAATAAATCATATTTTGATGTCAATTTATCAAGAGGTGTGCAAACAGAAGCATAACTTGACCATCAAGTCCGGTGGCTAGAGAATCCTGAAATATAAAATTTAAAGATATAACAGTTCTGTTCATGTTTACCTACCATTTGGAGACTCTCCCAATCAACTAACCATTTTGTTGCCTCAGTATGAAAAATATGACAAACACACATGCAAGATCAGTGTAGTGCTGTATACCACAATTTTAAATTGCACAACAAATCTTTCTATATGCCATATGATAAAAGGAAGTTGCATGCTGTTAACATGCTTGAAATGACTATGCATGTGCAAGATCTTAACAGGAACTGCAATTCTTTGCAGACTGGTTGTTGACCAAATAAGGAATTTACTTTTCCTTAATGCCGTGGTTATTGTTCCAGTACTGGAACTTATTACAGGCCTGGCCGTTTGAGGCGAGCGATAGCTCGCGCTCGCCTCCACGCTCCCCTCGCAACCTGAGGCGAGCTATGAATTGCTCTCCTAAACAGAACATGAAGGAAGAATCGCTCCCCTAAAATTTCCTATTAAGAGAATTATGAAAACGCACAAGGGTTAATTGGTTTATTTTTGTAGCAGCGATTTATCCTGTCATTTTTTGCAATTAACTTTTTGCTTTTTGGGTGGTTTTTGTTACGATAGGCATAAACTTCGATCTATTTGGAAAAGGATAGTTAACCGAAAGGTATGTTTGTAGCGATTAGAACCTTTCAATCTTAAGAAAACAGGAATATTTTTGGAAGGAGAGTCGAATAAATTGGTAGGAATTGTAGATTGGGGATATGATAAGACAGCAGGTCCCTCCCAGCAATAGAAACAAAACTATCCCTCAAAGAGAACAAGGTACTCTGTCTTGCAGATCAAAAACGACAACCAAAACATGGAATTCCACTATCCAGCGGCATTTACTGAAAAACCCAGATTGAGTGAAAACTATAACGGCAACATGTTTGGCAAAGCCTGATCATCGTTCCATCTAGCAGTTTGTGAATCTATCTACAATATAAACATGACATACTGCTTTTGTGTAGACATAAATGAGTTCGTTTTCACCGTAGGACTCCGTTGGTAACATTTTCAATAGGAAAGCGGCACTGATTGGACAACCTCAACAGTCATGTGCTTGCATTTTCTGATTGGCCTATTTCGATCCAAAACTGGGTATTTTAGCGTAGAGTTTTCCATCTATGTTCTGACGTTTTATTCTCTGAAGAGTGCTAGACATATAACTTCAGCTTGGTTTTAATTTTTTTTTTCAAAGCCATTTTCAAATTCTGTGCAATAAAAAGATTGTTTTGCAAGAGAAGTGTTGTTTTTGCGTTGTGCCAGCTTTACATAGAACTGAAAGAGTCTGTTCTTATGAATACTTCAAGTTAAGGGGGTGCCTAAGTCACAGTTAAAGAAATACAAATTGAAAGAAGTAAAACAGCACACTCCTGACTGAGGCTATTACATTAAGGCAACCGACAGATACTAAAGGGGCTTATTAAGTCATCTGTTGATTGTCTTTAAAGTACATTCTATGTGTTACTGATTTAGCTCGCCTCAGCAAATGAGGGGAGCGATTCACAGCTCACCTATAAAAATACAAACGGCCAGCCCTGTTATTACATTTCAGCTATTCATTTGCCATGCATGCTCATCAATTACTTGCCCATGCAAAACACTCTGATGCCTGTGCACACAAAATAATTGTCTTAAAATTTCATGAGAGATTCGTTGACGTATCTTGTGTTAGGCCGGTGCTGCAAGGCTCATGCAAACAAAGTAAATGTTGGTTGCCTGTGTGATTTATCGTTACTAACAAGTTTATTTGAAACTGGAAACATTGTTTGATTGCTCAATGGTCCCTGACTGATTGATCCCTGAACCACAGGGCCGTCGCTAGCTATTGTGCTCAATGGGGATGCTCCGATCCAATTTGTCAAAAAAATTTGTTGAACCATCCTTTATATGCTGACAAATCTGAAAATTTGCTGAAAAAGCACCCCTAGATGATTGAAAAACCCAATAGAAACTATGAATTTTTTTCCAAAGTGGGGGTGGGGGTTACTACAATCGTTTTGGGTTGCCATTCAAATTTATGGCAGAGCACGCTCCGTGTACGCTTTTTGGAAATCTGGAAAGTTCATGCATGCAAACATAAAAAACATTCTGAACAATGTAAATGTCAGATCACAGTTTTCAGTTAGATTGTTTCTTTGAAAGAAGTTTCGAGGAGTATTCAAATGAAAAAAATAGCCTGATAACCAGCTCATTATTCTAATATTCCTTTAGAACAATGGGCTAGTTATCAGGCTATTATTCCAGGGCCTTCTATGTGTGTTTCATGCGCAAATATCTGTCATATGAATAGCCAAAATGTAATAAGATCCGGTGCTGGAACACAGCGCTTTCTTAATTGATGATGTTTGTAGGTGAAGGCCTAAGGAGCCATAGCAAAGCTTAACAATTGTCCAGCTCACAAAAAGTTCGGGGTGTCACAGCCTCTTAATCATCTGGGAGATACAGCTCTGTTTTCAACAGACATTTCAGAATGCCTTCATTTATATAAAAACCTTGTGAATAAAATTATCTTTACTGAACTGAACGGCACTGAATCTGCAAAACATGGTACAAGAAGATGAAACAAGCTAGCTATTTGCCTTACCATTTGAAAAGCAATGAGAACTTAATTGGTCTTTCTGAAAACTTTCAGCTTTCTCCTTGCTAGACTTGGTGTTTCCAGCCACACTTCGGACGAAAGTTACTAGGTGTTTTCCGTACAAGCCGGTACATTCGTTAACTATGCTTAATTTTGACACACAGATTCCTCTTTTTTCGAGCTCCTTTATGTCACCTGACCTTCTCAAAGTTACTGATTCTTCAATTTCAGCATTTCTTTCTAAATCGAGTAGCTTCAATTGTTTTTTGGCAAATGTTTCAATCGTTGCAAATTTTACGTCGGCCATGTTTTTGCGAAAGTTTTAATACGTCAACTTTGATGAATTGAATTGAAAATTTCTTGACATTCAAGAGGTTGTTTCCAGGCGGGGATCCTGACGGGAGCAAAGGGGGCAAGTGCTCAAATCAGATTTTCTATAGCGCATGTCAATTCTTATTTTGTGGAAAATGATCTTAATAATATCATGATGAAAGTTTCTGATAAACTGTAAATTTTTGTTTCCCGACATCAGAAAAATCTAATGCTAGCCAGCAACACTGTTCTAAAGCTAGAATGGAAGAGCAGGCGATCATTTGATTTTGACTTTTGATTTTCCCAAACAGGGTCGGATTTACCGAAGGTGTAGGGGGTCTGACAGCCCCCCAATATTTGTGTGTCCTTTGGTTAATGGGGGAGGGGTGTGTTTAGGGCTGAGCGTATTGCGGTATTTGCCTTTTTCTCGGTCGGTATTTCGGTAATCTTCCTCAAATTGGGCGGTGTTTCCGTAATGAGAATAAATGGCGGTGAACGGTTTTCAGTAAATTCAATGCCCAGTGTGCAGTATTCGCGTGTTGGCCAGTTCTGAAGTAAACAATGAAGCAGTTTAATTAGAAATGTGGGCGAAATGCTAGCGGTTGTAATACCGCTACTCCAAGCGCTAAGCCTCGCTCTTACCTGCCTCTTTTGCGCATTTCCTTCGCCCCATTCATCCACTCTCCCTGCGTTAGTCATACTTGTTTGTGCATACTCTTTTGCGTCAACTTGCATCGCACTCTTTGTTGCATTGCGTATACTAGTAGGAACACTTTCACTAAGGAAACCCACCCTCTATTATAGTATTATTTTAAGAACTATACTACGGATTGACTCAGCTTATACATACGTATCTAGACACATTCCTATTGTTTTTCTAGCTTGTTTTTCCTCTTATGTAGACACCTAAGATTAGCACATTTACATCTTTTATTTGTACAAGGAACTAGTTTAATATATATATATCGTTCTCTACGAATCCTGAGTTAGTGAAGAGTTAGAGCATTGTGAGCACGTACACTTCGCTCTTGTGAAAGGCTTAGTGGTACAAGTCGTACAACGATATACGTTTGAGAAAACTATATCTGTGTTTATTTGTTGTGTCATTCTGAAGTTTTGCCGAACATTTAGCTCGGAACCTGTCGTATTTAGAAACCAATTTACACGGTGATATCTTTTTGTATCCATGTTGCAACCTTCGTGATTTTTTGCTGATAAATACCAAATTTTTTTATTCTCTCCAAATTCTTTTACTCTCTGTATTTAATTGCGTTAACCCTCGTTGAAAAATTGTCGAGTTGCGACTGCAAATGTACATCATTTAATTTCGGAATTTTCATAATTACTTTTTTTTCTTCGTTTGCCTCACAATCTAAACTGACTAATATATAACCAGATTCGCTGAAACCAGCTATAGCGTCCATTTAATCGTTTTGCCGATATGTCATAAACAACATGTCATATATAAAAAGCAAACACGACTTTAGGTGGGGACACTACAGAAAGGTTGTTGTTTCTTCCTCATAAATGTATATGAAGGAATGCCTAACTTAGAACTTTTTTTATAGGATTTGCTCCAAACTGTGCCGTTCCCCCTTTTTTTCTTCAGTATGGTGCTGCTGCTAACTGCTTCTGTTTCACATCAGCATAGCAAAACCGCACTTTTCGATTGGGCGCTAAAAGCGTTCAACTGCCTAAAGAAAGAACTAAAAAATCTACCTTTAGTTTAAAAGTAGAAACAAATTTGGTTTGTTTCAGTTCCTCCTATAGTCTCTGAAGTCCAAGGTTTGCTTCAAAAAATTTTGTTATTTCACGAATAGAAGAATTAGATTTTGATGTGCCACATGGAACTTTTTTTGGATTTCTCGCATTAATAATTTGTATCAACAAGAAGAACACATTAAAAGATAAAAGTATTTTCGATTGAAGGCATGAAGCTTCCTCCTTGAATAAGCCCCCACCCTAAAACTACAAATTGTCAATAAGCCCCTCCCCTCGAATAAACCCACACTGCTACGGTAAATCCTCCAATTGCGACTTGTTAATTTTTGCCATGCGAGGGTGCCTTTGATGTTTTATTAATTTACTAAAAAAATTCATACTTTTGATAATAATTAATTAAATGTTCATAAAGAAACTCCTACAAAATAAACGAGATATTTTAACAATATGCTCTTAATGTCTACTATAATTTTATAAGCCCCTATCTCGTATAAGCCCCTCCCCTCGAATAACCTCCATCTAAAAATGTCAAGGAGGTTCCTTCGAGGATTTTCGGTATTTGTTGATTTAGGCATGGGATTTGGTTACCACTTTCAGAAACATTTTTCTATTAAAAGTCATACATTAATTTTTGAGGGATTATCTAATCTTTCGTTAGCTCATTGCTCGGCTTCCCATAGACCCTTTCCCCTACCATTACACCCCTGGGATTCATAGAAAAAGTGTGATTTTCCATATAGTAAAAAAATATGCTATCATGGATAAGTTTAGTTAAACTGCTTACACTAAACAGTTTGACAACCACAACACTAAGAAAAAAACTACTTGTGTCCATCAAGAAGACTCTGAAGACTCTGAGTGGAATGTCAGCTAGAACATTTTTCAGAATTTATATTAGAAAGATTCATTAAAAAGGCTCATGCACAAGCTTCATATTCCGTGGGCGCACGAGTTTTGGGAATATTAAAAACTTTCCGCTCATATATGGCCATATATTACGCGTTTGAATCTTGACGATTTTCCCAGAAATTACTCGAAACTTAAATGAGATTAACTAAAATTCAAACGGCAATGTATTCGGTAATTCTCTTTATTAAAACTCAGTAATACGGTGATATCAAAATATTATTGCGGAATTACGGTAATAGGGAAATTATCTTGCGGAAACACGGTATTTGATACCCCCAAAGACCCTCCCCCCTCGTAATTTGTTTTGATTCGGTAAAAAACACTTTTTGCTGGTCAAAAGTAGCAAAATAATGCAAAAATTTACTTTATCTATCTTCTTATCCTCTTTATCTTGAAGCGAGAAGCTTTATTTTCAAAATGGGTGTTCCATCATTTTCCAGTCACCTGAAGTGTATGACTGGAAATACAATATTCTAAGTCTACATCACATTCAAATATTTGATCTGGGACTTAGTGAATTTTTTTCTGTGTTTGCGTATTCTCAGTCTAACTTTTACAGTCCACTAAGAAGCGATCTACAGCAACTCTATCAAAAAGTTGAAAGCTAAAAATGTTACAATAATAAATACGTTATAAAGATATAATTTTGATACCATAGTCCATTTAATATACGCTTATTATAGTTAAGATAAGATGGTTGTGTTGCTTATTTGTCTTCATAAAATGTAAGTGCATCTGCAAGAAATAATGTTTTGTTCTCAATGATGTTCGAGTCTTAAGAAGGAGGCGTGGCGTCGGTTTGAAATAGCAGAGATGGTTTTTTGAGGTTCTGGTACAGCCACAAGGATGCATTCATTTAAACTTGAATGGTTCTTGAGAATAAATCAATAACAAAGGGATTTTGAACGGGTAGTACCAGAAATTTGGGCTCTCAAAATTTTGCCACGAACACGACATTCTCACAATAATGCGTCATCAATGGAAGCCTGGTAACCAATTTACAAATAAAATGCGCAGTAGATAACTGCGCTTGTCTTCTGAAAAGGATCCGCAGCAAGTGGAAGGAAAGCTGGCTTTTCTCGGTAAATTATTCTCTGTTTTTCTTTGCAAAATAATGCTCTATTCCTCATTATTGCGCACATTATTTAAATTTTGACTCTTTATGTCGGAAATCACCAAACAAAATCATGTTATGCATCTTCGAGTGAACTTTGTTTTGGCCTGGTACTTGGTTGCGATTTACACTGGCCTAAAAGGGCACAGGGCAATATGTTGTTCATGTATACGAATATGGATTGTTTAATATATTGTTTAAAAAACAAAGACCATAGGAAGATGTGCCTGTTGATATCAGCCAGTGTAAAGCCTTAGCTGAATTTTAGTCTGGGACATCAAGCACCGATTCGTTCTTTTTTTCTACGTTCATTCGCATTCTCTCGAGTGAATTCTTATTAAAGAGTTGATCTTTGAGAACAGAAATACTGAAGGAAGTCTACGTATTCAAATCATCACTATGTACGAAAGCTTCTTCGAAATATATCTTTCAAATTATAAAGGCTCGAAATTAAACATTATGTCATAGAAATAAAAATTTTGTAGGCTAACTCATTAGGGATGTCATGAAGATTGGTGTTTCAGACCTTGTGGGCCTGAGCTTTACTCCTGTAGATTATTGGCTCTGTTGAAATAATTTTTAAATTCCATAAAATCAACAAGGCTGTATGCTATTAGCTTTTCTTAACTATAATATTATACAATCTATAATTTTGTAATTTTAACCTAGAGATTTACTCTCGGTTTTGTGACATTATTTAAGGTTATTTTTATGTTTAAGTGAGCCAAGGAAATATTTGATGTGTAGGAAATTTATTTCTAGGGTTGGGTTTTAAGCAGAAATATAAGCTTTCCCAGTAAAACACTAAAAATATAAATTTCTAATGATTTTTATCCTTTCTCTTCGTATTATATCATTCAACAACCTGACTGAGTATTTTCAGTGGATTACTAGGTATAATTAAAACTTTAACAAGTATGTAGTTTGTTGTGTATCTATGATGTGCTATGATTTAATTTAGATCATTCTAAGTGTTTCAAATGGAATATTTTTGGCATTTTTTTTAAATAAAAGTTTATCTCACTGTTTACAAGAAGTGCATTTTGAAGTAATTATATTGGGAAGCTGGCAAATTATACTATCACTTTGGATAAAGTGACCTTTGCGTCTGTCACCAAGAATTACTGAAACTATTAGTTGTTGTTATGGTGTAACCAATAGCATGAAGTCTCTTTTATTATTATTTGCAAACATAGCATAAGTAACTGCTTAGTTTAATATCCATCTAACTGTTGTTCATAAATGATTTATCTTCATTCATTTAGATTCTTCCTAATGCCCTGCAGCTGATTTTGGTATAGCAACTCCTTTTTAATTTCCATCTTTGAACATAACAACCTAGCAAACATGTCTGAATCTGATGAGGTAAGTGATCTGATATTTAAATCTCATTATCATCATTACATTTACATTTAACAACCCTTTGGGTCATACAAATGTCTGCCCAGTCAACTACAACATTAAAATTTTAAAATTTACTGAGGTGATTTCGACATAGGTTGTAAAAGGTATCCGAATTTGCCTGCATCACAATACTGTCTGGCAGGCTATTCCACACAGGAACGATTGAATAAAAAAATGAAAACCTAACAGCATCAACCCTTCCGAATTTAGGCATGATCTTCAATGAGTTAGAGTTCCTTGTCATTGAACAAGTTGCAGGAGAAAAGAAAACGTTAGGGTCCTAAGCAACCTGATTTGTAAACATTTTATGAACATATTTCAGTTGAAATAGTAATCTATGTGATTCAAGTGAGTCCCATTTAAGTTGTTGCAATAAATCTGTCACTAAATCTATGTATTTGTTTTTAAGTATTATCCCTTAAGAAAATATATAAATGACTTGCCTTTATATTCCCAATGTCCTTTGAAATTTTGCATTGTAAAAAATTCATTGTTTTTCTTTGCAATATTTTTATATACCTTTCAGAATTATAAGATGTAGTAGACGTCTATTAGTTTTTGAGAAAAATAGTTATTAAAGTTGGGATCAATCAGTAATTAATAAAAACATTGCTTTGAATATAATGTGTTTCTTTTTAATAACATTTTGAGATTTATGCAATGCAACACCCATACAAACCTCTCCTGTTTCGAATGGGATTTTTGAAAATTTTAATTTTGTTGTAGTGCCCGCTTTGTATGGAAGTAATGGAAATTGATGATCTGAATTTCTTCCCATGTTCTTGTGGATATCAGGTAAGGTTTATGAAATAAATAACCATTATTATCAAAAGTACTTTAATTTTCATGACTGTTATTTATTTCATTGGTAGTTATGAGTCAGTTTGGTAGAGCTATATACTAGGTCAATTTGTTGAAGTATGTATTTGAGGAAAGTTGGCAAGGCAGATGGTGTCTCCATGATCTGTAAGCTTAGTTTTAGTCAAACCAGTGCAAGTTTGTTTTTGTTTTGCTATGGTAACCTGTATTTGTGTTTGTGTCCATGAAATGAGATTTTCTTTTCTGCAGATGTTGTTAAAATCCAGCTGCCCTTTTTTTCTTTGTATGATTAGACTCACCTGAGTCTCTTGGTAACTTACAGTTAAACATATGAGCTAGTATTTAATCAAGCATGGACTTTTTTGCTTGAAACAGTTTTGAGTGTATAAACATGGTATCCAAGGGCATACTTATAAAACAGATTAAATGGTAGAAATATTTTTGAATGATTAGTGTAGAGGCAATTATTGAGTTGAGTGATTCAGTTCAGTTCAGCTTTTTATATATTGAAATTCCTCTACATACTATATCTTACTACAATTACATTATAACTAATTACATCCAATGTTTACATAAAAATACATATATATAAAAACAGGCAATAAATACCAACTATGTAAGATGTTGTTTGCAGGGGAATTTCTTTTGGATGAACTCTCTTAGTAGATGAACTAATCAAGGAGAGAGCACCCTCTTCTCAAAGGTGGTTTTGAATGTAATCAACCATTTACATAGGTGACAGAACAAACATTTGACTTGATGGTTCTTGTTAAATTTGATTTTGTTTTGGAAATGGTAAAAAAAGAAATTTGTTCTTATCCATGCTTTACAAGAAGGGACTTCCTTTAGTTTATTTTATTTCTTTTTCTCTACAGATATGCAGGTTTTGTTGGCATAGGATACGAACTGATGAAAATGGGTTATGTCCTGCATGCAGAAAGGTACCCATTTTTTTGTTTTTTTTGGTCCAGAATTATATGTCCTTTTTTATGGAGGAAACATAAGAAGTTGCTTCCACAAAGTGTGTTTTTCATATCAAAGTTGAAGGCAAAATTTGATAATGATACCAAGGAAAGAAAAAGCTTGTTTGGTAAAAAGAAAACCACAATTTTTGGGGTAGTAGAACATACTTTACAAAATGATTGTCAGAAGTCAAAAGATAAAGGAAAGTCACCATCATCTTAACAATGAATTTAGTTTTAGTTATAGAACATGAAGGAAATATTCTGCAATGACACATTGTTATTAAATCACACCTACAATTATTGAATTTAACTTTTAAATTAATTGTACTTTTAAATAAAATAAATAACTATTAAAATAACTTTTATTTATAATAACTTAAATAAAATAAAAAAAAAATTAACTGGGCATCCAAATTATTTTAATTAAATTTGAAAGTATCAGTAGAAAGCAAATGCTCAAAATTTCATCTTTGGTGGTGGGATAGACATTGATCCGTAGCAACATTAGATGGCAATAATTCAAAATTATCAATCCATGATGCACAACTGTAAATAGTGGTGGACACCAGGGGGCAAGGGGGTGGTTACCATACATATATTGAAGGACAATGGTCTTTTGTTCTAAAACAATGGGAAAATGTGACACCATCTTATCAAAACAATAGGCTTGCCCACTAATATTTGACCAAGTGTCCCCCCTGACTGTAAACTGACCTTTTTTTAAACTGTAATGAATGAGTGAATGTGCTACAAAGTTATGATTCTTGTTATGATGATTTTGGATTTTTTATTTTATATATATATATAAATACCTATATTTTTTTTTTTTTCATTCTGCCTTTAAAGTAAAGCTATTCAGATGTGACTGCAGGTAATCATCTTCATGCTCTTGCATCATGTTTATCATGAAATAATATAATATAACATTTGCGAAATCCTCTAACCAATTAATATGTTGTTGTTTTTGTTTGTTCAGCAATACTCTGAAGACCCTGCAATGTACCAACCACTTTCGAAAGATGAGTAAGTAGACTTTTGAAATATTAATTTTTATTGCTAATGAAATTCAATACTGCATGTGGGATATCCAGTGTATATGTATCAAAAATGGTACATATGCCTCTTTCCCAAGAGAGCTTGTTTTATGCAGCAACAACAGAGGTGAGGTATGAGCATGTTCCCCCAATATTTTTCTTGTTGTAGCTTTAAGCATTTATTCACCTTTCACCCTTTTTGTTTTCGCTGATCTTTCAGACTAAAAGGTTTCTGCAAGGGCTATTGTTGATGATTAATCCTAGAAAACACATGATGCTCTATTTCTAGCCTCTAAATATAATTGCCTTTAAGAGTCTTCAACATCAATCAATTGATTGCAAAAACAGATATATACATAATAAAACTGGATTCAAAGATGGCAATGGGATAGTTCTTTCCTTGTTCATCTCAACAAAGTAACATACTGATGCCATGGTCTTCAAACATGCAACTTTGAACTTTTTTGAGGGGGCCTTGCACCATTTTAGCAACATTTCCCTTGCAGTTAAAATATGGATTGTTGATGTTGAAGTAATCTATTTATTCTGTAAATCATCTTAATCCAGCATTCACTTGCATATGTTTGCATTGCTTTTATTATTTCAGCTTCTAAGTGCAGGCTGTGACCCCAATGGCCAAGTTTCAAAATTAATGCAAAGGCTAATGCCTACTCGTCACTTTTTTTTTTATTTCCAATAAAGAAGCAGAAAGTTGTTTCCTCAAGAATTGACAATATTTTTACAGTTAAATGCCATTAGAGAAGGTGCAATGCTTAAATATGTTTTTGGGTATTGTTGTGATGCAGTTTAGCATAACACAACAACATTACTTATATCTCTGTTTACAAAACCCAGGATCCAAAAGATAAAAAGAGAAAGAAAACAGAGAGAGGCTCAACGGAAGCAAAAAATATCAGAAAGTAGGAAGCATCTATCAAATGTCAGGTAATTCTTTTTATCTGAATGCCAAATCTTTTTTTGTTTGAATTTCAACAACAACATACTTTAGTATAGTTGATTAAGTTAAATTTTAATTTTAGATGTAAACATTCAAAAAAACTCAATGTCAGACATTCATTTGATGAATATTGTCAGTCCACTTGAAGTCTTGGTGCCTCACTCTTGTCTTGACAGGTGTCAGAAAAGCAATCTGCACCTATTGCTATCAATTGCAATGATGCTCCTTCATTTTATGTCATTAGTTTTCACTTTACAAATAATCAATTAAAAAACAAAGGTATTTTATTAGTCATGTACCAGCTTAAGCCATACCTCAGAATTCAGGGAATTCATTAGAAGACGGCAACCTACAAAAATCCGTTGTATACTCACCAAACCTTTGTCGCCTACTTTCACCTTCACTTTAGTAACACTGCCCAAAATTTAGTAAACTTATAGACTTCTACTTTTAGATGTGAGCTTTCTACTTTAAAAATTAATGAATACCCTGAGAATTCCAAAATATATTTTTGTGATGCCATCACCTTTTGATATATTTTGATCAAAGTTTAGATTTATTTTGGTAAGTAAAGTTTGTTTTTGTTTTTTTCTTAATATTATTGCTTATTTGCATTTGAATTTTTTCCCCATCTTTTAAGGGTTATACAGAAAAATTTATTATTTGTTGTTGGCTTGTCTCAGAGGCTGGCAGACATTGAGGTGATTATTTTGATCTTAACGTTTTGTTTTTTGATGACACATCAAAGTTTGCCTACACTGTAAGCAGGAAATTTTTGAATGGCTGCTGACTGCATGTGAAGTCATATGCTTTGACTATTCTGTGACGTCATTGATACAAATGTAGTATCTAACAGCAATCAAATGATGTCATTATATGTTAGTGTATAACTGCTAAAGACATTATGTGATATGCACAATCTTTCTTGCATTGCTTCTTTGTTGTAATACATCATCTTATCAATTTTTTCTCAGCTTTTGAAGAAACATGAATACTTTGGAAAATATGGGAAAATCATGAAAGTTATTATAAATCCAAGTACAAATTATGCTGGTCCCCAAGTAAGTAATGATTTGTTTTTCCTTCATTGTCTTGTTTTGTTTTTTACTAATGTATCTTGTAATCCATATATTCTTTGTTCCACTTCGTTATATTGTCAGGCCAATCTTTATATTGATTTAAATGGTCAGTGTTGACTACTTGACCTCTAAACCTAACACCTAGCTTATTCAAGCAAAATCTAACAGATAACCAAACTCGCCCCAACCTAGCACAAACCAGCCTAGCTAAGCATTATCAAGGCTAAACTTTTTCTCAGTAAATTTCCTTCAGTTCTTTATAACACATGAATTCGTTTTCTTTAAACAGGGTCCAAGTGCCAGTGCATATATAACATATAGCAAAGAAGAGGTAGGTGTGCACAGATCTAGCATATACATTAACAACAAAAAATTTCGTCAGGTAAATTTTCGGCGGATAAATTTTGTCGAAAAAAATTTCGGACAACTTTTCATAATTTCGTCGTGACAAAATTTCGTTGTGGATTTTTAGCACAGAGATATTACCAATGTCATAAGAGATGGAACCATACAGTTTGTTTGATATTCAATCCCATCGGTACTGGCTTCGTGGAGACTTTGGGGCTTGAGCACCTGTTCGGAATTGGGCTTATCGTCCCAGGCAGATTGTTAACACAGAACAGTTTTTCAGAAAAATCATAATAAAAGCGGTATATTTTCTCAGTTTATGCAAAGGCGGGTCAAAAGATATGCTTTTTGCACTCAAAGAATCTCTATATGGTGTGAAAATTTATGAATATAGTATAATCAAAAGTATATGTATAAATATAAGTATAAGATTCGAAAAGCATAAGATCATCTCCAAAAGGAAAAGTTGGTCTAGAAATTTTGCTTTCTGTAGAGTTCAAAATTTGGATTGAAAAGTGCAAATGCCTTGAACGAATGAAAAAAGTGGGATTCTTTTGAAATTGTCGACAAAAGACAGTTAGAACTTTTTTTATCGAATGAAGTTGGTTCAAGAACCAATAATGATGATTATGATGATGATGCCGACGATAAGGATAATTATTAAAACGATGTAAATTAGGATAATGGCAAAGTTGGCATTGACTAGATTAGAATGATACATAAATTTGATTTCTGACCTCATATAATAGATTTTCTATGCGAATTCTTTAAAATTTTAAACTCCAAATTTCGTCCCATTTTGAATTTAGTCGAAGAAAATTTCGTGAAAATATTTGTCAGAAATTTTGTCACGACGAAACTTTTTGTAGTTAATGTAAGTGTACATAGACAGCTACACTTAATACATGTTACCAGAGCCAAACACCGATGGTAGCAGAAGTAAATACTGTGTATGAGAAGCTGCTAAACGACAATGATACTTAATAAAAGTGCCAAAGAGACTTGTACCGCATTTTAATTGTTTGGTTTTACGTTTTGTTAATTTTTGGTCGGTGAAGAAAGAACAATTGTTTGAGTCTGCCTGTTTTACGTCAAATTTGAAGCTGTTGCTGATGTTCTTTGCTATATAATTTCTGATTAAACGTTAAATAAGCCCAAAATATTTTTATGTAGGTACAAATTAAGTTTAAAGGGTATATATCCTAAATCCCTAATTTCCCTTTGTATCCCATATCAAACAGTTTTATGTAGCTACCATCTTTCATCATTTTGTTGTTTATGTTTACTTGAAGGAGAATTTGAAGGCCATATTAGCTGTAAATAATATCCAACAAGATGGCAGAACTTTGAGGTATGTGTGACAATATATTGTTTGTTGGAAGTTTCTTTTTTAATCAAATCGAGGAAAGATTTTGTATGCTTCAATTGGTTATAGGTGATTCATACATTCATTATGCAAAATGTATATATGCAAAACTGTGGGAGGGAGTTCAGTGACGGTGATTAAAGGTGTCATAATTGTAGGTTCCAAGGAACCTGCCTTCCATCTACTTCGTAGGAAGTAAGTCAATTGGCCTCTAGCGACTTCGAAATAAGAGGGCTGTAGATGTAATGAATGGAGTGTCTTTATTTGGGATATTTTCGCACCCAACCACTTCTGCAGAGCTCAGTATTGGCATTGAAATATCTGTATGCAGATCGAATCTGAGTCAATGAGGGTAAAAGTTTCAGGGGTGCCTGAATTTGTTCACTGATTAATTCCTATAGATCATAGCGAAAGTAATGTTTCATAAAAATGCAATAAAGAAAAAGTCAGTACCCCTCTGATTATTTGGTTGCAAACCACGAGATCAAACTAAGGCTTCAATAGGAGCACGTGTTATAGATTATGTACACAATATCTTATTTTATTCATTATTCTTTAACATTAACGTTTGATTGGTTTTTCCAGAGTATCACTAGGAACAACAAAATATTGCACCCACTTTCTACGAAATATGCAGTGTAAAAATCCAGTAAGTAAAGATCGCCTCTGAAATTAAGCTTTGTTTCAATTCAAGCTATTTAATCTATGATATGTGCCATCATCATTTAAATCTTTCAAGCTATTAGACTTTATTTGCAGTGCTCCATCTTTTAATAAATTGAGACTTTGGAAACTACAGCTTGATAATAAAATTAATAATAAGTACCATGACAAAGAAAAAAGACATAATTCTTGTGAAGCATTTGACAACTTCTTTTACATCATGACAATGCGATAAGTAAACGAATCCGGTATTAGGCATTTCCTTGTTGTACCATTAAATAGACAAGTCAATTAAATTCAATTAAGTTAAACTACATCTTTCTAATCTTCATCTTTACTATAAAATATGATTTAAATTTTCAGTTATAAGAGTTTTGATGATTTTCTTGAATTCGTGCTTCAAGTTAATCGAAAAAAATATTGAGACTGTAAAGACTTAAATTTTCTGGTTTATATATTTTTCTGGTTTTCGACTAAGTTAATATAAACAATTTTTGCTATGAAGGTCCATGTCCCTTGCTTCCTCTTTTAGCTGCTAGTTTTATCGAGAAGCCAATTGTTTCACTTTTTACAAAAAGTCTCTCAGCAAAGTTATGCAGCTTTTATAAATTACAAACACTTGTACTTCCATAGTACCTGCCTTGAAAAAGGGTAGCCCATAACCGGAGGAATGCGTTTATAAGTTTCATTCGATGAACATGTTTAGAAAACAGACACTCCAGATCCGGCATGGATTTACTCTAGATCCTGCACGTGGGAGTTGCCTAATAATCGCATTAAGCATGAAACTCAGAGTTGCAATTAAAAACTTTTGTATACCGAAGCATGTACAGCTCTGCCTGTATGGCATCGAGCACTTTATGAAAGGCAGATAAACGGTAGTTTTCAACATAAACAGTAATATAAATTTTTGTTTTTTATTCTAGGATTGTATGTATTTGCACGAAATGGGGGATGATAATGCTTGTTTTACTAAAGAAGATATGCAGCAAGGGTAAAATATTAATTTTGCAATCACTTTTTCCGAGTATTACCCTAAGTTGTACTTAATTAGTAAATCTCCTTTGTGACGTCATTTATAGCACGCGTAATCAACCATTAATCAATTGACGTCACAATGGATAAAAATGAGTATAAAGCTATGTAAAACACACGTTTTGTTTGCATTTGTTAACATCGGCCTCTGCTGTAAGGATGAATGAAGAAAGTTCTTGTAAGGCGAATAAATGCTGTTTCTTGAGATATTTATGAAAGGAATAACCGTATTATGTGTTGGCAGACGAGCGGAAAAGAACTGTGCCTGTTAAAGAAAATTCACCAATTGTATATTGTCAATGGATGAACCTCTGAATAGCGATTTGCATTACCACTTTTCATCAACTTATGTAAATATGGTTTTTTTCTCCGCAATTATGCAGTCTTTGTTAATTTTATCTAGTTGATTTTCTTGCTTGAATTTTTTCAGGAAGCACCTAGCCTATGAGAGAGATTTATTAGAAAACTTTCAAAAAACGCAGTTGATACGAAGGTATGTATTGCTATTTTTTAAAGAAGAATGCTACTTTGTATGATGTTTCTATGATCGTATTATATTGGCGGAATATTATTCATACTTGACAGGAATTCAAGATACCTTTCTTTAGAAGTTATTTGAGTTGTTAACTGCGTTAAAGCACTGGACGAAATCTTAACTCTACTGTAAGCTCATACACCCTACATGTGTTAAACCTTCTCTGGGTTTAATGTGTCGAAGATTCCACTTTAAAGCCCTATATCTTATGTTTTAAAGTTGCACGCTTTGAAAAATACATTTATTGCTTCATTTTATCAACAAGGGAAGCCTTGATAGTTAGCCTATAACCCACCTTCTATTAAAAATTATCAGTCGTTCCACTAGAACCGTATTAACTTGTTCAGTTCCCTTCTCACCTGTTGCTGAAACTGAACTTAAAAGCCCAAGCTTAAAAGATTTACACATTTCTGTTTACAGAAAATTCTATTATTATTTGTCTTAGATGCTAAGCTTTTTGTTTTTTATAACTACGGTGAATTTTTTCTGTTTCGATTTGTAGGAAAAGCCAAGATATTGAGCAGGTTAGAAGTCGTTTTATTTTACGTCATGAAAATATTTTTCAATTTTGATTTGATGTTTATCTATGTAAGACGAGAGTTAACTTTTTTTCTTTATTTGTACCAAAGGAGCCTCAACAATGTCAGCAAAAAGAAGAGTGGCCACAAGAAATTAATGAAGGTATATACATAGCTGATCGCTTATTATGTTGAATTTTACAGCAAAGATCGTCATTAAGAGTTGTCTCGTATTAGTTCTTAAAAAGCGATCACAATTCACTCGATCTTCTAACATTTGCAAACAGTTACATTTGGTGTTACTCATCTTGAGCTATAAGCAGATTAACAAATAAATGTACATGTAATACACATCTACTTTGTGATTCTGTCTGTCTTTTACCGAACCTCATCTTTGCAGGAAATCAGAATTCGGCATTACCTGCCAGAGCTGCTTGGTAAGTCTTCATCAAGTCACCATTTTGCTTCTTTTAAAGTACAATACAGTACAATACAGTACACTACAGTATCGTAGAGTACAGTAGAGTACATTATAGTACATTATAGTACATTATAGTACAGTATAGTACAGTATAGTACAATACAGTACAGTACAGTACAGTACAGTGCAGTGCAGTGCAGTGCAGTGCAGTGCAGTGCAGTGCAGTGCAGTGCAGTGCAGTGCAGTGCAGTGCAGTGCAGTGCAGTGCAGTGCAGTGCAGTGCAGTGCAGTACAGTACAGTACAGTACAGTACAGTACAGTACAGTACAGTACAGTACAGTACAGTACAGTACAGTACAGTACAGTACAGTACAGTACAGTACAGTACAGTATAGTATAGTATAGTATAGTATAGTATAGTATGGTGCAATATAGTGCAATACAGTACAATATTATAAACTGCTGAAGATAAATCTAACATAAACAATACCCTCAATTTATTGTGTCATTTAATGGGTTTCTTTCAGGGCTGAAAAGGAATGCGAAAAGGACGCCAATGAACTTGAAAAAGAGCGGACAGAAGAAGATCCACAGTTAAGCTCATCTTGGTCTTCTGGTAGCGAATTTAAAGACAGACCAGAGATCGGCAATGATGAACCTAAAATTGAAAGAAGTGATTCATTTACAAGCAATAGCCCTGCAATACTTGGAAGTAGTTTACCGAAGGAGATCTTACACCCAACATTTGCAACCGGTAAGAGCCTGTGTGATGTCTTAACACACCGTTTTACCACCTTGTTTCTGAAATATGACATCTAAACAGCTGTGTATTTGGCAAACGAAAATTCTAATGAGATGCAAGAATACATTTTTTGGCACAAATTCCCTACGAATATAGAGCGTACTAAGAATGTGTTCGGGACAGGGGTCCGTGCGTTTTGAATGGCGATTTCTAAAACCCTTTCTTCCGTTTGCGTAGATTTGGGTGTTTTGTTTTCTTTTCTGATTTTCATTTGGTGGAATTTCTTAAACTGTTGAGCTAGTAACTCCTATTTTCTTTCACTTTTTGATGACGTGTAAAAGTGAAGTTGAAAAACTGTCAGGTTTAACTTTTGTTTTTCAGGATGGGCCACGTCTGAGGAGACAAAAGAATTTAGCCAGACACCGAATGGCCCAGTTGAAGACCGCAGTGACTCATCATACATGTCTTCCTTTTGGCCAGTCAGCGATCTTGGATTGAAGAACCTACGAGTGACAAATGATGATGAATTAGGTTGGTTCGCTATGAATACTGTGTTCAGTTTTCGCCAATAAAATTCAGTGTCAAATTCTTTTTTGTGTATTTTCTACACAAGGAAATCTATTTTGTGTATTTTCTACACAAAGTAAATGTTATCATGTATATAGATCCTTCATCCCTAAGATGATGCCTTAAAATACAAAAAAATTGTTTCTGTGGTCAGAGCTATTTATATTTTGATTTTTCTCCAAGTGGTGAAAGCTAGTCGAATTTAGGTTCTTTGTGTCAACTATGTGTGTGTATGTCAAAAAGGCCTGAAGCTCTTTATGGAGTGAAAAACCTAAGAATTCTGTGCGAATCAATATTTTAAATGGAAACGGCTTTTCGCCCTTTTGGTAGGGGGGAGGTAGGGGGTAGGGAGGTCGATGCTGCGATTGCAATCTCCTATGCTCAGGCGGCCCTTGTGTCAGTTTGAAAGATGAAACAACCGATAAGATGATATTCGGGTCTCGTCTCTTTAAGAATTCGTAGGAACGACAGTTGTATCAAACAAAACTGAGTGTTTTAAACATAGAGCTACCAAGGTCCTTTGAAATATTTTCCTCTTGTTAAATTATTTTCGTTCTATCAGTGCAACTTTTTCTTGATCATGAAAAAACTTCCTCAAGTCCTTTGTTTTGTTGGTTTTTGTCTTTAAGTCCTTGGATTCGCAGCGTATTGTTAATCTTTTCTCGCTCGACTGCTTGGGTATTGTGTTTAGACACCATCAAATAGTAACATATCGAAACCTGTCATTTCATTTAAGATATCAATCAAGTGACAATTTAATAATTATTTATAATGTCATTTACATAAAGAAAAATCCTGAAGACCAGAGCAATATCTAACAACCTAAGTCGCTAAATATTTAATGGCATTGTTCAAAGTGTATATCTGATCCTCTGTTTCCAGCTAAGTTGACTGAAGGTATGTTAAAAGATAACAAGTGTTTATTGTAAGTGTAATCCTCAATTTCTTTGAATCTAACTGAGATCCTTTAGAAAAATATGAAAAGAAAACCAATATTTGATGTTGGCTATCGTGGTAAGGGCTCTCATAAAGACAAATAAAGCAGCAATTTCATTTCAAATCTTAGACTTTCTCCCTATGCTTTTTGTACTCACAGCTCAACACCAGGCCAATGTGTAACCACACTTTCCATCAGGGAAGGACTTTGACTAATAAAATCCGCTGTTCTTTTAAATGTAGGCTTCGATCCATTTGATGAATGCAACAAAGGCTTAGCAGACCTTTTGGCTTCTGAGAAACAAGCTGCACTTGGAAGCAACATCCAAGAAGTGAAACCAAATGCGAGTCGGGCAACATGGCCCGATTTAACGGCAGATACAAGCAAAGATATGTTTACTCAAATAAACAAAGATGTTAGTCAACAATATTCGTTATTTGGAAATACATCACAAGGTGCAGTAGCTATTTATTTCGCAATTCGATTTTTAAAGATCCGTTATTTTCCTTTACTTTGGCCAGACACTTTCACACAGCGTCAGACTACTCAGAGAGCCACTTTACTCTCAGGTCATTCGTTCAATCTGAATTCAGATGTGCAACAATGTTTTACCGCAAGCAGTATTTATATCAAAATTGATGCTACTGTACCTAATGATTTTGCTTGGAGAATGTTTATACAACACAGTGTACAAATGAGTCACTTCATCAGATTCAGGAAAAGGTTTATAAGGATAAACGAAGTATTTTCGTTCTGATAAAGCATGATTTTGAAATTTTTTAAAATTCAATTGTGACATTTTTCCAGACAAAAGAACTTATGTTTTTCAGGGCTGCATGGCAATTCGTTTTTTGGATCGTATTTCAATATGCAACAAAATCCAACAACTTCAGGACATCACCAATTGTTTGGACCTGAACACGGTTCCCCTTTCCAGCAAGCAAACAACTTCGGACAGAATGCACAACAACCTCAGAAGGTAACCTAATTCCGTGGCTTTTCATTTCAAGCTTAAGCCAGTTATTTGCTAGAGTTTTCAGTTCAAATATACCTTGTTCCTTTTAGTATCAATGGCCATGTGCAAGAGAGAGTTATCAATAAAATCATGTGTGTATTTGCATAACCACTTCCAAATTTAAAACATTTTACATCTACTTAATAAGTCCTTTGTTATACAAACTGTAGTATATACCAAAGTGTCAATTCCTTTTTCGTTATGATTTTGAAATTTCTCAGAAATAATTCTTGCTGTCCTTATAAAAGCAATTTTTTTCTTTTCCTAACATCTTTTATCAAAGGTTAGGCTTTAAAAGGAACTCTCCACTAAATACGAGTATAGTGACTGGTTATTTGCAATTGGAGATACAAGAGGAAAGGACCCCCCTTGATAGTTACATCTTTAACTTTTCCATAGCTTATACTAGGTCACATGAAGCAATACTGGTCTCGACTTTAAGGAGTGTAATCAATAGTTAAGCTAGGAGTCTAAAATGGCAATCCCTTCCTTCTAAGATATAACCTTTTGAAAATGACAAATCCTCTGGCCTCTTTTTATAGTTTTCCTCTTATAGTTATTTGTTGTTAAAATTGTTGTTAAACGGTCTGTTATATAGTTTTCGATGCCCTGAAAGATGGCCCTGGGCTGCAACTCAGAGTTTTACGCTTGATACGATCATGAGGACAGTATGGTTAGATAAACAGTTGTTTGATGATCGCAGTAAGCGTGAGCTTAGGACTAGATACTGATATATACTAAATAGTAATGTATACTAAAGCATAATTTACTATATATAGTAATGATTATTCTGACTCATTTATACCTTCATTTCATAACCAGTCAAAGTCAAATGGTACAGATGTTTTGGCGTGGCAAGATGGACTTAGAGCTCTGCTGCCTAATGTGAATATTAGTTTCTCGGGTAAGTCAGAGTAGAGAGAAAATTCATTGAGTTGACTCCTGTTTGAGTCTAAAGGTTGGAATGCGAATCCATGCTCGAGTTTTGTTATACGAAACTACATTGGAACCTCCAATAGCGGCCACTTTTGTGGACCAAGTGAACGTTGTTTTAGAAGTGACCGGACGGAAGTTTTTAATGAGAGTTTGACCATTAGTTCGGCTGGAACTTTCTCCATTGGCTGCAGATCTGGAGTTGGCCTTTGCACGCTAGAATCATATATCTAAACTCTAAAATGATACTTTTAAAACACAAACCTTTTACTAAATTTTCCAAATAGTATTATATTATTGAAGAAAACAGAATTTGGAAAATATAACTTTGAGGCTTTTGAAACTGAAAGAATTTCTATAATATGCACTTCCTTGCCAATGTTTCTACTTTTTCCTACTATATCGAGTTCTATATAACATAATGTTTCAATGCCTTATACTTATCAAGTGTTGTGAGTTTGCGTTTCTTTTCGTTGCAGCGTCGAAGAGGCCTCCGCCCGGTTTTGATTCCTCGTCATCGCAGTTAGAGAGCTCTATTTGGACCAAAATCAATCAAAGTAAGAGCCAAGGCAGCAATAATTATATCCTTTAAATCGTCTAAAAGTCATGGCTTTTGTGGATTTTATGTTCTTAACTGCTGTTCACAAATTAATTCAAAAATTCAAAGCATGAAACCATAACTCTATAATCGAATTCAATTTTCCACGAGTTGAACGCATTTCATTCGATCGAATCACAGGAACGATTGAAGTTTTCTTGGCCAGCATTCTTTTAGCATACTAGGCCTGGCAAACTCATTAATGTGTTTCTTTGCCAACACATAAAAACGATACATATCGGATTACATTCGAAAACAGAGACTTTTGAAGATGGAGATATTAAAAGCTTAAAATGCAGCTGTAGAAGATCACAAGCACAGAAGATAAGATGTTTATCAAAAATACTGGCGTCAAACAGGGGTAATCGAGGTGGCTTTTTGACGCCAGGGTGGAATTATGCTACATAAAGATCACAAATCATTTGATTGGCGAACGTATGGTTATCAATCAGAGATAGGCAGTTCAATAATTCGTTAAAGCTGACGGTTAGAAGAAGAAAAAAATACCAAACAACCAATATTAAAAAGGAACAACGTCCTTTTTACTATTATTACTAAATAGTCGTCCTTATTACTAAAAACGAACTAGGCAAGCAATGCCCAATGAACCTTAAAATGCCGATTGTTATGCCCAGAATAACAATTTGATTAACAACAATCCAGAAGAAACAGAAAACAAGTTTATAATTTTCTTCAGGGCACGTATGAAGGCGTGAAACAAAATAGTTCAGTAGTGATGGTTTGAGAAGACTCAAAGTTGGGAAACGGACATTGGTATCTGTACTGGGGCCCAAATGAAGCAAAGAATAAAAATTGTAATCTTGTAGTGAATTTCTGAAAGAAAATTATCTTATTTTTACAAACATTTTTTCAACGTGAACAATGCCGATTTACCAAGATATATAAAGGAACCAAATGGAAGAGAAAGCCCTAGAGCAAGTTTCTGATCAAATAGATATTTCGTGATTTTCAAGACCATAGAATACTCACTCTAAACGTCTAGATCGTGTACAGGTTCAGTTGCAGTATGATATTATTATTATTATATTGTCTTAACCAGTCTTGAAATATCATTGTTTTTTGTTTTTAAAAGCATCAATGCCTTTTTGAGAAACCTTTTGGCACAGCCCAGTTTCAGCACATTGGCGACGAATTGTAAAAGGGGATACATTAGCCAATACCAGACATATGTAAAAGATTAAATCGAAGTTCTGCCTTTTAAACAACAAATGTTCCTTGATATCATGTGAAGAATTGGAATTCTTCCCAGTAGTCTGTTTACTGTTGTAAAACAATATTCATTTTGTGCCTTTTCTGATTATGTGTTGTTTTTTCATCACTAATGCTGGGATGTAAGGTTGAAAATTAAACAAAAGTTCGACACGATTGCTTAAAGAATCATCCCATAAAATGGAATGACGTTTCTCACATGAACAGGCACTTAGATGTACTTTATTTTTTTATAGATGAAAAGCAAAACACATCGCCATCAGGAATTCAACCACATCCTTTTCCAACGCAGGTAAGCCTGCCAAAAAATTTAGTTTTCTTGTTCCTATAATCTTGCAGTTATCTTTAACATTTTGGTTTTCTTGTTTCCAATCATCTCTAGCAACTGATTCGTCTAATCTTTTGCCTTTTCCATAAAACTTTAGTTTAACCATTTGTTAGTTTTTTATTATTTGTTTCAAGAAAAATGTGAATAAACTTATTTTATTTCGCCTAATATTTCAGTGAAATGAAACAACGAAAAGTGCATAACCTGCAACATTCTAAACTATGTTATATTCTGTTTTTTACTATTTTTGAGCCTCCTTTTGAAATCTATTATAAGCGAGACTGTTTGTAACACCAAACTTACAGTTAGTGCTATCCACTTTTTAGGCAAATGTTAAGCCCGGGTCGGTGAATGTCCCGGCTCCGGATCAAATGCCACACCCGGTCACCCCATGGAATGCCATTGTAGGTAGAGCCCATGCTAGTACAGGCCCTTTGCAGGAAAGCCTTTCAAGTCAAGGTTAGTCTCCATAAATTTTGTTTTTGTCTAGTACAAACTGACTGACTAGTTTTCCTCATTTGAAAGAAAATATATTTCGATACTTGACAAGGTAAAGATCCAAAACAGATAAGAAAGAATGCTGCTAGTATATAGAATATTTTCTGTGGAATACTTAACAATAATCAAGCTTCATTTGTAAGCCTGATTGTTTTGTTATTTCGTGACTTTTCTTGTGGTAATCAAACACGCAATGCATCTAGAAATATTATTCAATATTAGTATCACTATTTGTATTATTAAAATGTATTAGATGATTTGCTAAAAGAATTATTAGAAGTAAAGCGAATATCATGGACGGTTATCGTATTTGCAATTTTTATATAACGCTGTGTTTGTTTAGGAAAATTTGCCTTTTGTTCTAAGTTTCTTTGAATAATTCCATTTATCAATAGATTCTTATGGTGACATTGTTCTCTGCTGTATCTATAACAGAGATCAATCTACAATGCCTGCCAAAAATACTTGGAACACCCAGCAATTTACGCTGCATTTGATATCTTTCATTCCTTTCATGAAAAAAAATTGCTACTTCCGCCCCCTTCCCCCTAAAACAATGTTGATGATTTAGAAAAAATCATAAAAGAAGCGCAAAAGAAAGTGCTTTCTAAAATACTAACCCGTTTGATAGTAAACCAACATTGTTCTGTAGGGGAGAGGGGGGTGATTGATTTTGACCTTGGAAATTGATGTCAGTGTTCCAAGATTTTTGGCAGGCATTGTACCTTGTCCTCTTTCTTGTTGACCCATTTTGACCGAATCTCGAATATAGATATTAATATCCAAGATGTTATTGTTGCATTTTCGTAGAGACATGTCAGTCTCTTGTTAAGATATCTGTTTACTTTGTGATGCCCCCCCCCCCAATTAAAATGTTATTGGTTTTCTTAAGATAGAGATTCCCCAGCAACTGTTTCCTTGCAATGTGTCGAATTTTGTTGAATTCTCATTGTTAGGTGTGGAAGTGAAGACCACTGTAAAGCCAGTGACTGCATTTGCGAAAGGGAACCCAATGAAAAGTCAAAAACCCACTGCAAAAGTGAAGCCTCAAATGAAATGTGTGGTCTCACCAACCGTGGAGGCACAGCCAATCATCCAGCAAGCAGCGGACGGCCGCCCATCGTCTTTGTCACGCATGAACGATCTCGATGATATCAGCTTGACAGATCCCTTGCCCCTCCCTATAAACAGTGGTGCAGGAACCACAGGTATGAACTATGGTCATGTTATTATTGACTATCAGCTTTAAAGGCAGTCTGTCATGACGTTGATTGGTTATAAGAACAAAGGGGTTTTTATTGTTTCCAGTCCCCCTTTAATTAATCGCATTGTAAAAAATATGGCGGAGCGCTGGAATCGTGTTTAGGCTATTGTTCCAGCTATTGTTTTCGTTAACCAATCCACAACGAGACAGATTGCCTTTAACATGGGCTCCCGGTTATGAACAGCTCAATCGGTCAACGCGAGCCGTTCTTTTGCCTCCTGGTATCTGCCTCCCATGGTATGGTAGAATTTCGCCATAACAATTTGATCTCCATTTTTACTGTGACAAAATTTCAATCAGCATAATGGTAACAATCAGGGAATGGTAACAACTAAATTTTTTCTTTTGCTCTTCCAACTTTTTTGCTTCTTATGTCGCGAGGGTCTTTTCTTGCTTATTGAGATCAAGTTTTTAAGCTTTGAAATACGTCTTTGAACATTCAGTAATATTTTTTTCATATTTTGTTAATTAAACTCGAAACTCAACCCTTTGGCCAGTTACCCAACTTTTAATCTTCATGTAAATTTCCATGAAGAATGGATGGTTCTTAAGCTGAACTGTGCTGAAGTGAATAACAAAGGCCATTGTTGTTTGTAGGAGGAGTTTAAATATTGAGTTAAAATAAGAAGATGAAATTCCAGATGGTTGGATTTGTTGTTTTATCCCTCATGTCTTATTGTTAGGCCTTACTTTGTAGAACTTGTCATTTAGAGGCGTGGTCTATTTTTTTATAAAGGACAGTATAACTTAGAACCGTTATTCTTTGTTTGCCAATTTTGAATATTAGAACAAGGGAGGGTGTCACACGGCACACGCCCCCTCGTTAGCGACGGGCCTGCTGACATCTGTGGAAATCATTTTTTGCTTTAAACGGACTTTTTTCTAACTTCAATTCAATAACTGTGATTGTTATCAATTGATTATTATGTCGATCTAGGTAATGTGACGAAAGAGCAGTCAAAAGAGGATTTGCCGGTGGAGGTTGCGTTTCAGGTTGGCACTCCAAAGAAGTCTTCAAAGAAAAAGAAGAAAACCAAAGAAAGGCCAGAGATGAGAAAGTTAGAAAAACCTACAGACAAGGAGACAAATGGAAAAGTGAAGCAAGAAAAGGGGAAAAAAGAGAAAATAAATGAAAAAATCAAGCCTGAGAAGATGAAAGAGCCGATTAAGATTCAGCAGAGGCCAAAACAGCCTGAAATTGTGAAAAATGACCTAAGGCAAGGCAAGCCCCCGTCTACAAATGTGAGGCCCGACCCACCGAAAATAAGAATTCTAAAGACCGATACTCCTAGCATAAGTGCAACAACAACTATGACGCAATCGTCCCCAATGGAATCAGGGGGTAAGGGCTATCCAGGATTGCAGGAAGGGCATGAGGTGTTTAGCAGGCTGGCTGAATCAACCGAAAAGTTACTGCAAACTGTATTGTCTGAAACAGAGGTATGGCTCATCTTTTTTTGCAGTATTGTTAAAGATTACTTTCAGGAAACTAGACTTTCAGTGAAGTAGAAGAAATTATTGCACATACCCCAACTTTGAGCCATTTTGTTTCTCTGCACAAATGAAATCACGTCTCTTGTTTGGAAATAATAAAAAAAGTTTTGTACCACAGACTCGTGGAAGTAATCAGTCACTATAACGATAGATTAGTTCAGAATTTAAATAGAGTTCATTTCTAGCCACACGCAAAATCACTTTTAAAATTGTTTTTTTGCAGAAACTATTAGTAATTTGTGTTAGAAAGTTCGATTTTGTAGAAAATTCTTTTGGGAGTGTGCTTGTATGGGCTTTCCTAATAAAATAGTTTGTTTTAGGTCATTAAATCGAATACTGAACAGATATCGAAAGATCTGAAGAGTGCTTTGGAGAAGTACAAAAAGGAGCCTACGCTATCTGATGCAGACTGGAAGAAAATAAACTATTTGCTGTCCTCACCAATGGCCAATGGCCACATGCAAGGCAAGGCACAGAAGCCTCTTATTGATACGCTAGACCTTGAGCGTCAAGTCGAGTCTGCAAAAAAAGAGGCTGAAATTTTGGAAGTCCGTTTAAATGACGTCATCAGGAAGAACATGGCTACCGAAGTAGAGAACAACGGAAAAAACAAATAAGATCTAGTGTTTTTAGAACTTTGACGAAAGAGGGAAATGCTTAGATTGCTGTGCGAAAATGGATTGCTTTATTGTACTGCCGCTGCTAAGATATTGACTTAACATTCAGACTTTTTTGTAATTGATGTTACCATAGAATTGCTTTGAAAAGAATTGATAAGTGTTTGAACTGTGAAATGTGCCAGTGAATGTGTTAAAAGAAATAATAAATTTATTTGCTTTTGATTTGTTTGCCGTCTACCTTTCCTTGCAATAGTTGAAAGCTTATTGATATCCAAAACTAAATTTGGTGCAATGGTTTGCAAAATGTTTAAGCTTTGTGCGTATTTGTATCAAAAATTGATTCTGTATTCTCCCTCTTTCCTTTTCTGCTCTTTCATATTCTGGCCTCTCCTTCTGAAGAAAGTAAGGTGCTGAAGATTCTTAGAAGCTACTTCGCGTACTTTCCATATCTGTATTGATACATTCTATACTGGGCACTTTCTCACACTTTGGTACGGCTGTTGTATTTTATCATGTGAAATTATTTGGTTTTTAACTGATCTACCTTCAAATTGTTATCAATGGATACATGATATCTTCACTGTTGGTTTTTAATTAATTGTACCAGAATATAATCTATTGAATTTCCCATATTATGATATTTAAAAACATTCGATTTGATAATCCAAGCAGCATTGTTAAGGAATTACTGTGCAAACAGCTGTCAAAATATTTCATTAGATTATCAGAAGTTCAACGAGCAACTTGCTTACTTCTGTAGGACAATAGATGTAACAAATAAAAAGTTGCCGTCATAAACTACAAGTGCCCTTAGTTTTCAAGTTTGTCGTAGTTGCAAGAAAGGACTATTATTATATGGAAATCGTCTTACTTAAGGCTACGCAAAGTCAACAGTATGTGGGGGTGAAAACCTTATAATTTTGAAGCAGTTTTAAAACAATATGAACTCTAAAACTATACTAGCAAGGTAAAAAGCCTGGTTGTATACTTAAATATAAAATGTACCCAGAACATGTTCGTGATTATGCAAATACCGAGTTCTTTTTTAATTCAGGCGATTTTTTAACGTCTAACGTGATTGAAATGACGTCATTTTCAATCGGAAACAAAATCAATCGTTTGCGCGTAGCAAAAGCATTAAAGATTAGATACCTTTGTTGCAACGATTGTTTACAGAACTGTCATTTCAAAAGTAGGAAAATCTCATTTTAATTTGTAAATGCGCTTTCAAGCAACAAAAGCTAATAAAAATAGAAATTAAATATACTATTTACTTTGTAATAGTAACGAAATTAGGGCGTTCATTTGTAACTATGCAATTAACTTTAAATTGAAAGCCGATTTATCTCAAAATGGCAATTATCTAGCCCACTGCTTCCTCTTAACAGTTGTTTATCAAGTTAATTTGAAGCAATCATGTTGGATCGTTATGAGAACATAATGATCAAATGAGGCAAATAGTTTCCCAATTTTAGTCCAATAGTAACGTCTCTATCTACGTCTAATTATTTTAGATTATTTTGTGTAACTATTTGCAGATCAATGTTCTCGGGACGACTTTATTATAGGAAGAAACTGCATTTCTAGCGGACCTAAAATGAAACTGCATTTCAAGCGGGCCTAAAACGCTCACTGGAATGTTTTTGCAAGCCTAATATTCTAGTTACAAATATATTTCTGTTTAAGATCAATATTTTTTGTAAGTTGGCATAACAGAAAAATTTCCAACTGCAGGCTACCATGTTAGAAATTACTTTTAAAATCTTTTAAAACTGAATGACTTTTTAAACAACTTTAGGCCTCGTTTTGAATCTCTTCGCGGCGCCAAAATATTAAATGACGTCAGCAGAAGCCAATTCTTAACAAAAGTTTTAGCTTCTGCTTTCCTTGCTTCATCGATCGTTTTGGAATCTTTTGCTGCCGCAATAATACAATATTTGGTAAGCAGTATCAAAATTTGGCATTTATTTATGCATTTCTCATATAATTGGGATCAAAACCTAATTTGGGCTACATTCTTATAACAGAAAAAGGCCTATTCTGTTTTTTTTTTCAAAATTATTGTTAGTACTCTATGTAAGTTTGTTTTGTCTACTGGACACTTGTTTATATTGACAAGAAATAATAATATGCAAGCAAACGAATCTGCAATCAAAAATTTAATGCCTGTGAGTATCAATATTGGTCAAAAACTAAACCTCTGACTACCAATGGATTTATGTTGCATTTGCAATGGCTTATGAGAGGTCCATTCATTTTGGGTTTTCTGTAATTTTATCCGGTACGTGGTGGACCATTAGGAGCATGAAACATCCCATTTTGAGTCATCCTTTGCTAATTATATGCAGATCTGTCCTCCCTTACCAAAACTAGACAAAAAAGTTGGTTGCTTTAGCTTAATTTAGTCATCAAAATCTAATGCACGTGCTTATTCACCCACCTGCAAAGACGACAAGATGTTTTCGAACGGGGGCATTTTGACCCAAAATCATACTGATGTTGTGAATTCTTCTACGATCTCGAGTAATGAAAAGACAAAAACAAATGTTAGGAATAAGGATAAAGATAAAGATTACTAAGTAATGATTAAGAGGTTTCGCGAAGAAAGAGGCTTAAGAAAGTCAACTCACATTTTATCCGTGATCGGTAAAGAAGATTGAAATCACTTTCGTAAGATTATTAATGGGGAATGAAGAGCAAAATGAAATGACCCTGGATTTAGAAATTCTACTTCTAAATGTACGTTCAAAAGAAATTCTGACATGGTAGAGGCAATAATGCAATGGCTGTAAAGTTGTGTTTCGTTTTTATTTTTATTTTTATAACTGTTGGATTTGATAAGAACAAAGTTACTGTGATATATAATTTTCAGATAAGGTAGTTTCATACTTCATAACGTAGTATTTATTTTCGCAATACTACGATTCCTATTCATTTCATTAAAAAAAACATGACAACTCTAGCTGGTTTGAAGTATAATCTTTATCTGCACTTGTAATTTTATGATACAGACATGTTATATAATCTGGGTTTTAGATTTAGAAAATATTAAATCGATCAAAGAAACAATGCTTTTTAAAGTTTAATCCTTTTTTAGATTGTTACTTCTTACCACACGTGCTGCACGTATTCAGCAACTTCTGTATTGAGCTATAAATAAACACGCCTTTTCATTGCTGATGGGATGAAAGCCTTGCCTGGATTGATGCCGTTATAGTATACCTTGATATACAAAATATGCACATTTTTTATTCCTTGTTGTTGCGAATTCATCATTGTGTTACAATACAACTTATTGTCTTCTTCTAGCCGCTCCCGCGCATTGTCTGCGGGTACAACAGAATCACACACACGAAGTACCTGCGAGCCGGTAACAAGGAAGCCATTTCATAGCTATTGGAAATCAATGACTATGACGCTATATGTTTATACGGTACTGTCCATTCAAATACGCAGACTCGAGGCAGCCAGCCAATAGACGCAGGCCTTTGCGAGTCAGAAATAGCACAGCTGTTCTATGGCCGACTTTATTGGTAATAAGCATGATTGAGAGATCGCACAGCTATAATTATGGTTGTTAATTAATTCTCAGATATATTATGAGAGTTATCATGTATGGCAAACGTATGTTAAACGCAGAAGTTTAACGATATGTAGAAACAGCGGCGAAATTCGGTGCTTTTGAATAGCAGAATGATTTGCGTAATTGGATTGTTTACAAAGTTTTCAGATAGAGCGAATGTGACGGGTTTGCATTGAGAAAAGTGGAAAACTTTTGCTTTTGAAATGTCACTCGATATTCAACAAGGAGACGTGAAGGAGCTTTTCGAAGCCTGTGACTTAGATGCGAGTGGGTTTATCGATCGGCATGAACTCGCCGCAGTTGTCGATCTAGATCCCGAGGACTTACGAGAAATTTTCGAACAGTTCGATGTCGATGAAGATGGCCGAATATCAATCGAGGAGTTTACTGAGAATTTCAACAAGTTTAAAAGTCTTGCCGCGCATCTTGAAAAAGAATCTGATTTAGACAGCAGTCAGGGCGACGATGAGAACGTTAAGAAGAATTCAGATGTGAAAACCAGTGATAGGACGCGGCCTAGGCAATTTACATTTGATCGAGGAAAAGTTACATTGAAGTCAAAAATGATTTGCGGGTAAGAAAAACTTTGTTTCCTTTCCTTCGAAGTTCTGTTTTATCACCTGGGCAATTAGCTTATCTTCTTCTCTTGAAACTTTCAATAGTACTCGTACAATGCAAAGGTACTTGTCTGTGCGCATTTTACACTTGTCTATTTACTTTTACCGGCTCAATCTCTCGCTGTAATGTGAAATTTTTTGTGTTATTCCTTTTCCATGTTTTATTTCAAATACGACCTGCTTTCTTCTTCATGCACAAGATCTTCTTCATTTAGCACATCTTCAGCTGGTTTACAAAATAATCTTCCTCTATAATACTTTTGCTATCGCCTCTAATCATAACAATCTAGAGGAAGAATTAGCCTATCATAATTACCGTCCAAATGTTTTGTCACGAGCGTGGAATGAAGCATATTTATTTGCTCTCTTTTCCTGCATATTGAAAACCTTTTGAAGAGGTTTCTTTTGCTCCATTCAAACTACCAAAGGCAATGATCATTCAAACGATTATTTTGTAATTAATCTAGCTTCATCAAGAAAATGACAATCGAACCACTCGTATGGAATAACTTAAAGAAGAATGCACAATCATGTACACACCAACACAGTCATGGGAGAGAGGGTTAAGAGGCAACATGTGTACATTTTCAAACTCTGTACGATCTGCAAACTTTTTGGTTTTGGGACCCTCTAGAAGATTGGCGGGCCCAGGCCCCCTCTGTCCCCCTTGCTACCTCTGCTTTGTTGCAATCTAACACTAGCATAAGTAGCATTGTATTACCCTAAGCATTGGTAAGGCTAGACACCAATCCAGTTAGGAGTCGTTGAGAATCATCTAGTCCTGTAAAATGCTTCATGCTATTTAGCATAACACTCTGATCGTGCTACACAAACACTTTGCACCAAACTATGGGACCAAATTATTGTATGTGTTTGTGTAGCTCCATGTGATTTAGAGCTTTGTCTTCACTTTATCAGACCTACGTAAAGCATGTAAGGTACAATCGGCCTTAATCCTGTAATACCATGCAGAACTTCATCTTCATTTGCAACCCTTTCATTTCCCCAAGCAGTCCTACTAGATACTAATTTTCTATGTTTTGCATACAATGCGTCTAAACTTTTCCTTCGTTTTTAAGAAAAAGACTCAATAATCATAGAAATGGAGACAGTGACAAATGGTTTATTTTTTTTGTCTAGAAAAAGTCATTCACGAAAGTTATAGTCCACAATTGCCATATGGCATTGAAAGATCAAAGTTTTAAATAGAACTAAAACATTAAAGTAAGACAAGGCTAAATAAGAAATTGAAAGATCAAAGTTTTGTGATCAAAGTATGGACTCCATAGTTACCATTACTCAAATGTTTTCCATTGTTCAGATGTAGAAGCTGAAAGTTTGCACACTGTGTTTATTCAGCTTTGAAAGTTTAAATTGTGATGAATAAGGCACAAGCTAATAATCTAGTATTTATGACAATCTTCGATCCCTGAGCAATTTGTTTGCTCGAAACCAACCCAAAAGCGTTTAATATTGTTAGAAGGAAGAAAAATTATTTAGTGCAGTCATAATTGCACTCACAACCTACGCCAGGATCAGCCCAACTAATGCTTTCAGTTGGTTTAAGTATGATAAAATACCATATAAATTTGCTAAATGATAAAAACTTTTATTAAGGGTTTTTATACTCATCCATTATTCATTTCAACCATATTAAATTACTTCCTCGTTATATGCTTATATTGCTTCTTCAGTTTAATCATTTGGGTTATCTTTTCATAAATAATTCTCGGGTACTGTATATAATCCTAATCTTCAGAGACGGAAGAAAACTGTGTGAAAAAAGATGTCTTCAAAATTTACCTTGTACAAGCCTCCTAGGAGTTGGAAAAATTAACTCCATGCCAATAAACCTATAAATCGTAAAATCAGGAAAGCATTTTCTTTTATTTCTTTTTTAAGAATTATTTGGATGGTCTGTGCTAAAAAAACCTTTATTATGTGGTTGCTCTATCGATTCATCAGCTGCTTACTCTTTAAGTTCTATCATAATGTGTCCACTTCTTTTTTGAAGGGATCTCGCTTCTTCACAACCCTTATGATATACCGTAATACCAGTTAGGACGAGCATAGTTCAAGAAACCTATAAGTGAGAAAACACTTCTGGTCAAATCAATCATCCTAGAATTAGGATATCTTGCATGCAGTCTGTTGTCAAAGCTGATTTGCAGCTTCTTCTTTTCCAGTATGTAAATCAAGATAGACAATACGTACTCAGTAATTCTAAAAGTATGCATTTATTTGGGGTGGTAAATTAACAAAGTTAGGATGAATAACCTGGGTATTGAGGGGTCAGACAAACTTGCTTGTATTAGCTTATGCCTGTTTCTAAGGTTTGTTTATATCCTTGGATAGTATACTTAACAGAAACAATATGCAGAAACAGCGCAAAGTGAAAGTTTGTCTTTCTAATGAAAGCATAATATCATTTATGTATATATATATAAATTGTTCTTTTCTTGAATATGATAAAGCATGATTATAAATGAAAATGGACGCTGAGTCACCAAACGGCATTTAGAAAGGACACCCTGAGCTTAGATGCTCCTACAAGCCGCTTGATATCACTAGCATCACTAAAAATTTACAAATCCCTTTTCACGCCACCAGCAGTGAGCAATCGATATAAAATCTATAAGACACCTGCAACTTCTAATAGGCTTTTATTGAAATTCAAATCTGTGTTTATTTGCTACATGAATAGAGAAATAGATGGGTATGATTTTTCATCAGGAACCGCAACAGGTACCAAAAACGCGTCATCAAACACTAGTTGTGAAATCAGCACATTTCACTGAAGTTTATGACTCAAAGTTTAATAAGAAGTGATCAATATTTAGCATGTATTCAATACTTTTGCGTGTCGAATTCATACTAGAATATCTGGCTTAAGCAAATGCAAGAAGTCTGAGGCAGAATCCCATTGAATCATCGTCTGCTTCTTGAACAATACTTTTGCAGCATCTTTGAAAAGGAGAATGTTCCTCCCTCCCCGCTCTTCTTATTCCTCTTTGCATCCCATATGGGAACGTATGACGTATTTATAAAAGAAATGATTAAGACCGAATGAAGGGGAAGAGATACCACAACAGTTCCTACTTCTCGCATGGCTGCACAATTTAAAAATATGTGCAAAAGTGTCCCTTCTTCTTCGTACGCTCCTTCCCTCTTATTCACATCTGATCCACTCTCTATGTCACTAATTACCCAAGAAAAAACTCCTTAATGATTTCAGTGTGACTTCAATCTAAGGACGATCCTTTACTTTAGCCACACTATCAAATTAAATAAGTATTTTTTGAAAAATGCATGCCAAAAATTGCAAGATCCGTATAACCGAGATATCTTAAAAGGACGCAGTCGAAAGATGGTTGAAGCGGCAAAGTCGTCATCTAAAAGTCATAATATAAAAGGCATTGAGTTTTCAAGCAAACTAGATGATGATATAATGCACCTTAGTAGCTCCTTAACAGAAGTAAGAGGAATGACATCACAGGCTCTTCTTCATGTTTGAAAGCGCTAATAATCAACCCGAGCCAAGGAAGGCGATCAATTCTACTCTTGCCTTCGTCGCGAGCCAGCTCGAGCACGGTGATAAAATTTGAAATGGATAATAGAAACGAGACCTTACAGCTATCAATCTTCTCATTTGCTGTTTTAAATACCTGTGCCCTGGGTTTTCACAGAAGTTGTCTCTTTATTTGTCCCTTAAATCGAAGTCTTGTTCGACACGCACACATTTACTAGGTGAATCACTTATGTTGTTTAAAATGTGTCCAAGTATATTGTTGGGTTTATGAATCGGATAGAAAAGTACGACAATCAAGTTTCCCATGAATAAGAAGACCCGTGAAAAACCCCTCTCTGTGCAAAACATCATATACAAAGGAACAATCCACAAATTCTCTTATTTCTACTATGACACTCCTGCTACAAAAATTTGTCTGAAATTGTTCTTTTAAAGAAATTGCGGGTTTGTCCAATATAATCTAAAAACGAGCATAAGGGTTTCAGAAATAAGGGTAACTGCTATTTTTCTTGAAATTGGGTTGCAAATATCTCTGGAATCTTTGACGGTTGGTATTGGACAAAGCCCGTATATTTCAAATACACGAAATTGCAACTTTTGACAACCTTTTGAATATCAAGCAGTGATAAGCATGGCTCAAATGGTTAACCGTTCATCTTTTTTTGTTATTCGAGTCTTGTCGGCTGTCCGGCGCGTGCCGCCTGCCCAATCAGGAAGAAAAATCTTGAGCGAAATTTTTTGAATTTTACCGCTATTGTGGTGCTTACGACACCACGTAAATTTGACAAATCAGAATCCAGTATTCTGTCAAGCTAACCAATCAAATCGTTCAGCCGATTTCTCACTCAGCTGATCATCTTTGAAATATGTCTTTCATTAATCCACAAAAACAAAAGCCCGGCGTTGTTTTACGACTATGGTTTCGCTCTTGACGACAATCACATGGGGATTCACTCAAACATTGTTTACCTCAAGCAAATGGACTGTTAGAAGCTCTTGAGAGCCAAATGTAAATAGGATCGTATTTGATAACAAAAGTAAATAAAAAAGACAATGAACATTGAAGATTTTGACGATATCTCGAGAGGGATCGAGCTCTCTTTCTATGATGAGGAGATATTCAGCTCCTACAAACCACGCAGAAAGGATACTCCGTACCCTTTGTCAGCGAAAAGGGCAGCGAGAAAACTATTCCTCAACAACCAAGAAATGACTTTTGAACTTCCAATCTGGATTGGAGAAAAAGACGACTGTTCTTGGGAAAACTCTAGCACAGAATCGGAGCAAGCCACGCAATTTCCTTTCATGAAAACAAGAAGTCCAGTTGTAGCTAACCTGCCTGGGTAAAGTATTGGCCTAAATTTCGCAATAACGAGTGACACCTAAACAAGCGTGATTTATTTTTGTTTGAAGAAAATCACCGTTTATATAGCATTTAAGAGATATTGACAACACTTCCTATTTTAAACCTCGCTGCGGTTTTGTGATGGTCATGACTCTTATTATTCATTCTCAAAAACAATCTTTTGTACTTGTGGGAAATTTTGTTGCGAAGTCGATAGCCCAGTACATCACGTACGACATGTATTCTAAGGCACTGCGGAGAAGGGGGCGGGCTGTGGGCTATAGCCCCCCACCTTTTGCCAAAAATTTACCAATGAATCACCAGGCAAGCCACTTTTTATTCAGTTTTAGCCCCCCACTTTTTTAGACCCCTCACTTTTCTCAACGCCCCGCGGTGCCTATATCTACACTGTGTTTGCACTCTTTCTTTAAAAGAACAAATTTTATAAGAACACCGAGGCGCGATTTGTCCCAAAAATCTTAACATCACAAGGTGCCCAGCCTCAGATTTGAAAAGAAAAGACGAAAAACATTTTTTTTTAAATATGTTCTCATGATAACCGAACAGAGAAACCGTACTACTAAAAAAGTCTTGATAAAATGTTTTTAGTGGTCGCAGAAACAATAAATAATGCGCAAATGTAGAAAAATCACTATTAAAATTAGAAAAATATTTAAGAACACCCGTGTCTCATGTTATCAAAAAAAAACAACGAAGATCAGTCAGCAAAATTTATCTATTTCTTTCTTTTAAAAAAGTGAGTCATCTGAATTTAAATGCACATGGCTGAAATTGTTATTCCTATCTGTTCTAAAAATGATGTTAAGAATAACCATATCAGATCTAAATAATTTTTACAACTCTTTGTCCACCCACACAAGTTTCGTCATCTGATGTTTTTCCTCTCTTTCGATTATCACAAACTAATATAATTAATTACTACCAAAAGTATGAATTTGTTGTGTTAATCCAATAAAACGCCATAGGCAATCTCAGATGGCAAAAATCATCAAATGGAGGGGTCCAATTGGAGAATATACGGTAGCAGTGGGCGCCTATTCGAGGGAGTCTTATTGATAATTTGTAGTTCTTGGGTGGTGGCTTATTCGAGTCAGGGGATTTTTTCGAGGGGGGCTAATTCGAGGATTTGCGGTCATGGGGTTTTTCATGGCTGTCATCTGAACCTGTTTATAAGTTAATTTCGTTGTTTCCCTAAAAGTAGACCAACAACGTTTTGTTTGTAATCAGACAGAAAACTTTCGTTATCACAATCCTGTCAAAATACCGTAGTTTCAAATAAATTATTATAACCAAAATATCGTATTTGGTTAAAAAAAGTAGATAAAGAAAGACAATCAATATTGAAGATTTTGATGAGATCTCGAAAAGGATAGAGCTGTCATTCTATAAGAAAATTTCCAGATCCTACTTTCAGAACAGTTTGATTGGTCATCTGAGGCTAGGAACATGACAATTTATTAGATCTTCGTTAGTCCCTACATTGTAAGCAGCATTCCTGTTTCAAAGACCCGGGGTTCATTTCAAAGATTGTAGAGCACAGATAGGAAGTGGCACTATATTTCAGAAGAAGAGGCACTTTTCCCAAAAGCCCTGAAAAAACGTATGAAAGGGACATTCCTCCAAAAGTTGAGGCGGCCAGTGCCCCTTTTGTCCCCGGATATGACGACCCTGCTTGTGCTCTCCTTCATTAATCATTTATATCTGATATAGCACCCCGCAACCAGAGGAGGCAAAGGGAAGATTGTGGCTGACTTAGGGGCCTGTTTTCTGGCTCGGTAGACTTGTGAATAGCCACTATTTCTATCAAAAGTAGGCCATCAGTTTCAGATTCCTGGTACCTCTGAATCTTCTATCTTCGTGTCTGTGGCGCCTTCGGTCATTTCAAACCATAGCCTCCTTAGGGCTTCTTTTAGAATATCCAAGAAATACCTGGAAGCCTGCGGAAGGGATTTCAGCTCAATTTAAAGTTTACAGACATTCTTGTCTTTTTGTATCAAAATGAAGGGGTCACTTCATTTCCTGTTCTGCGAAATTATATCAAAATGAAAGATGTTTATGTTTGCAATGTGAATATGACATATCACCCATTTTATTGTTTGTCTTCTTCTGCCTATTTACGATTCAGCCTGTAACAATGTTTGTAGTTTTGTAACATCTTGTAACATATAAGCTCCCATTCATAATAAATATTGAGGTTGCGTATGATCAAGATATATGATGGAAAGGTACCGTAGTATGTGATGTGGCGTTTCCCTTGTAGACAAGAGTACCTGGATGACATATACGAAGCTATAAATGAGATGGGAAATCCGAAGCTGCTTGAAGCCTTGGAGAGTTTCATTACAACAACTTCGGACACGCTGTCACAGAAGAACAGAGAGAATGAAAGATTGGATACAGCCCTTCGAAGGCAAGTTGCATGTTTGGCAAACTGTCCGGCAAATGTCTTACAAGTACAATTGAACTGCTTTACTGTACCGATTTCTATTTAAAAATATCCTTTGCTCTTTAGAGAAGGTTCGGATGGGGGTAACGGGTAAAATTTGTCTGAATTGGAGCTAAATGTTTTTGTGACTGAAATTCTTGAGTTTAACTAGACAAGGACGACTTTGCCCTACAAATTAGGCCTTGGACAGACCTGTTGCATGTATAGTCAAATATCTACTCCCCCTTCCCCTATTCAAAGTTGGAACGTATGTATTTTAGTAGCCGAGATACCAACATTGAACTGGAAGAAAGGGTGATGCAAAATCATAAAACTATCATGGCTTGTCGATGGTTTCTCGCTGAGTTGATTCACTCAGATTTTCCTGTATTCTATCAGTGGGGAGAATTAGTTTTTTAGTTAGGGGGGGGGGGAAGCAAAAGCTCCAAGGATCTGCGGACAAATGGCAAATTTTACTGAAAATTTACTAAAAACTTTGTTTTAAGTAACAGTTTGACAAATTCTGGCGCTCTGCCCTTCCCCCACCATCGCAGTTTCTGCCCCTGTAGAAAACAGGGTTTGTTTGAAAAAAACCTGACTTGTTCTTACTGAGGCTTACATTTATATGGTACGCATGCAAAAATATAAAGTCAAATCTATCTATTTTTTAAGGATCTTTCTATTATTTAATGGTTTTAATTTTAAAGCATTGTGTTTCAAAACGAGTTGAAAACGCCATCTTGAATTTTTAGGGCAACTGAAAAGAACTCGGAAAATGCACGGAACCTGGAAGAAGAGATGGAACAACAAATCACAATGCTGGAAGAGAAGATAAGAGAAGAGGTGAGGCGTAATAGAATACTTTGTTCAAGAGAAGTTTTTATTATCCAAGTAAAGATGCCCCAAAGTCTTGATGGGGCTGTATGAATATAAATAGTTTTATGACGTATGCTCTTATTTGACAGTTCTTATCTGTTCGCATTAAACAAGGCTATCTACTATTGTTTTTTTGGGGGGGGGGGGAGAGCTTGTGCTTCTCTTAAGAAACTAATGAAATCCTGTATTTCCAATCAATCCTTTTTGTTTTTGTTTTTTCTCAAGCCATCTTGCCCCTCCCATAGTTTCATCTTCCCTACGATGCTGTTTTTAATTAGGAGAAAAGGAGAGCGGAAAGGGCAATAATGGAAGCGCAAATAAAAATCGAGGAAAAAGACAAAGAAATGAAAGAAATAAAGGAAAAGGTAAGATTTATTTTAGAAAAAGTTATTTATCATCATTACATTATGTGCTTTTGTGCTTTATTTCCTTAGTAATAATTCATTGTGCATTTTTGTTATTCCGGGAAGTTTCAAATGACTTGATATTAATGCACTAAAACCAAAATCAAATCAAGGCTTGATTATTTTTGTTTAAAAAAATATGTTAAGTTGTTTATAATCAATTGAAAAAGCAATTTATTAACTACCATTATCGAAAAAAATTGACATTTGTGATAACCAAGAACCAATATAACTGTTTTACGGTCGATCCGAGAGAATTGTAGATTTGTTTTAGAAATTAATCCAAACATGGTTAATCATACAAAGAACTTTGGTTCAAGTAATCTATATAAAATGAAGCACAGGGGTCTTTGACATTTTTCAACTTCTAATAATTTTAGGTCTTGAAATTACTCTCTTTTGAAGTTTTGACAATTTTGTATCAAAAACTGTGCATCTGTTTTGATCAGCGCAGTTTGTTTTTTGCTACGCATTCTAAACGTTATTTTGTGAAACCAGATTATTTAAACGTGTGTAGGCTTTGAGAAAAATGTCCAGGGGCCTCTTGTGGATGAGAATATTTTTATTTTCTTGTTCCAGTTTTTGCTTTTGCTACTTGTAACCCCATACAGGAGAAGGGTGTTTACATTTTTTTGTTATTCTCATACTCCTGGTATTTCTCTGCCTCAATCTCTCATAATTCGCATAAATTCAGACAAAACAGGTCATCAGATCTGAGTCTTAGAAGGCAAGGTCAACTCAAGATCTGATATAAATCTTATTCAATCTTTGCTGGTTTTCATCTTTATTAACGGTGATACGATCAGATTTATATCATCTCTTCTGGTTTAAGTGGCTAGCTCTTGAAACTTCGATCATTAAAAGATCCATTCCCATGCTAACTTTTGACCTCGCGTCTCTCTGCGGTGTGGAGGTTGGGTTTTATACATCAATGTGATTTGTTTTCGACCATACAACTTCTATCCAGCGAAACAAGAGGTGTTTCACAATGAAACATAATGCCAGTGCTTGAAATAAAGCTCACAACCCAGCCAATCCAATTAACTTCGGTTGTCTTTATCGGTATCTGTTTTTTAGACCAATGTTTCTTGTATTCTGATACAAATTTCTATGACGTCATTGTCAGGCAAATTGGTCATAAAGCGGTTTCTAGAGCATGACGATTCCAATAACCAGCCCAAGACCCTTTGCAATTGCTGTATCACAAAAGCTGTACCTGTGTGGTTCCACAACAATGATTCTTGAGGGCATCTCGACTGCGCTTTGATCAACAGAAGAAGCCAAATTAAGCCTACGTGTATCAGCTAAATTGTGCAGGGGCCTAAAGGGAAGGATTCCAATGTCGATGAAAGTTCAGACATAGACTAAGTATAAGTAAAGAATAATTTGCAATGAGAAGGATTCATCTCGCTGTTGGCTCCAAAGATTGGATCTAAAGCAAAGAGGCACTTGTACTCCGAATTAGCTATCTTTAAACTCTAGTTCTCTTGGCTCTTCTGGTCCTAGCTAAGTGGTATTTTGGACCAATTTGAAATAACCTGTTTTTGAAGCGCCTTTCTCGGTTCGTCTTTAAATCTATAGATAGCAAGTATATACAATGCTCTCTGCAATTTTTTGGGCTGTACCTAACGTCTGAAACTAATTTCAAATTAAAGGTGAGAATAACTTTTTATTTTGTCTTTCAGCTTGAAGAAAGAATGAACAGCCAGGCCACAACAAAAGAAAATGAAAGCGAAGAGGATTTAAAAGAAAAGGATTTGGTAAGATTGTTATTTTTAATTACATTTTATAGTTCATATTTTTTTTGAAAGGAAAGTCACAACGTAATCGAAAGCTTAATGAAAAGTGTTTTTATGTAGCTTCATTCATGTTTTTGGGTGTCAACAATGGCTTGTGTCTAGAACTGAGTAGATTCATCAAGTTGCTTTCAGTAAAAGGAACTATCCGCTGGAATTTAATATCATGAACCTATGAAGAAAAACAATGCTAATGACTTTATAAATATATTTTCTGCTGAATTTTTTTCATCTTTCGACAACTGCTTCTCTGATTTCAATTCAGGACTGTCTAACAACGATGAGATAATATTTTTTGAAAATTATTAAGGATGATTGAATGCTATCTTGAAAACAGAAAATATTGTTGCTGGAACCACTAGATTTTCGCTTCCAACGGGCTTGTTTGTCATTTTAAGTTGCAGCGTGGTGATTTTTTACACCACAATCAAACGCCACGAACATTATAGTTCTTGTGTTTTAAAAACTCTTTATCTTAATGCAAGAGTCTAAAGGCACTGTGGTTGTTGATGTTAAATAGAGATCATTGATTTCAAATGGAAGGAGGGCACACAATTTTCCTCTTTATTTGCCCCTCTCTTTTTATTCTGGGGTGTCATCACTCGCAGGATAAAGACTGGCGTAAGAGTAGAATGACCCTATACACAATCTGGCGTGAAAGAGAAATTCTGATCATATTCATGGAATTGGTTCAATGGTATGATGATAAAAACATGTTTCTCTCGTAGGAAAACGAAGCATTAAGAAGTAAGCTGCGAGAATGTCAAACGCAGATGGCTGTGTTCAGGACAGAAATCGCTCAGCTGAAAAACGAATACGACGAACAAGGGGAGCGACTATCAAGGTATTTACTCATTTCATTTCCAAAGTAACCTGGTTTTAGAGGAGCAATAGCTCCTACTGCAGAGGATATTTCCAGATAGATTTTCAGCACTGTTTTGTTGAATTAATAATGCAGTTCTGATCTCTTTTATGACAATTTCGTCTTTTTAACTCCCTATCACAAAATTTCTGTTCCGGATCTGTTTCAACTTTTATTGAAATTTTATCCTCATGCTTTGTACATCCATGAAGTAAATTTTTGGAGTGTTAACAAAAGTAGAGACTAATTTTTTCTGTGACAGATTTTTTTTAAGAATTTAGATTACTTTTTTTTCAGCGATTTTAATGGCTAGAACTTTTTCGCTACCTCTTTCTATCTTGGCCATCTTTGGTTTGCTCAAAAAATGCACAAAATAGAAATAAATTGTAGATTTTTAAGTACTATCTTTTTCTGTTCTCCAGAGTCCTTACCCTTTTAATTTCTGCCACTACAGTTACTACTATTCTACAGAAAGTTTTTCGACTTTCCATTTGTGTATCTAAACATATGTTTTTCCGAACAGGGAAAGGCAAACAGTCCTGCGTTGTGTCCATGAACAAGAGAGCTTGACAAGACAGTTGCAACTTTTACAGTAAGTGTATCACGTTTAGTGTTTTTTTATGAATTACATTCATCTCCTTGTTTTGCAAAGGAATAGAGATCATAAAAAGGAAGTATTGGTTACTCTTGCTAAGAAGAATGGCTTTCTGACTTCGACTGGTATCCTTTTGATACCCTGAGAGACTCGCTCTCGAATTGCTAAACTAAATTCCTTTTGTATGGGCTTTTATAAATTATTTAAAATTCTGATGGTTAATTTTTTTTCTCTTTTAGTGAAGCAAATAGAAAATTACACGACACAAATGACGATTTGAGGGCAGCTTTAGAAGTAAGTCATTCTTTTACTAGATGTTTAGTGCCAGTCATAGCAAGGGACATATAATTCTATGAAAATCTCGTGCGCCTTTGATAAAAATCAATTTGTTGTTGAGAAAAATTCCCCCAAAATCCCCACAAAACATTGTCTTAAAAAGTCTCATTTGCTCTTTGGAAAAAGTGATACACGCCTCAACTACTGTTTTTGCAAATTTTCAATTGTTGATGGTTGATACATTTTAAAATCAAACAAAGTTTACTCAGTCAGTGATTAATAGAGACATAGTGAATATAATGGGAAACTAAATGAATATAATTATGTTTGAGCTAGTTTCAACCTCAATTCGTTATAACCCTTTGTCTCTGCAAAATTAATGTTACCAAGTTCGAAGAAAACTGGTTTGAAAGACTTTGCTTTAGCTTCTTTAGTAAAGAAAATGGACAAGTCGTATCTATGAAGTTTGATATCTAGATTCATCTTTGTTCCATGATTCAAGCTTCCAGCACATATATCAAACGCTACTTGTAGTAATTCTTAGAAGTTCAGGAGTGGTATTTTATGCCCGATAATTTTTAAATTTCAGAATAGATTGCGAAGTAGTGATGACAGTATGTCACCCAGCAAGAGAAATTCTTTTGTTGGTTCACCAATAGGTGCGTACAAGAAGAACCCTTTATCGAGGTAAGCAAAACATTGAGTCTCTATCACACAATATCTCTTTTTGTTTTGCACTTTGATGTGTATAACAGAACAGTACTAAGTTGAATATCCTTAATAAGGTCATCAGGCAACTGGTCTTAGGTTCCAGGCCTAACTAACAAATCTCTCAAAATACTTGGGCTAGAGTACTTTAGAAACTCGCATGTAAAATGTTTCTATGCTCATCAAGCATTGTTCAAATGTAATTCAATTTTATTTCATTCACTCCATTCATTTAACTGTCATTTCATTTCTTTACTTCAGTGTAATAAGTTTTAATACGTGTACTACAATCTTGTATGTCTTATATAAAAGGTTTTCTAGGTTTTCTAGATATATAAGGTTTTCTAGATATATAAGGATATATAAGATATATAAGGTGTCTTATAATATATAAGGTTTTCTAGGTCTGTTTCAAAACTGGATTATGTTTCTTTTAGCCAAATCTTGTCTAACATTGAAAGCAGAATTAAAGCCGTTTTTGCTTGCAGAGCAGCCCAATAGCTGCACAGGTTGCTGCTAACGGTCACACGCTAAAACTCTTCTATAAAACTCTATGGTCGCATCAATTTTAGCAAAACTAAGGGAGACAAAGTTGCAAGCCTACAGAAAATGTCAATTGAATTATATAAAACGACGAATCAACATGGCAGCCCTCATTTCACCATGGCAACATACTTTTTCTTTCAGAAGCTTTGACAACCAGTCAACTGACTCGTCGAGATCAGCTGTTACGTCACCTATTATGAACGGAGGGGATGAATTAAGCACCATGTCAACACCCCCTTTTAGACCGCTTGAAAGTGAATTTAATGAATCTTCTTTAATGTCTGAACTGATGGCTGCTGATGAGCAGGGGGTAAGTACCTATTAAGATATAATCTTATGTAGCATTAATCAGAGGAGGCATTTCTTAAAATGCAAATGTGACCTTTACCATTTTTACAATAACAGAGCTATAGAATTCAATGTTTATGAAAATGTATGTTGTCATACTTTTTAAGCATAGTCGAGAAAATTCTCGTTACTAGCTAACTGGCGGGAAACATTTTTCTATCCTTGCATCTATCTCATGAGCTTAAAAAACCTATAGAAAAGATTAATTGTCAATGAATGTTTCTAGCTTTACTTTTTGCCCTGGCTGCAACGATCATGGAGGTGATACTGACTTATCAGGTTATGGAAGCTATACCGCTAGTTTTAATTTTATTTCAAACTCTAAAAGTTCGTTTATTCATCTTTATGCAACAAGATAGTCAGCGGACTGCAATGCTTTCATCTGTAAATAATTTAAAATTAAAACCAATATGATAATCACTCTCTGAGAACAAGATAATGCTTTTGAAAAGAATTGAATTTAATCTAAATTCCATAATCCCTGTCTTAATTATAAACGACTACAAAATTTGAAAAACTAATATGAGGATAAAGCCAAGATAATGGTATCTGGTCATTCGATGAGTAAAACCCTGTGATACTACGGTCATTTAATGAGAATACAGAATTGCCGAGAAATTTGTCCTGTGAACTTTTAAGTATAAAACACTAGAAATATTTTAGCGAGCTGAAATATTAACTGTTTGCAATAAATATTTGAAAAAAACGTGAAGTTGGGCTTTGCTTTGCGTTAGTTTGCTCCAAAAACTACGAGAAAGAGTTTCTTGACGACTGAGGTAAAACATATTATGGCTTATGTCTTAAATTTAACATTCGGGGTACCATGTCTCTTGACGAAGCCTCGTTTCTATTTTCTCAATATTTACCTTTCAATATTCTGAAGATTTTGTGTATACCATTATGCAAACGTGAGTTTGTAGATCTGGCCTTAGCTATACCTATATTTTTCTGTAAATTTAAACGATAAAAGCTACAGTGTTATGAAGAAAATACTTAATTTGGTATTAAATAAACCGAGTAATCTCGTGAAGAAAAGAACTGATATTTACTGACATCTTGCATCGCTGAAAATTTAGCCAAGGGTTTTGTTCAAATTTGTTAAGAGTACTTTCGAATTTCTTACGTCATTAGAATTTGTGAGCTTTGAAAATCTTCATTATCTTTACAACCACAATGTAGTACTGATCAAAGGAAGTGTAACCGATGTACAGTTTGTGCCTTGGAAGATATGGAGTACAGGCCAACGAATTATTGAGGTCCATCAGTATCGAATTAGCTCATAACTTAAGATGACTGATTTTCAAATACATCTTATAGGAAATTTTAATTTCCCGCAAAAATTATGATTCTGTCTCGTTAAATGATTTGCTGGTGTAAAGATTACGTAAAGAACTTGATATCTCGCCCTCCTCAACAAAGGGCCTTTACATTGACACACGATTTCATTTTCTTAATATGGCTTATATCACTGGTTTCAAACTGCAAACAGCAGCTTACTCTCAAAATCGCCACATTACTGAACCTTTGTGCCTGCAAACTCCCATCTGTCGTTGTCATTAGCAAGTAGCTTTGCTCACATTAAACATTTACCATGCTGTTTAACCTTACTTACCACAAAATTGATCATCGGTGATACTGATTTTACCATAGGGCCTTTACACAACCGTTTGTCACTCCTTGGAAAGTTTTTCTAACTATTTTATATAGCTGTAACCTGAAAAAATAGCTCAGTAGGCGATCAATATCTTTTCTTGATTTCAATCAAAGCTGTTCTTTTTCAATGCAGCTATAGATCGTCAAAGGTTAATGTAGCCTACTTTTGGATTTTTAAACTTTTTTAACCAAATACTTACGGTAGAGCTAGGGATTTTTAGAATGCTTTTGCTTGCATGTTCTTAACAGAATTCCAAATATTTGTTGTGTTTTCTAAATCAAAAGCTACATTTTTATCATATCTTTCAACGGTTTAATAGAGGATTTTCTTTGTAGCAAGAGATCTCCTCTTAAACTATATTGAAGAATAGTACATCTAAATGAAGTAAAGCAGAAAAAATGATCCTTTTATGAAACTTCTCTAAGCACTGTTTGAAAACAAAGCAGAATAAAGAATAACAGTATAGATGATAAATAAGAGTAAAATAAAATTAATCAAGCTAAAGCTCTGGTAGCCAATTATAAATACGTTAAAGCTTATGTTTTGAATTGACTTACTACCAGGATGGTGATGATGACATAGAAACAGAGGGGATCCTAAACACCAGCATGGGGTTACCTGAGGGAATATTGCCTCTTCATAATATTGAAACAGATTATGTTGATGATGATGCTGAAACAGACCCTGAGTTTGTTGAAAATGAGAAACTTAAAGAGGCGGTAATTATCTTAAATTAAACCATAATAAAATAAAGTAATTAGTGTTCCTAAATCTTAAAATAAATTTGTATTAAACTGATTTCTTGACTTTAAATGGGCTTATAGTATGAATGATATAATGCTATTTTCTCTAAGTTTTTAAATATCAAAATATTGCTTGATCAACTTAATTAGACTAAATGATTCTAAAGTCATTCTAAATTAGATTAAACGATTCTAAAGTAAATGATTCTAAGTGATTCTAAATTTTTGATAATCATCATATGCAAAGTGCTTTTAGTATGAAGAATATGAACAAAATAACACATTTAAAAAGCGTAAAAATCATTTCAAATCTTCAAATTTAACACATTTGAGCATAAACATATCTATTCAATTTTAATTTTTTCGATATTGCTGTACAAATATTAGTTTTACGATGATTTTTGTGATAGAATAAAGAAATGTTTTGAACATTGAAAATTAGATAATATATTTACAAAATAGCTGGATGAATGCAGGTTGAGATTCAGTGGCAGAATTGGCATGAATCAAAGCCGATTAAACAAAAATTTTAACCAATTAAAGTAAAAAGTAGCAATGAAATGATTTTTCTCAAGTTTTTGCGTTGGGATAAGCAGAAGTTAGATTTGTATCTTTCAAAACAATAAAGTATTCATTTTAGAACTATTGAATGAATTAAGAATTTTATCTAGTAGTCCTTTTATTTATTTAGTTAAATTTTTTATACATTGTGATAAAATGAATATAAGCTAAATACCGTTTTGAAGCATTTTCCTTTGTCTAGAAATTTCATATCTGCAATCAATTTTTGATTCATAGTAAGATATTGTAATTGAAACTTAACATTGTCAATCCTTGCAATTTCAGTTCAAAAATATGACTGGTAAAGAGCTTGAGAATGAAAGTCTTCAGGCAATGCCAGCAAAAGAAAAAGAACAGATGATGGAGCAACTAAGAATTTTATGGTAAGCTAAATCTATTCAAAGCATTGATAAGGTCAGGCTCTGAAGGGTTTTAGGGTAAAGAAATATGCGTAACTAAACTGATGAAGATGCCCGGAAAAAACCTCTATTGTTTATACCCGATTTGCATAACTATATTATGCTTCATAAACCTCTTTATCGCTACATTAAACCTCTCATTCAACCACCCCTCTCCCACCCCCTCATTCAAGTAGTCCGAGATAGCATGATACGGCATCATAAGGCAGTAAGTTGGACACGGAAGATACCTTTCAATATCTACTTACTTAAAACACTTTCCTTATTTACTATCTGCTAAACACTTAGACTAATAAAAAACCAACATTTAACTTTAATTTTTCTTTTTCAGTGAAACTAATCGACGATTAAGTCAATGTAACGATGAACTGCGAGATGCATTAGGGGTGTGTATGCTGTTTCTTTTTCATTTTTCGTTATATTTCATTTGCGAAGGCAGATGTTGAACTCCAAGTGACTATACAACGTATGCAAAAGTCGTAAGAGATAATTTTCCTTAATATTTTAATATTTTTTGTCCATGCTGGCAACAAATATGATACATTTATATTTGGGTGTATAAAGACATGAGCAGCCATATGCAGGGTTGACAACATCAGCTCTCAATTCATACAATTAATTTTTTCTATCTTAGAAACTAAACCAAATTTGATTCTGGCACATCATTCACTCCTAGCCTTGGAGAAACAAATGGCTGGACAATCTTCTTGCTAAACTGAAATCTCTTCTGACCATCAGTACTCGATGGTTCCTTTAGATTTGTCTTCAAAACATTTGTAAAATAACCAAAATGATATATTCACAATACAAAACATAGAATATCTTGCTGTTAAGATGGTTTTCTAATATTACTGAATATCACCCTTCTTTAATGGCTTTTGAATAATCTTTGTCATAGCAATAGTCATATATTTCCAAATAATGAATCGCGCCTTTTTTTTCCAATGCCGAGGTCACTGTTTCTCATATATAGATAAATGAAAAGTCAAAATGCAATGGAAACAATGCTAACTCCACCCTGAAGACAGCGAGTCCAAGCTTTTGCTCTCTCTCCGCCTTTTTCATGATTATATTTAGATTGTCAATGATTCTATCTTCTTTTCAGCTGCTATCGAAGAAAAGGAAGGACAAGGTATAAACACTTACAATCAGCTTTTCACAAATATTTAAGGAATGCTTAATTTAACGGAGTATAATTGTAAGACTAAACGGAACTCCCAATTGTTTTAGAAAATTGATATTTTACAGGAGGTTGAGCTTTTTGGATTAACTGTCTTAGACTGAAATTCTTTAGCAGTCATTTCTTATCGAATTTGGGATAATGTTACACAGATGAATCTTTTTACTGGTTGCCTTGTTTTCTATAATCTTTGTTATCATAAACTCATTGAAATAAACTTCTTACTAACGTCTCTTGTATGGTCATATACGCTGGTTTAAAGAGATCCTTTAATGAACGATTGATAAAACTCTAAAGTCGATAAATCAGTTAGTAATGCATTTCTTTAATTTTGTCAACCCTTCTAAAGGGTGGTTTCAGGGTTACACTAAAATACAGAATAATCTTGAACCGTTATTACCAACGGGTTAGTTCCCCAGGTGCATCCCAGATGCCACTCTCACATAATTTTCCAGCCAATTTGAACAAAGTTGATAGGCCTCTTTGTTACCAGCTACCGCGTACAGCAGATCTATTTTATTTAAAAATTGACCGTCTTTTTTGCAGAAGTCACCAAGAAGCTCATCTCGCTCATCCCATAGTGATTATATGTCATCTCCTAGCCGATCTAATTCCCGAAGCAGGTGCGTGATAAAATCAAACACGATTAAACCGGAATTTTTCTTTATCCTGCTTAATGACACTTGTAAGCTGCATCTTAATTTCTTGGAATCCCACATGTTGAAATCTTTTATGTTTGTTTGAAGATTTTTTATCAGCAGCCATTTAAATGTCATTTCTACCGAAAAATAGTCGAGAATTTTTAGGAAAGTAATCGGTTTAGTTGCAAAGGAGTATAGATTTTTTGACCCAAACATCTCTACAACTTTCAAAAGACATTAGTTCTTACTGAGAATAGGCACCTAACCTACATGCAACGGACACCTCCCTACAACAGTCATCTAAATCGGACACCTCCTAGAATGGTTGCCTCTCAACATTGGACACCCTTAGAATGGATGCCTCCCTAGAATGAATACCTTCCTAGAATGGATACCTCACTAGAATGGACAACTCCCTACAACGGTCAATTCCCTACAATAGACACTTCCCTACAACCGTCACTGCCCAACACAGGACACCTCCCTGCAACGTTTACCTCCCTACATCAGACACTTACCTAAAAGTGACATCTCCCTGCAGCAGACACCCCCCCCATAGGCACTTCCCTAGAACCGTCACTGCCCAACATAGGACACCTCCCTGCTTTTTTTCTTTGATTTGATAATCTAATTTTCCTATAGCTCAATAAACTCAAGAAATTCGATACCTGATAGGCCACCAAGTTCAAGTTCACCTAGGAAGCGCAGAAGCAATAGCAGAAAGCCAAGTCACTCGGCAACGGTTTGTTCTAGCTTTTTGTTAAGGTTTTCATTCTCTGTATCCAAGGTATTAAAATCCGGAAGGTGCTCCTGTTGCAAGCACTGTTTGATGAAAGAAAACAGCCCTTTGAGAGAGATCTGATATCTCATAAAGTAACTGAAGTAATCAAAATTCTTTTTCAATTTATATCCCGCATGATGCTACTAAAACCTTTATTAAGATCTAAAAGAGTAAGAAAGTCCATGCTGGTCAAAAATAGGGTACCCGTACACAGCATTCTTTGTACCAGAGTTAGCAAATACATTGAGAGCCAGAATGAAATAAACAGTTTGATTGTCAAAAACACACCGTTCGAGCAGGTTTAAGGGTATTATCAAAACAACGAGTACATGCTAGAAACTTTTTGTTTTCAACACTCGAACTATTTTATTTCATTCTGGTACTCAATTTATTGGCTAACTCTGTTATCGCTATTTGTGATGAAGTACCACACGCAACGTGCATTTAAACTGTTATCATGTGAATATTCCTGAAAAATACAGAAAAAATACGCTTCAGACTCTGTGCATAGATAATCGCAGTTTTCTTTTTCAACCACGTATAAAGCCATTTAATTCAAATCATTTCATAAGCAGTTAATTTGTTTGTTTGATTATGAAATAATACATACACTGAACTAAATCGTATTCTTAACACAAGTGTCTTTCGCAAGACTATTAGCTGATAATAGCAAAATATTTTTTCACAAATGCAATAAGTTTGATTAAATGATCCAATTGTTTGTCTAAAAACAATATTCCTTTGTTTACCAATTTCTTATAATTTCATTATTCATTAATTATTTGTGCTTATTAAATTCGACCAGTGGATGAGCTTTTGTCCTTTATAGTTTATCAAAATATTGAGTCTTAACACGCAGGTGAATTAATGAGAATTCCTATTTCTATCTAAACATTAAAGTCAACAATAGATTAAAGTTTGAGTCTAATCGTATATTGAATATTTACTAAAAGAATATTTTTGCGATATCCTATTACAGATCAGCATTAATACTTAGATTAACATAAAAGCAACCTGAATCATGAAATATGAAATAAATATGAAATAAAATTTATAAACTTTAAATCATAGTCATCAGAAGGTGAAACTGAGAATGTCCCTGAAAGTAAATGTGAATGCGGAACAGAGCTCGATAATGGAGCCTTTAAATGCAAAAATTGTGGAAAGATACACAACCCTGTCAATGAAGATGTTGTTGAACCAGTCGTTGTGGAGGATGATAAAAGCGAACCTTGGTTAGACCCGAAATTGTTTCCAGAAGAGGAGTGCAGTTGCAAGGACGATGGAAGCATCTGTCCGCAATGCACAGAAAAACGAGATGTTTCATCTATTGTGAAAGATGCTTCTGTGCAGGCGGATTTGTCATTGAACCCAGAAACTAGCCTCGAACTAGATAGAGGCTTGCATGTGTGCGAGGGCGAAAGTTGTATTTGCATAGAAGAGGATAGTATGGTACCTTTAGATAAATCCGTTCAAGTCAGTGACGTTCTTCTTGATATAAGCAGAGATAAAAATGAACAGATTGCAAACGAAAGCAAAGAACTAGTCGAGGACGATCTTATAATTCCGGATTCAGATGTAGACGTTCATCATGAACGGGATGTATTATCTGCTTGCCCGGATTGTGGCAATCCAATTCAAGATTCAAATTTTCATGACGATATATGTACTTGCATAGAAAACCAAGCACAGATTGTTCCACCAACCCCATTTCAGGACAATAAAGTCGATAACGAATTTCAAAAATCACAGCATCATGACATGAAATCGAGCTTTCCAGATTATTCAGATGTAACAAGCAATTATACGGATCGCGAAACAGATGTGCAAACACGAGTTACCGAACCGAGTGCAGTTGATACGGATAGTTTAGCCAATGCAGCTAGGATTCGACAGGGGATTCACCCGCCTACTGAGGTAATCCACCCAAACATAAGAACATGAAAGTTTTAGGCACATTACATATTTCTACTTTGTAAATGTAATCTTATATCTCATTATCGATAAATGCATAACGATAGTATACCAGAAACATAATTTCAATTATGGTTGCTTTAAAATCATAATTAAAATCCTTCAAAATATATAAACCTGCTGTTGTAGAAATATAAAAAATCAAGAATTCAGTTTAATTTAGGATCAGTCAGATTAATTTAAAAAGACTAACTCCAAATAACTATCAAATGTCTTGATGAAAAATAAATATCTTTTATAGCGCCTTTAGACATGATACTACATTGTTTTCGATAAAAATAAAAATAGCCAAAAGTGACCTCTAGTAAAACGTCTTAAACTAATAAAATAATTTAAATTTTAAGATATACATACAAATCATAGAATTTAATAACATCTGATTCCGTAATGCATTTCCAAGACTTTGAACAAGATGAAGAAGATGGCTCAGCATCTCTTAAAAAAACTTTTCTGCAAAGTTTTAATTCTAGTTTTCTTTAATGTTATTGCTTGGTTTACTGAAAATTATTTTAGTACCAATGCAAACATCGTTTATTCATTGGTCATTCTCGTGGTGGAAACGTTTTTGATACACATAATTTTTAACAATCTGTTTCTGCCAGCCTTATTCAAAGACCCTTGATTTCGTAGGACGAAAGTGCTTCTGACATCACATCAGGAATAAATTCTTCATATTCAGTGATACAAAACATCGATGAAGAGGTTGGTTACTTTTTTGATTAAACCATATGGACTCGAAACATTTAAGCTGTACAGTTGAGTTATGCACATCATTTGACACTTCTTTGCATTATCTCATCAAATATCACATTGAATCCTGTCGCAGCTTTATAACTATTCTTGATACTACACTGCTTTTGTATCCTCCCTCTCCCAACATACCTTACTTAGTCGTTTCTCATGGTAAAGTTCAGTGCCTTGGGCCTTTATTGATCAAGAATTAACTGTAGGCAGCTCTCTTTTTGCCTCTTCCTCGCAAAAATTAATTTATTCATGGTTCTCCTATGTATCTTATTAAAATTCATTCTAATAAGTCGAAAGAAAGGTTCCAATGAACTTAAAATGGATTTCAGTATTATCACCAAGATGATATTCAAAAGCCATATTTATTGTGCTATAGTAAGTACTTTTCCTCTCGAAGGTCAGTAGAACCCCGAGTGGAAGCCACTTTACAAGACTCAGACTATTCTCGGGTCTAGCATTAAAGGCAAAGAATTATCGCATGAAGTTCTAATCCAAACTGCGTATTGTTTAAGAAACTTGGTCGTTGATGCTAGGAAGTTGTAGCCCACGTGACAATAGATTGTTCAAGGGAAAATGCTTTTAACATAATAACCTTAGGATTTTTCAGACTAAAATCAGTTCTTAATCTCAAGACACTTAGCCAATAAAGACAGTCTGCAGGTTCATATATTCTTGGATTCTTTTTTGCGGGATTTATTGCTGTCTTGAACTCAATCCTTGTAACATTGACAGTAGCATTGTTTCTACAAGTGTTTGAACTTATTTCGATTGATTGGTACAATTCCCTTTTTTGTTATTTTTATCAGCTTAGTATGTTTGCTCACCAACGAGAATCAGACGAAGATGTTGATGAGGATGACATGACTATAGGAGAGCTGCAACGAATAAAGGAGATGACGTCATCCGGGTCAGATCTAGAAAGTGATACAGACTCAACGTTTGGAGAAAAACAACGACAGGGAGACTTAGATACTACAGATCAAAATTCGGTACGATTATTGATTCAAAGAAATTTTTAAGTTGTAACTTTTTTGATGGAAGTAAGTCTTATATTGTTAATTTTTTCCCTTTAATTCTCAACCCTCTTTTTTCTGTCATGTCCCTTAAACATTTTAATTTGTAGCATGCCACTTCAGTTTTTATTCTAAAGATACATATGACCTTTGTCAACTAGTTTAAAGATGTTATCTAAGATGCAAGGCTATTTACAACCGATCCTCGTGGCTGCCTTTTGGTTACGTCATCGCACATGTACGAAGTGACAAAACATAACCCTTATTTTTGGAAGGAGAATATAAAAGATTGTCCCGAAAAGGACATCGTTTTGGCAAAGTCTCTTTTAAGCCTAACACCCTGAGTCAGGACCATAGCTATGGGAAGGGTGATGGGGTATAACCCCTCCCTTCGAAAATAGAAGCCATTTAAAGAAACTACCTGTTTTGGGTCACCGATGAGTGATTGTATGGCGTATTGTGAACCTTATAGGTAAAGAAGAGATAGCTCATTGATTTTATCAGCAGGTGGGACTTGAGCACACACTTGAGCACAATAGCTAGTGAATGTGCAGCCCTGAGTATTTTGCCTGACTTGCATTGCTAATAATTTACAAGTATGGCAAGAATATCTTTATTTTATTGTCATGTATTGTTTGTTATTATATAATTATTTGCAGAATGAAAATCTCGGTGAACCTGAGCGAATGTATAAGCTCGTGTTGGCTGGCGACGCAGCAGTCGGAAAATCAAGTTTTATTTTAAGACTTTGCAAGAATCGTTTCTACCCATCACTTAATTCAACTCTAGGTAAGTAGAATATTTTAGTAATAGGCCTAACATGTTGACATAGGGTCAAATTGGAGTGATTCTTTTGAAGAAATATCAGTTAAAAATGGATGTTAATTAATTAATTTATGCTAGATATTATGATGAATAGATGACAGAGAAATTAAAGTGTTATTGGCTGCCATGTCAATGAACTTCAGTCAAGACTTTGTAACAAACATGCTATAAATCACTCGAGAGTTTCTCTTTCTCTAAAATTTGTGAACATTTTTAGTAGGAAAGCGTTTGAAAATCTACAAACCAAAAGCAGTGAATTACGGTTATGACTGATCCTTTTTCATTAGCACGCACTGCCTACTGTGAAATTCATTTTTCAAGATAATTATCGTGACAGCGATTTTGATTTTGGACGAGTGGGATGGGTTCAGGTGATATCAACAACATAGACTATTCCATCCAAACTGCCATCGTACATGATTCTGTATTCTATTATACATCATTTGGTGTTATAAATTTTCCTTTTTTCTATTTAGGTGTCGATTTTCAGATGAAAACCCTGAATGTCGATGGCCATACTATTGCTTTACAACTTTGGGATACAGCAGGACAAGAAAGGTATACATTTCAAAAGCTCTTGGGCGTACCTCTCTTATTGACTACCTCAACATCATATAATTCTTCAAAACTAAAATTCCTTCAAGCCAGTGGTGGCGCCAGGAGAGGGCTAGGGGGGCTCAGCCTCTCCGTCGAAAGCATCTAGCCCCCCCCACCCATCGGAGGAAATTTTATGTTATTGTCGGAGCAAATTTGACAAAACAACGTACGAAAACTGCTTATTTTAGTCATTTTAGCACCCCTGTCGGAAGCTCCAGCCCCTCTGGCGGAAGATTTCTGGCGCCACCTCTGCTTAAAGCCACTTTTAAAAAGGTTGTTTTCATATCTGACTCTTGCTAATACCCTTCACCCAGACTGTCATCATACATGATTCCATGTTCTTATGCTTTGCTACCCATCAAATATTGTACCATTTGTGATATATGTCACAAATCATATTTACTTATTTGTTCAAGATTTTTTTACAAGTAGTAGGGGAAGGGATTCGAATTTCTGCCCATGATTTTGTCTGCTAAAGAAATACCTCTACGTCTTGGATAAACACTGCCTTTTCAAAAAACTTAATCTATACCCAAGTCTGCTATGTGCTGTTGTCAGAATTTAAGCTATATCCTTCCACGCTAAAAAAAGCTAAAGCGACGACCCCCCTTGGGGAAGCTGAGAAGCAAGCACATTTATTTTCTATAAACAAGGTGTGGTCTCAGTCAACTAATACATTTTAAGTCGTTTATTCAGTGAATTACAAACTATATCAGTATCGTATTAGCTATCAATCGTTAGAAATCATTATATAGGCCTTCTGTTCCATTATTTATTCACCTTAAGCAAATACAGCTGGATAACGGTTGCAGAAATCGCGTATTCTTGGAATCTCAATTAAACATTGTGTATTTCTTTAACTGCTTGTGATCGAAATATGACATGACGTTAAGAATACAATTAGCTTTCGTGTTTCATTAGTTTTTGTGAGCGGATTGCAATTTACTGCTCTATGTTATGGCGAAACATAAAGTCATATTTTTTTCTCCTTTCGCTCAGGTTTCGAAGCATAGCTAAGTCGTACTTTCGCCGAGTCGATGGTGTCCTCCTTCTTTATGACGTAACAAGTGAACAATCTTTTCTCAATGTTCGAGACTGGATGGAATCGATACAGGTAAATTGAAGCTATAAATTCAATAAGGTTTTCGTTCTGCAAAATACGTTGCACAGTTATCGTCTTTTTTTTGATTGGAGTCTATAACAAGTTGTTATAGACTCCAATCACATTAACAACCTTTAAATAAACTACCTTTGAACCCACAACCAAGAAGAGTACATAATGTCCCAAATCTCCAAATGAAGTGTATAGATCTTCTAAAAGAGACTTTCTAAAATTTTAAAACGTGTTTTAAAATATGAATTTTGACTTCTTGTAAAGTAAGCAAAATGATTTTAGGATTGATAACGTTGTATCCTGCAAAGTTTTTTATACAAAAGGTCTGGCATTAACAATGAAAATTTTTTTTGAATATTTTTCAACAATACTACTATTCCCTGCATTTTTTATAAATTGGAAGTCTATTCCTCTTTAACTGCATGGTATGTAGAAGCACTGACAGATGCTTTGGTGATACACATCTTAAATTTGTATTCTCGTATTTAAATTAAGAGCTGCTTCGAACTAAGTAGGATGTACTGCTGTTTACAGGAAAGTTCAAATAAGCCGGTTCCAATCATGCTATGTGGCAATAAGATTGATTTACGGAAACCTACAGCACCTAATGGAAAAAGTTATATTTCAAGGGAACAAGGAGAACGGCTAGCTAAGGTAAGTTAAATCATTTTCAGCACTTGCTTAAGGATTGTATATTGTATTTTAAAAGCAAAGAATACTTTTAGGCTGTTAAGAAATGACAATGTCATGGATACCAAATACCAATAAAATAATTTATCCTTGTTGCTTTTAATATAGGTTTTCAATTGTTTTTTATAACTTGTAGTAATTTGTATAATTGACTCTGAATTTCACTCTGAGCAGAAACTTAGAACCGTCCTGTTCTGTACACCAAAAGTTTGTACAGCTCTGCTTATACGGCATTGAGCACTTAATGACAAACCAGTAATTCTCATTACTAAGAGTATTATACAATTCCCCCTATATGTAATTAAATTTATCAATGAGCATAATTTAGGCCTTTTGGAATATAACGACTTGCGGTATTAACTTTGGTATGCCTCTTGACTTTAGAAGCATTTGCTGCTGTTGTTGGTCTCATATTGTTGTTCTAACTTTACTGCTTTTGTTCGAGCTATTGTATTTTTGTCATTGCTATTGTTCTCGTAATCAAACAGGAAATAGATGCGTTTTTCATCGAAACGAGTTCTCGAAAGAACACAAATATCGCTGAAGCTGTACTGAAATTGGCAAGGTATTTCACATATCCTAAGATTTCTTTTTTTTTAAATTTCTTTACTGCAAGGAATCGGCGACTCTCGATAACACTTTCATTTTAATTCTTAACGAGACATCGGTCATGTTTTCATGTATAATTAGCACCATGGTTTTATATTGGTAGCACTAATTGGTTGAAGTTCGCCTGTATCTACCAGGTCAGTAAGCGAATCAGAATATAGCAAACTGGCAATATCCCGTTAATCTCCAATAGATCTTCTGTTGAATCAAGACACGACTGTAAAACGTGGTAGCGCCACTGATAAAAGCTTTTCAGTGTATCCGAATTTTATGATACTATTTAAAGAAACTCGTTTGGCTACACAATCAATGATGCATGAATTCTATGTTTCTGAATTCTGAATTCTAAATGGCAATTTTAGGAATCGATTACACTGCAATGTTTGTATGAAATGAGAAGATCTTTCCGTATCTCTGAAAATTTTTCGGCCTTTAATCCGGTCATGATGAGGTGAGTTTTGTTGCAACGCTGCAATCTTTCTGCATTTAGTCAAATACATGATGCTTTTTTAGGAAACTGCGGTCGCTGGAAGATACTGAGATAAGAAATGGTGGCATGACTTTGGGTGACAATGGCAACGACAAGAAAAAGTCAGGGTGTTGCTAGACTGTCAAAGATCGGTATCTAGTCCATTCGATGCGAGTCAAACGCAGCAAAACGCAGAAGAAAGGTAGAAGTTACTGGCCAAGGAAGTCGAGCATGCTCAGATATATGTAACCTTTTAAGTAGGCAGATGGTATAAAAAGTATGAATGGTTTCTTGGTTTTGCTGTTTCTTTTGAGAAGCGTTACATTTACAGATCTTTTGATTGGCAAGAAGTTTACATTAAGTAAAATCAAAAAGATTTAACGCGGGAGCGTCACAGGACGTTAAGATCACATCGATCATATACATGGAGAGTTGAAACCGTTTAGTGGAGACGTCACGTTAACGAACTATGACATCATTGCATCCAAATGAGCGGAAATAGAAACAGCTGATGATTTCTTCAGAGCGTGAACCTTGTGTTTTTACAATCCTGATACTAGCCTTAATAGGTCATCAGAGAAGCTCAGTATCGCGGTACTTTTTCGTACAAGCAGTTTTTAATCGCTGGGTTAATTTGCATTAAGTATATTAAAGTACGTTTTTAATATAGTAGAAAGGGTTTTCTACATAGCATATCAAAAAACATTCTTGATGCCAAGATTACTCCAGTACTTTGAAAAAACCATGCACAATAATGGGAGAGAATTGTATTTCTAAGTAGTACACAAAATAAATTGTTGAAATAGCATGCAATTTTATTTTGCACATATTTGTAAAAACTTTCCGTCGTGCATATTTCTAGATTTGCATTTGTTTTGCAAAAAGTAACTAGAAATTAATTTGATGATATAGATATAAGGAGGATCGAAGATGCTTGTGATTAAAAGAGCGAAATTCAACCTGGCAACTGTAGAACCATTACTATATTTTAAGCAGTGTCTGGTATCAAGCATTAAACTAAACCGTTTAACACCACATTGTCTTTAGTACTATTATTTTTGATTTGATAAAAGGAAAGTTCCAGTCGTTTGCCACCAAACTCTACTCTAGTACCTGACTAAACCCTTTTGTGTCCAGAGTACCCCCGAAACGTCATGTCCTTTTTATCCCTATCCTATCCCACATTATGCAAAACTACTTCTTTCACAAATTTTAAAATATAAAAGTGGCATTTTGACATTCTATTCTCTGCTCAAGTCTTTGTTTTACACCGCGTAACTCTTGGTTTTAAGCTTGATAGATGATCACGACCTTCCGATCATTCCACTCCACATTTCGCACCCCAGAGTACAATTGTAATGATCTCTATTTGAAAAATTGGTATAAAGTAAAGTACACTAATTCCAATTGTTAGAAAGAAACCAAATCTATTTCTATCGAACTAATAAGACCCTAAAACATACTTCACACACAAAGCATGACTTCTACCTACTAATTTTTGTGCAGTGTTAAAAGCGTTGATTTTTAGATGTTTTTGGTAAGACCTGTAAATCTTTTGAGACATATAAAATAGCTTAACTATAGATTTAAATTGCAAAGCAATTCGTACTTTTGATGAGAGCTAAATAAAGGCAACCGAGGCTAACTTTAATATGCTTTAAGGGCATAATGATAATGTAATTTGTAAATATATTTTGGAGAAATTATCGGCCAAACATAATGAGTGTATCTTTTTTAAAAGTTATCTTGGCATGTTTGAATTTAAAGCTTCACGTGTTCACGAATGTTTAATAAGAGGAGTTAAGCCATCTTTATGTGTACCATGGTTTGAAAACAAAACAATTTACAGCATCCTCTTTAAAGTAGCATTGTTTTGTGACTTTGTCTAGATTTGTCTTCTGAGCAAAGATTTTGAGAGATGCTGCACCTATGGCTAGCAGGGTCATGAATCTTATCTTCTCTCATAAACAAGAAAAATCTGCTTTTTCCTAATGATGAGCATTTGCACAAAGATATATCAAAATGAAATGAGTCTACGGTCAGTAATACAAAAAGGAGTTTGTGACAAGGAGCCTTAATGTAACAATTTACATTGCCGAAAGTTTTCCCGCAGCTAGATTGGGCACTGTCAATACATAAAGGAGAAATGCGAAGGAGGGGACCATACAGAAAGTGGTGTCTTTGCTTATTTCAAACTTTCTTGTGTTCGGTAACGTTTGTAAATGAGATCAAGAGTATCAACTGGGCCAAAATTGTGTAGTTGTGCTCACTAATGCATTCTTGGATAAGATCGCATCCAATTTTCTCTGTTAGAGTAGGACCCCACCCTAATTTTAATGACCAAATTCTTAATTATTAATCGACTTGCTTTTCCGGTAGGTAGAACATGTTTCAAATTTAAAGCACCTGCTTCGTGAATTTGATTGAAAGACCTGCCCTGAGGCGATATAGCTTGAAGCCAAAATCTTTAAGCATTCAGAAAAATCCCTATGAATTCTATCTTTTGGATACGTTGTGTCTCAAAAAAATTTGTTAAATGTTCGAACTCCAGCTGATAAATTAAAATTTGTTCTACCCTGGTTTGAAGGTGACGTCATATGCTTTGATAAATGCTCAAGCCTTTTCCACGGAAGAATAATTTCTTGTTTATAAAAGAGTGAGGTACATGGCATTAACAATCTTCATGTTGCTTCGTCCACAAGCATCATTTTGGGAAAGCTATAATGCATTTTTTTTAAATTTATAGAAAATATCACCGGGGAGCATCACAGAAATTATAGTGTAATATATAAAATAAGATGTAATTTTATATATCTATAGCACGCAAAGAAGAGATCAGAAAAAAAGTAAAGGGTTCACTTCTTGGTTTCTAATTAAGAATTTCTCAAAAGCCGCTTAAGGACAAAAATAAAATATAAATTCATAACGAATAATTTTGCAAAATGGTGGGGTTTAGCCCCTTGCCTCTCTTCCCCCAGTTGGGGGCCCTAAGAAGTTGATTATTAAAGGGATGTTTATCTTCCTGTTCAGTAGATGAAAAAATTACATTTCATACTTCCATCTGAACTCTTAGTCTCCCGCAAATGCTTTTAATCCGTGGTTTTACCCTTGAAATTATTCATCCATTTGTTAATTATTTATCTTAGATATTCATTTACCTCTTGTTTTGCCTGATTCAAGCCTACTGGCCATTTTACCTCCTCGTGTGATTTTGCATTTGAAACTTGCTAACCAAGGTTTTTCAAGGTTAATCGGCGATTTTCTCCAAAACCTTGCGTAATATGAACGTTTAATCAGCATTATTTCTGAAGATGGAAAGTAAAGTCTCAGTCATGAATGGAATAAAACAGTAAAAAGGCAATACGTAAATAATTATAGATTAAAACCTGGTTTTTGATAAACAAGGGAGTCAAATCTGGCCTAACCCCCGAGGGCCATGGGGCTCAAAAACAAAAACAGGGTCACCAAACTTTCAAAATAAATGCAATATGTTTTTCTGAAACTGTACTGTAAATGTTGTGATCTAATAAAAACCTTTTTTCCTCTACGAACCAAGGTGAAATAACAAATTAATTTGCTGACTTTTATTATAAGTGGGTTTCTTAAATACTTTGTGTACATGAATATAATTTCTTAACTGGTGCACCGACCCAATAAGCAGCTTCTCCAAATGTTACTTTTACAGCCAGGAATGTCTCAATAAGTACTTTATAATAGCACACCTTCATCTCAACTATGAAAAAAGTTGATTAAAATTAACGTCTGAAATGAAAAGCAACTTTTCAGCAGTAAAACATTTTTTAAAAACGTACCTTGAGGAAGGCTTATTGCGAAATCAGAACTAAAAGGAATAATTTACAAAAAGGGGGAAAGAGAAAAGGAAAGATGAGCCCAACGTAAATACTGCTATTTCCGGCTTTGATATTTTTACCCACCTAAGACCATGTCTTTAGCTTTATGGAAAGGAATGATGCCCTCTTTCTAGAGACAATTGAATGCTTTTGCAACTTCATCTTCAGGCTACGAAAGGCTCAAGCTTCCCAAGATGCTTGCAAGCATATATCTTACGCAATCAAACCTATTTTAAGGCAATGGTACTTTGTCCAATACATTTTATCCTTAATCATCTATTCACTTTTAATTGTCCAGCATGACATGTAGAAAAGTAAATCTCTCTTTCTTCAGCTTTGTAATGTACTAGATAGGTTTATTTTTTATCATCTTTTTCAGACCATTTAGCTATTTCCCAGTTTACTAATGTGTGTAATTCTGCTCACAATATCTTCACTTTATTGTCATATCTTTTTTATAGCTTGTGCCTTCAAGTGAAAATAAATGAATGTATAATGCCCGTTGACACCACAAACATATGAGGGAAATTCATTCCTCTCATCCATTCTCCTAATTTGGCAAAAAACTCCTTCTCTTGCCAAAATCTTGGAAAAAGGACCCCTTTTGCCGAAAATAGGCTCCTTCTTGAGAGATTAAAAAACTTTTTGCAGAAGCCTTTATGAAATTATGAGCCAGACCACCGACACCCTTCCTTTCTGGAATGTTTGTCTTTTTCATTACATGATTGTTACATTATCACGGGGGTGACGTGAAAACTAGTACCCAACCCTCCCCTTTTCCATTCTGCATGCAAACGAATTCGCAAGTAGGGCTAGTAGTGGAGAAGTAATTTCTTTGCAGTCACGCCCTAGCATATTATTTGCCTCTAAATGCAGTGGTTTATTTACTGGAGGCGATGATTTTTAGTGTTTAGGATCAATTATCTGCATATTTTTCACTGGGGACGATAGAAATTCGGAGAACCGCTCTTTCCGCCTTGGGATCTGGTCAGCCGTTGATTGACGGTAAGTCAAAGTTAGGCCTGTTGTCTCCATGTCATGTTTTAAATGGAGATCGTTGTACACTCAGATTCTTTCTGTCTAATCCCGGTATATTTGTTATCAAATCTTGTATTCAGGTACGCAGCATTTTTCCAATTCAAATTATGACTGTACTGTAACTTCATCATTGTGAAACATTATTTTGATTAAGTCATACCATTCGGCTCCTGGTCTGGTTCGCCTCGCAGAAACGCCTCTTCAAACGAAGCCTCTTTGATCAAAGAAAAGGAATAGATTGTTTGCCCAAGCTTTAGCATAAGAAATAAATTAAATTTACCTGCAAGATGAAGAAGTATGTTTTGGGTGCGATATTTTTTCGATACGAATAGGTATTGTAAGTACTGGGATCAAATCTAATCGGGGGTCTGGTTCGATATTATAAAGCTTGAATGATCTTGGGGATATTATTTTTCGATTAGGCTCAGGGGGAGTAAGTTTCACCAACGTATTTGACTTCAACTGTGGTCCCTCTTTTTAAGTATTGCAGTTCAAAATTTTTGTATTTCAGTTAGAAATTTATGAACTAACTCGCAGCAAGGTTGCCTTTCCTCTTCAGGAAGTGTCGTGCACGCACGAAGGTTACTAACTTACTTCAGTTTAATGATGCAGAAACCATGATGAAGCTAGTTTTATCCATTTGTTGAAAACTGTTTAATAGGGAAAGCTATGTGCAGCAAGCAGATATACATTTTTCAAAATTCCACTCAAAAAATTGCAGATGATTGTGACCGTTGTCAAGTTTGCCAAATCAGCGTTTCAGAGGCTGTCATAGCACCAAACAATCCAAGGATGCGCCCTGTATTTGCGGAATACATGTTGCATCATTTTTATATGTTTCTGGTATCCCATTGATCTAGGAAAGCGACTGTTTCTTCGCATATTGTAAAGGAACTAATACTCTGTTGTTTTTCGTGATTCAAGCAGTGAGGTGCTGGGGAACCGCTCGTAACAGCACGGCAAATTGATATCGATTTGGGCCATGTCCTAGATCTCCGTGCAAGAGATAGAAGGAAACTAGGCAGAAAAAATCAAATCAGAATTCATTTAAATATCTGGCAGTTCCATTGTGAAATTTTCTCGCAACGTTAGTTTATAGGAATGATATTAAACAAGATGAAATGTAATTTTCTTTGTGGTCATTTATTTAATTTGCATGAAACGATGGTGTCCCAATGATATCCTAAAAAGAGAATAGGTGTTGCCATGAAACAATTTTAACTGCTTTTGTCAAGAATTTATATTGGTACATTTTTATGTAATTAAGTACATACACACATAAAAGTTTATGAATTGAATCAAAGAAAGTAGAAAGCAGGTGAATTTGATTTTGCAATGCTTTCTTTCAATGGCATGTACTAATTTGTAGCTTTTATTTGAGTCGAAATGTTTTACCCAGCATCATTTCTTGATTTTTCTTATGCATACATATCTATAAATTTAGAAATTTGTCTGTTGATAGTGCTCAATACATTTGCACAGTGCTCAATACATTTGCACGTAGAGCGTAATATAGCATAGAGTTGAAGAAAATAAAACTACATGTTTTATCTCGACAAGCCTGTTTCATACACTGATACACCGAGATATTCCTTGCTATATCTATAAATTTACGTATATTTGCTATGCAATATGAACAACTATACACAAAGGTTTGTCGAAGCCTTATTCTCATCTTGGGAGTTTCACAATCAACTCACAAGGAAACTCATAATATTTCTTTGTTTTTCTATCATGTATCAAATACCAATAATAATACAAAATAAAAAAAAATCCTGTCTGAATAAAATGGGACAATATCATAATTCTAAGATATGAATATAAACATACCAGTTCTTCAAAAAATCAACTTATAGGGAATTAATGTTGGTGTTTTGTTTTTCCTCGGCTGAATAAATATTAGAATAATGGCTTGAACTCTCTTAAAAACTGCATAATTGCCCACATGATAATTGCTTGAGGTTGTTGATATGCCAACCAATTCCATAAAGAAAAGATTACTTGAATTGTTGGAATATTTATAGGTAAAAAGGGGGAAATTGCTATTTCTAATTTTGAAAGGTTGTTTCGACATTTTCCTTTACCCTGATAAGGCTGCATATTTTTATCATTTATTTTCTTTATATGAAATAAAGATTGTTCATGATAAGAAAAAATGTAAATCCAGTTAATTATGATCTTTGTCAATGTTGAAATCTCATGTACCAGTGATTCATCAAAATTTTTGATGTCATTGACAGCTTGAGTCTCCTTGAGATGTCATTTCACCCTCAATCAATAATCTGAACATGTTTTTGGAGTATTTTAATGGTTGTGTGTTTATAGACAAGCTTTGGCAGAGATCTGATAAATGTTGTTTGGCCTAATAGACAGTTTTGAAAAAAACTCAGTTTGTTAGGATACTGATAATTAATTGTTTTTGGTGAATAGTTTGGTCATATAAGCCATTTTATTTTTTTAAAGGATGAATGATTTTGGTATGATAATTATATGTAGTTATGGTTTCCAATACAAATAAGTAATTAAGACCCCAGATCTGGTAGTAAACTATAACCTATATAGAACATCTTTTTATAAAAGAACGTGCTGAAAATGTAGTTTTAAAATTTTGAATTAATCTATATTGAATTTGAAAATATTTCATATGTTTAAGTACACATTTGAAGTGATAATCCTTACAATGCTTTAAAGCAAGCGGCAGGATTGAAGTTGCTTTGTATTAAGGAAAGTTTCAAATTCTTGAATATTCTGAAAACACAATTTAACTGTTAAAATCTTATTAGCAAAAGAAATTCAAATATTTTCTATTCAGTAAAGTTGTTTTATGAAAGCAATATTAGTTAGGAAAGGCACTGAATATTGAAAGAACAATTCAAATTTGCCTATGCATTATCATTAGCAAGGCAGTTTTGTTTCTCAGTATTATTAAGATATATTACTTAAATCTTTATCTTCATGAGCAAGAGTTCAAAGATAATAGTCTCATTTCGAAGGGGGTGTCAGTCTCAAAAGGATTTCTGAAAAGGAAGTTGTTCTTTACAAAACATCAAGAGGTTAAACTCAGAAATATTAGGGACTAAGGGCTTGGTATGAACATTTTCAGTCTAGATGTGTCATTTAAGAAGCCAGCAAATTAAGAAAGCACAAATTTTGAATCAAGGTAGTAATATCATTTCCATCTTACTTGCCAAGCTACATTTTCAAAACCTTAGAAATTTGTATGGCTGACCATTCATTTATACACCAATATTCTTTCACTGCCTTGCTATGTTTGTAGAAGTCTCTCAATGCCTTTTGCCTATTGTGTTAAAAGATCTATTTACATAATCAAAGCAGTATTGTTGTCATATATTCTGAGGATAACCTGAAATTAGGAATAATGCTGTTTGATATTGTTGTGGTTTAAAACAGGCTAATGTATTCTTATATAGGTGATTATGAATAATTTAGATGTTTTTCATTTTTGTGGTTTGCAGTTTAACAGTAATGGATAGATACCTTGCACAGAACCTTATTTGAGGTCTGCCTGTTCATTGACAGATACCAAAATTCTCATTTTTATTAAATACACAACACCCTAAGAAACACATCATCTGAAAATAAAACTGCTCAATAAAGAAATGTAAATATCTCCATGTAGGTCATATTTAAAAGTTTTACATGCGAAGCAAAATCATTTGCAGAAAACCCATGGATGACTCCACATATGTTATTTTATGTTTGTCTTTAAAAATTAGAATTGTCAAAATGATTGCCTTGAAAACAAATGTTAGCTACTGGTTGAGAATGTTGCTATCTAATGTTGCCACTGAAGTCTGCTTTTACCTGTTTTTAATAATTCATGCAAATATTTCTGCACCTGAAGTTAAAGTTTCATGCATAACTGATATTTTTGTCTCTGTTGTTTTAGATATAAAGCAGAGTTATAGATGTCTATTCTGAAATATGCTAAGAATCTTTTGTTTTTTGCTGGTATCTTCATGAATTTTGTTTGAAAATTCCATTATTAATTTGTATAACTGTAAGACTTAACACCTGTCTTCTTTGTCTTTTCAGGAGTTTGATGAAATTGATAAAACATGGGGAAAATACTTTCAAAAATATTTGGAAACAAGGAGATGAGAATCCTGATGCTTGGGCTTGATGCTGCAGGAAAAACAAGTATCTTTTTCATTCAGATGTATAAAATAGGGATATCTTGATCCAGTTCTTTAAACAGACTGTTTAAACGGCTCTCCAGTTGACATCAAAAATCAGAAATTGCAGGCAGGTAACTGTTGTCAAATCTTAGTGGTAGTTGCAGATTAACTTGTGAAGAACAGGTTGTAAACAGCTTTGGGAGCATAATTATGCAAAGATCACAGTTTGATTGTATTTTTTTCTAGTTTTAAATGTTTAGTAAAAAATTTGCAAATTACTTAAGAAATTGAAAAACTTTTGATGGTTATTATATTAGAATTAACTTTAAGCCAGTGTCAGAAATAAAATCCAGTGTTGATTAATTTTTTATACTTTTTGGTAGCAGGTCTTAGCACAACCCTGAAATTGTTGTTACCTATTTCAAATTCAGTGATTGTTGACTGGTTAAAGAATTCCATGATTTTTCATGAATATTTAAGCATCAGCTATCAAATTTTCCTTAACCATCTCTTAGCAATTCTCTACAAATTGAAACTTGGACAATCTGTAACAACTATTCCAACAGTTGGATTTAATGTTGAAACTGTAACTTATAAGAATGTTAAATTTAATGTCTGGGTGAGTACCGTCTCTTGCATTTTAGCATTTTTAAAAGTCAATTGCAATTTTTGCTTTTTGGCATTTTTAAAGTTTTTATAAATGAATACCTCAATCTTTGTTGACTAAGCAATTTTCAAAGCAACTGTGTACAATTTTTACTTTTGCTATTTTTCTGAAAATTGATTGTGGATAACTGATAACATCTTAGAAACTGAGGATCAGTACTGTGATGCTTAACATGAGTCCTAATATGATCTTGTGATGTCATTTGAAGAAACATTACTGCAAAAATGATTTTTTTGGAGCATATGGTTCTCATAATTTTGAGGGTAGATTTGATGCAGAACGAAAAAGTCAAAATCAGGATGAAATAACCATTTGTTACATCATGATTTTTTTGCACCTCAAGTATCTAAAAAGGGAGCTATGATATTCCTGGGAAATAATCATTTGACTAATTCAAACCATTGTCAGTTTGAAAGAGCATGCCTAAAGAGACATGAGCTTATTTACATCATGAATATACGTATATAATTTGATGGTGGGCTATTTTGTAAGTTTCTCCTAGCTCCTTAAGCATGGCAATTTAAGTGCAGCTAAAATTCTTTAATAAAGATGTTTATAAACCAACAATTTAACCGTATCTTGTTGAAAGCACCAAGAATAATGGCTTTGAAAAAAGCAAACATTTGTAACATATTGGCTAGAAGTTTTTTTTGTCTGACACTCCTCAGAGCATTAATTGTCAGAATAAGGGTTCAAAAGAACACACTGAAAAATTTATACCCAGTTGTTGGTCAAAGCAGGCCAATCAGATAAACGCAAGAGCAAGACCAGTATAGTTGACCAATCAGTGCCTTATTCTGAATTTTTATGCTGTGAGAAGTGTTAGATGAAAAAGATTTTAGCCAATATGTTGTAAAATGTTTGCTTTTTTCAAAGCCATTTTCAAGGTTCTGTACCGCCAAAATACTTTTTCAGACTGAGAATAATATTTGTCATTTATGTTTTATTGTCAGGATGTTGGTGGTCAGGATAAGATTAGACCGCTTTGGAGACACTACTACACAGGAACACAAGGGCTAATATTTGTTGTAGACTGTGCAGACAGAGACAGAATAGAAGAAGCTAGGCAAGAATTGCACAGAATTATTAATGACAGAGAGATGAGGGATTCTATCATATTAGTGTTTGCAAACAAACAGGACCTTCCAGATGGTAAGAGATGCTTTTTATGTGAATTAATGCATTAGGCATGAAAGCATTTTAAGATTATGCCTGTGTAGGTGGATGTGGGCTTCTGTTCTTTATAGAGCCTCATATGCATTTTAGATTAGGCACACTTACATTGCTGGATGTCTTTCTGACCCATTGCATTTGCTCGTCCATCTGCCTCTTCTAGAGGTGTCACAGATAGTTGCTGACACAGTATTCAAGTCTATACAGGGAATATGGGCTAGAAAATCTGAACCTTTGGGTGTATGTTCTTTATGGATGCCTCCTTTGGATTGCAGTTTAATTACACTGGCATGACTTAATATTTTTCTGACCAACAAGCCAGTACCTTTGCTCGTCCATTTGTCTGTATGCAGCTAAAAGAAGGCTTTACTAAGACATTTCTGTTGGATAATAACCCATCTCCTCAAATACTATCCCCATTGTATTGTCTTGAAATCAAATATGCTGAACCTTGAAACAGATGCCAAACCTAGATTATTAATGTTAGAATGGATGCATGGTATTTTTCGTTTATGTTTTGTTTATGTTAAATGTTTTGGCCGTAATCAAGGAGTGAATTTATTTGCTATTGCTGGTTAAGTCATTGAAGTTGTTTTGTTTACTGCACCAATTCTCATTTCATTCTGTTTCATGAATTCAAAAAGTAAAAATCATAATGTATCTATTGCACCAATGCAGGCTGCATAAGACTAATGTTTGCTGTCAAATATTTCAAACTTCCAAACAAGAGTGATTGATAACATCAACATAAACAGCAATATAACTAAAGTGAGATAAGATAAATGTCAAACAATAGCATTAAGATTGTGCTGCTGACTTCAAGTTGATGAAAGGGGCAATATTTTTGTTGTTCTACCATATTAAGAAATCTAAGTACTTGCTTTGTTGATTTTAAATAAAGAATTTTTAATGGGTGTCTGATACTGTAAAACTAAATGTGGATGTGTTTCGGTTTAGTTCATGTACTTTCTATCGTTTTTGATCAATTTATGATTGCTGTGATTGTCTTTCAGCCTTGAAACCTCATGATATCCAAGAAAAACTTGGGCTCACGAAAATACGAGACAGGAATTGGTTCGTGCAGCCATCCTGTGCCACAACTGGTGACGGGCTTTATGAAGGACTGACATGGTTATCTTCTAACTACAAGTCATGAATGTAAACATTTATCGGGTTTTCATCTTTGCGAATAACAACAGATGGCGAGGCTGATGATTTCATCCTTTCATTGGTGACTTAATGCATATTAACTGTAGAGAGGTTTAAAAGAAAGCGGAATCGATGAGAAAAATATACTAACTGTAGGTGATTTTTAATGGGCTTATGCAAACACGCCCATTGGCATTCTGTGTACGTGAAATTTTCAAACTGGTGTTCTTGCGTTAGCATATATATAAATATATGAATATATACATAGTTTTTTATGTAGAATGCCGATTGTATTGCGGTTGTCGTGTGTTTTCATCGTTCCTTGAGTTAGCCTCGTTACAGTAACACATCAAGACTGTTTTTTCAAATGAGGCTTCCGATGCTTGCATAATTGTCCTCTTTAAAACAATTCCTGTGGAGTTTTTTCTCTTTTCACCCAAAGTTTAGTTTACAAATTTCAACAAAACTTCTTAAGTTAGTCTCTATAATAGAAACTCGTAGAAATTTGCAGGTATTTTTGACCCGCAGTATTTGTTCATATTGTAGTTCGCAAATTCTTTCAGCTTCAATAACGGTTGCCATTTCCTTTACTTAACGAATAGAACCCTGTCTGCAGTCGTCTTACTTGAGTATTTCAGCCAGTTAACTGTTAAAAATCCATGTTTCTGGCCAACTTGATAAGAACAGAATTACCGTTTGCAGAATAGATCACTTAATAAACCACAAAACGTCAGCTCGCCTTTGAAGAACAATTTTGAATCCGCCCGGAGCCTTGTGCCCTTGTTGCTTGTCTTATGCGGTGATGTGTGTACATCACCGAGATGAGTTACTCTCTCTGTTTGAAATTTTGCGTAATTGATATCTCTGGTATTTATTAAATGCTATTACTATTTCTGTCTCATAGTGTTTTTGAGTTTTCCATTAAAGAGTACTTGAAATCCACTTGTTCTAAACAATTTGTAGCAAAAACAAATTTTTGAAATTTCCCGTAGAATCCAGGTCCCGAAAACTGACACTTCTTCGTTCGAAAATATTTGCCTTTGTAAACTTGTTATTTTGGTTTTGCTGTTAGATATTTGTCTATAAAGTTTTTCTCTACGGAGAATAACTGGACATTCGTTTTTGTACACACGTAGAGCATAGAGCACCAGTTTGTTATTTACGCAACAGACCGTCGTTTCGTTTAAGAATTGACAAAATCAAACGCGTGGAGGATCAAATGAAAGTTATTAAAAGCAAAGCGTCTGGCTTTCATATTTTAGAAACCTTATTCAATCGCTAACAGTCTGTTTATCCTTTCTTTGTTAACCGAATTGACATTGGTGTAACTGTGGGGTCGAAGTGGATCAAGATCTGCTGCTTGGCTAACATCCACTCCGTGCCTGTTCTTTGATAGCTCATAGAACTATCGAAGAACCTGTGATTTTTGTTTGCAATTTAAATAATTTGAAAAGATTTTGGGGTGTAGGTGGGACGTTAACATATTTCACATAACATTACTTATCAAAATACAGGCAGAAGCATCAGTGACAGTTGATGTAGCTGCCACAGTGTTTCCTTATCCATCAGGCAGCAGCGTCGGTTCTGATTCCTTGATTTCCAGCCCACCAATGTCTAAACCTTTTTACGTGCCTTTATCAAAATTTATTCATGTAGCTAAAGTTTTTTATTCGAGCCATCTTTTTCATGATCTAGTTATGCAAGGTTATAAAATCTCGCGTGAGTCTTGAGTAATCTTTTCCAGACTTATAGATTACTTAGCCAAATTGAAATTGCTTGTTTACCTTCGTTGTGAACTTGATTGCCTATGGCTTCGTTGTAACAAAGTAACATTTTCCTATGATTTCCCTTCAAATATATAGCCCAACGTTTTTCAGAGAGATTCTCTATATCTTTGACACTCGGTTCGTTTCACCATTATTTTGAATGTTTTGTTGTTTTGTGCATTCATTTTGTGTGACCTCACTTTGCTTGGTGAAAAAGTCCGCATTTTTGTGTTCTGATTACGATTTGCATATAAAGTATGGTAGGGACTTGAAATATTTTCAGGCTGTATATGAAACCCTTTCTATTAAGCAATTCAGGAGGGAATGGTTGAGTGAAGAACTGCAAGTCTGTTCTCTCCCTCTTTTTTGTATAAGATTGTGTCGGGAGAAAAATGTCGACGAAGAAAAGCAAAGGAAAACATTTGGTCATATTATCAAGCACAGTTTTGCCCATACTGCACCACAATGTTCTGTGTACTTTTGGAAATTTTTGAGTGTTGGTTGTTAATCAACAAAATCATAGAATGAGGTATCCTTAATGAAGATTGCTAACTGCGGATGCTCAGACAGTACCCTAGTACTTTAACTTTGATCTCGCACAATCCCAAAAATGTATCGTTAGAAGAAAATTTGAAAAGAAAAGCAAATTGTTTCGAGTTACTTAAGAGTCAATTTTACTAAAGGTATTAATTTGATATGCTTTATAATTTTAAAAACATAATCATTAAATAATGAAAGAGTGCAGGACACGTGTTAAGAACTATGCATAAGCATAATCTTTCAACATACTTCGGTCTTAAGTTGAAGGGTAGGTACTGAATATAAACAATAAGATGTTTTATGTTTAATTTAGATTAGAACATATTTTGAAGGTAAAAAAGCAGAAGTGTCGAAAATCCGTTTGAGGTCTGGGGCTAGTTTCGTTGTGGCATCGTTGCATTTGGGATCGAGGCCCAGCCAAAATGACCGGCAAAATCATCATGGTTTCTTGTTTGAAAATGGTGTAAGGAACTTGATCTTGCTTCTCACTTGCAGCTATGGATTTTCAAAATCGTGTTGGATCTAAAACAGGTAGTGGAGGTGTTGCATCATGGTCAGAGTCGAACCGAGATCGGAGGGAAAGACTCCGTCAGCTGGCTCTTGAGACCATTGACCTCAATAAGGTAGGCCTATTTGTAATGTAGCTTGAGGCTTTTGGTCCTTATTTGAAGCATCTTGAAATTGTAAGATTTGTAAATTTACATATTTTATTGATCAATAGAAAATGTAAAACACTAACATTTCACTTTTTTAATAAGATCAATATTGAGGTCAATAATGGAAGCATAAAAACCACCTTTATTAATGTTCGATTGATGACATTTGTTTAAAATAGATGACATAAAAATGATTCAGTTCGCTTTTTTGACACATATCTTTGACACACATCCTCAGAAATAAATGCCTTCTTCTTAAATAAAATGAAGGGCATTACAATGTAAAGTGTATAGTTTTCGAATAAAGAAAACTTGAAAATATGCAATTGTTTTTCACTGGATTTGGTTTCTTAACCCTGTCCATGTTCTGTTTCTTTCTTTTGATTAAATGGCCCAACCAGATGAACACCATGCCAAAAATAAGAAGAACAATTATTTCCTAAACCAGGAACTTAATCAAGAATTTGTGGTAAAATTCCACCTAGGCATCAAACAGCATCATTCTTTGCAATGCAGAAACCATGTGTTATTCTTAAACAATCCTTGAAAAACTTTTTGTACATATAAGTTGTGCCTCTCTTCCAAGTAGCTCCACAACATAATATCTGTTTATATTATTCCTGTTGTTAAAACAGTTATGTAAAGAATTTTGATGCCAGAAAAGTGTTTCATAGTTAGGGGCACATTACCTTTTTTTTTAATTGCAAAGGGCTGGAGGAATTGATACTTTTAAGGAATTATTTAAATGTGCCACTGACATGAAAAATCAAATTTTCCAAAAGGCCTTTTTTAGGCACTAAACATTATTGATTCTGTATTTGTAAATATTTTTTCAAGATTAGTGTTTTAAGTTCATTTTTGTGGGGTTTGAGTCGAGGAGGTTTTTTAAAAAGAGTCCAGGGAGAGTGACAGTGACATTCTGGTGTGTTATTATAAGGCTGACGAACACAAAACCCCAACGGAGCCTGGAAAATGTGCGGCAACCTAAGGTCAGATGAAAATGAATTTTCAGATGCAAACATTTCATTTAAGGACATAAAATCTACCCTTTTTTGAGTGTTCACTAAATTAAAGCAAAGAACTACAAAGATTGAGCTTCCCGTTCATCAACAAGCTCCAAAACTGGCAAAAACCATACTTTGGAGCAGGGTTGCAAAAAGTATCCAAACCTAGGAACTAGATTCCCTGAAAATTTTTTGCAGTAGCAAAAATTTTTTCTTGACTTTTTCACAACAGATCAAAAGTTTCTACAAATGAAATCTCTCCAGAACCATTTTAACAGATAAAGCTGTATACCTGAAGTCAGAAATTTCTGGTGCTTTGAAAAGAGCTTTTTTAGTTGCTTTATATCAGGCTATGCTTTTGATCTTTAAAGACAATACTTGACTTGAGTCTTGACTGAAGTCTTGGTAGACTTGGCAACAGCCACATAGCTGCAGAGGGCACGGGGGGGGGGGCTGTGCCCCCCAAATGAAAATTTTGACAACAATTTGCCCCCTCTGGCTACAGTTTTTCCGAATGATATTTTGAAAATTTGTAATTATAATTCTGTAAGCTTAATTTAGTCCAAATCTATTTGTTATATATATGTTTTCTTGTTTTAAAGCCTGCCCCTCCCCCCTCAGATATGGCTCTTGCTCGAGTTTGCCCACCCTAGCCGACATCTACAGCTATGCGGTTGCTTGGCAAAGTGTTGAGACTTGATTGAGATCTTGGCAGACTTGACAAAGTTTTTGATTGATACTGAATTACATCCTGATGTTTTTTCAAGATCGTATTTGTCCTTTGAATATTGAGATGTCATTATTTATTAATGTAAAATATCATGTTGACAGGTGTACCCACCATATGAAATGAAAGTCTAAAAAAGCTAGCTGATAAGCATAAACAGGGAACCAGATGTATCTTCCCGAAATCTGGCATCCTGGAGAGCACCATCTATGTTGGTTCACAAATCAGTTTTACTTTTTCACATAGTCAATATTCACCAAAAACAGAAAAAGATGCAATAAACAACCAAATTGTATATTTTATTGGAAATTTTCTCTAGACCCACAGTAAATTAGAATCCCTTGCATAAAAATTTGTGCGTACTATTTGTAGTACACAATACTTTCACCTAACAGAAAAATTTTTGTCCTGTTTCCCAGGTTCCCAGAAAGAATAATATTTTTTGCAGCTTTGCTTTGGAGCTTGAAATAATTTTGATAGTGAAAAGATATACAGGAAATGATTCAGCACTGCCAACTCTATCATAAAATGTAATGGATGGATTTTCTGAGGTTTTCTTATTTTTCATGTCAGTGCCACTCTAAGTTTAAAGCCAGCCAGCTATGTAGTCATAATCAAAAGCATGAATGTTTCCATAGTTCAGGGGTGGATCCAGAGCAAATTTGACAGAGAGGCAGTTGGTAGTGGGGGGCTGAAAAAAGTTGATGAGTGTACACTGTATACAACAATTTCAGACCCTAACTACTGACAGAAGGCTCTTTATTCACTTTGCAAGGAAAATTTTCACAATAATTGTTGTATACTTTGTAATCTGGTAGTCTTTTCCACCTGATTCTTATTCTTCAAAAAGGGTGCACAATTTCCAAAAAGGGGTGCCAGACTAGGGGCAGTTGCCCCCCTTAATCTAACACTGCCTTAGTTGCCTAATGCTAACTTTGGTAAACATCTCAAATATAATGCTTTTAGCAACGGTCTGTACAAAATTTTTAATCTCAGTTGCTACCTATGCATGTTAACCTTTAATAAGCAATTTATTCTATATATATACATGACCTTTTGTTTACAGCCTGCTTTGTAGTTTCTCCAGAACAACAAATTACTTTTGGTTGTCTGTTCCATTCAAAATTTGCTTTTATCTTTCTGCCCTGGCAACAAAAATGCTTGATACATTGATAAGAAAAAATTTTCATGGAGTAAGCGGAATTAGAAAATTATCAAATTGGACATTCCACTTGTTTGCTGCCTCATTGTGCCTGGCACTTCCATAATGCTTAAGCTGATAGTGCGATAGATAGTAGCCACCCCTAACCAACATGCACAATAACCTACATCAAGTGATATATCACTCAATGATTTGTTTGTTTAATATTGAAATTTTGGAAGAAAGGTTATATGCATAAAAGAAAGGTATGCTTCCTATTTTATGCTATCATATCAACTGTTTATATTTTTAATGCTTGACTGATATACAATTAACCTTTTCTTTCAGGATCCATATTTTATGAAAAATCATCTTGGGTCTTATGAATGTAAGCTATGTCTCACACTGCATAATAATGAGGTATGTTTGACATATTTACAAAACCTTTGCAGGATTTCATTTATTCCTTCAATTTTAAAGTTGCTATGTGTAAACATTGTGCTTTAATTTGAAGAACATGATGTTTTTAAGATGCAGCTCTATCACTTTTAATGTGATCTTAAGCATAGTATGTTGTATTAATCAAAGAGTTTTTGCTATCAATATACTGAGTTAAGGTTTAGTTTTGAGTGCTGCTAAATAAGATTATTTTAGTGCATCAATTTTACCTTGTTGCAAACTTGTCATGTTGCATTTACAGAAAATTATTGTTACCAATCTGTCAATCTAAGACATAAGGCCTTGTCTGCATCAACTAATTATATGATGTTTTTCAGGGGAGTTATCTTGCTCACACACAAGGAAAAAAGCATCAACAAAATCTGTAAGTTTTTAGCTTTTCTGTAATTAATGTAAATGTTTCATGAAAGCAAGTAAGTCATTAAAATATGTAAAAACTATTTTTGCCCAGGTATGTTTGTTGTCATTGTGTTTGTCCAAATCTTTTTTTGTTTTGAAATCCAAATGTTTTCTGTTTTCAATCATTTTTATTAATCTGTTTGCAATTGTTTGAATCTGATACTTTATAAAATGAAATAGCAAATTCACCATACATGTAGTGATGTTTAAGCTGCCCTAAATTTTATTCAGTGGAAAAAATTGTTATTTCAAATTGTGTATGATATGATTTAATTTATAATAGCATTTTAAGGCTCTGAATTGGAACCCAGACCTTTTCAAATTTCATTTTTAGTTAGAAATGAAATAGCATAGCAATTTTACAAACTTATTTCTTATTCAGATAAGGCTTGAGGCAAAAAATAGAAAAAAATATAAAAGTTTTTCCTTTTATGACATGTATCTTGACTAAAGTACATTGGTAAAAAAACTTTGATTTTATTTATTACTTAGTAACCCCTTTGGTCTTTGTTTCATTTTTAAATGCTTGCTAAGAATCTACATTTAGATACTTACCTGACAGAATAGTTGACAAACTCTTGGTGTAAATTATAGTTCAATGAAATTACTGTTAACCTGTCTGTCATAAAGTGCTTGAAACCGTGGTATAGGCAGAGCAGTATACGTTTTTGGTGTATAGAACAGGACAGTTCAAAGTTGCTACTCCAAGTTTCACACTTAATGCAAACAGTTGCCTGGTGATCAGATTAAGTTTGAAACTCAGAGTAGTAACTTTGAACTGTTCTGTTCTATACACCAAAAGTGCTAATTGTGTTTATATTTTTCATCAAAGAAAAGATCTCGATGCATTGATCTTACAAATTGAAGCAGAAATTGTATGTTTGCTTTGAATTTCAGTGCAAGAAGAGCTGCAAAGGAAGCAAAAGAGGCCCCGGCTCAGCCTGCCCCTGTAAGTAAATTACTAAACAAAGACTCACGTGCATCAGTGAAATGCTATGGCTGTCTAATAGACATGGTTTAATCCTCTAAATATGATTGAAAATAATTATATTTACATAATTATTTATTAATTTTCTATTTAAAAACTGTCAAACTTTTATGCATTTGTGACAATTCAACACAAAATGTCTATAAAGATGAATGCTTACAAATTTACCATATGAATCCCAATAATTCTAGCCCAATCGGGACCTGCTGACCTATTTCCCAAAACCGATTCACTTCCCCTGCCAGATAGGGTCTGCATCACTTTTCAGTCTCATAATTTGTAGATAAAAAATTTTGAAATTTGGAAAATTAAACCACTTATATTGCCAGTTGCTTTTAGGTATTTGTTTCTTAGGGGTATAGCCTGGTTTTTTATATGAGGTTTATGATGAAATGTTCTGAAGATTTGTTTTATATTTTCTTTCTTGTGGAAAGGTTTAATGATTCTGAAGGTAGCAAAAGTATTTTCATTATCAAACTTCGTCATGTTCGCTTATTTGCCCATACCATATTCTTGTTTTTGCTTAATTCTCACTAATAATGCAGCTCATTGTGTTATTTCTGTTTAAAGTCTGAACTTCTTGATGCTGACTTGAACCCGCTCAAGCTAAGTATAATCTTGATGTTTTCTTTCCCTGTTTAGGAAAAGGCCCGTGTTAACATAAAGAAGTTCGTGAAAATTGGTAGACCCGGATATAAAGGTAATCAGCAATGTTTGAAAGCAATGTACTAAATTTGACATGCCAGTTAAAGTCTCTGGTTTTGATCATAGGTGTTATTGACATTCACACAACTTTTTCGTCCTATTTATGGTGTTAACTTGGTATCACTGGTAGAAATTTTAATTTTGCAATGAATTGTGCATGCCGTGACTATACCTGCTTTTAATAATCCTTTAGAGCAAACGGGGTAATTAGTTTTCAAAAATGAAGTATTTTTCACAACTCGTTATTCGACAAGCTACATCCAGTATTGACATTAAGAGATAGTTACAAATGGTTTATAATTACAATAATCAAAAGCTCGTCAGAAATTAATTTGCGGTTCATGTTATTCATTCATAGTCACATGTTTTAAAGAGTCTTGTTTCACTTTCAAACACCTAACATTAACTGATCAGCTGCCTGTCATTATTCGCTATTCATGAACCTTTTAGGGTGGCTGACTTGTTAATTACTTATATATTTCTTATTCAGTAATGAATGTTAATGTCTTTCTTAGTTACAAAGCAACGTGACTCTGATTCGGGACAACACAGCCTTCTATTCCAGGTTAGAATGAGTATATATTTATTCATATATTATATGCACTGGGTTTCTAACCCTCTAGTGGACAGGGGTGGGCAATTAGTTTTTCTGATGGGCCACATGAGAGACCTGGACGGTGTTGGAAGGCCGAACTAACGATAACTTTATTCTACACAATATTCATTATCTCTCAGTGAAAAAGCAACAAATTATACTTTGTTTTAGATGGTGGTGCTGGTTAAATGAAAGATGGTCTTTGTCAATTCCAAAACGTTTTTAATCTCATACGATTTAAGCTTGGTATCATTACGGCCATTAGGTTCCAACAAGACCCTCGGGTTCCCCATTCGTGTAGCATTAAGAGCAATTCAGATTCAGGGAGATTTGTTTAGCCGTTCCATTAAACACCCGTTTAGTTGTAGATGTATGTGAAAAGCTACTTGAAATATGAAACCGTTCTCGAATTCAGCTTGCTTGCGCATATTGACAAGAATATACAGAATACTATACATTTTAAAACAAACTGTGTCATCTTTCTCTGTCCGTTGCAAAATGTATGTAGAGTCCCAATATTGTAGCCAAACCAAGTCTTGATGTCATCTACCCAACGACGTTTCGTATTTCTGGCTTCAAAATGGCTTTGAAAATGGCTTTGAAAAAAGCAAACATTTCACAACATATTACTTAAAGCTTTTTCGTCTGTCACTCAGATTATAAAACGTCAGAATAAGGGTCCACAAGAACACGATGGAAAACATATGTGAAATATAAAAACTTTTTTGGCTCATTATTCTGACGTTTCATACTCTGAGGAGTGACAGACGAAAAAGCATTAAGTAATATGTTGTGGAATGTTTGCTTCTTTTAAAGCCATTTCCAAGTTCTGTACCGCCAAAAAATTGTTCGCATTTCTTTGTGTCGTTGGCACGGCCTGCTAGGGTCAATTTAAATAGTTCTATTGATGATCGTTTTAATTGGTCAAAGTATTTTAACCCTCTGTCCTTGATAACAGCTGATACAAGTTTCAGTTTCGTTTGGGGTCCTAGACTATCTATTGTCACATGATCTTGCAGCCAGCCAGATCTTGCAGATGAAAAAAGTGATTTTGAAGAGTTTCGATCTTAGTAGTTGATGTTACGGTCCAGGTTGGTCATGCTAGCCTGTATAATACAACTGGGAGCGTGTACATATTGTATATACTGGCCTTGGCAATTAATGGGGTGCGTTTTGGGGCCCAAACCATTTAAACTAATCTTTAAGGCTCCCCCTTTCAAGGAACGCGAAACATATAACGGATTGGGGTGGGGCTGAAATATTTTTAGGGGTCTAAACATGCCAACAACCAAGAGCAAGGCAATTTGTGTATGGTTTCAAGTACATTTTGGAAATTATTGGGAGGGGGCAGCTAATCTTCACAGCCCCATCGCTCCCGTGGTCCCTGCTTTTAGCCATATTTTTACTATGTACATGTACCTCTTTAGCAAAACGAAAACACTGGTACATCTGTATTACTCCGTTATTGTTTTGCTAAGTTTTCTCTTTTGTTTCGTGCTGACATCAAACTTTTTGAAAAAGGATTTGCAATTCTCTGCTGAAGTAAAACAACACTACCTTCTACTTTCACTTGGTCGGTTTTTCTATTTTCGGTATCCATGCTCCGTATCCACGTTTTCATTTAAGTTTATTTTCATTTTGTTCCATCTTTGAAATTCCTTTTCATTCGCATGTTTCATAGTTTGGACATGTAAACGGAAGGACAAATCATTTATTTAAATCACTTAACTCGCTTTCATAATGACATCCAACCTTGGGATAGCAATCAGGTTTATGTTGTTTAACTATAATCCAATCCAAGACTAAGCAAATGAAACTAAAACAATGATTACTTCAAATACCTTAATGGAAGGAATTATGTGTCCAAGAACATTTCCTAGACAAGTATTCATTGGTGTTCGTATAGAAAATAGACGCACTTAAGTGATGAATATGTATTTCAAGTTTTTGTTAAACAGCTTGTAATGAAATTGACTATCAAAAGCCTCCTAATATTGACCACTCCACAAATTTTATGCTTATTTTTAAATCGGAAAAAATGTTTTTGGTTTCTATCAAATTTAACTAGTATTGGATTGCTAAATTGAGAATGATCTTATAAAGCTGCTGGATAGACCGCAAAAAGGATTTGTTAGATTATTAAAAATACCAAAATTTGTAATCAGCAAATTAAAGTGTCTTGCTTTTAGAATTCATCTACCCATTCTACTTGGCCTTTATCCATTCTCACGTCGCGGCGAAATATACCTTCAAACCGTCTTGGTCGCCTTCCACATTCCTTCCCCCTTCTTTGAATTTTATAAGAAATTTTATAAGCTTCAAGGTTGTAATAATATTTCCGTTATTAGGGGCTACCGCTCAGTTAGAGTGGATTAGTTTACTAAAGGCTGGTACAAACTTGCGTTGTCCAGTAATGCTTGTCAATAACCCTTCGATTTATCCCCCACCTCTCCCCCACACTAGATGGTCTTTTGATTATCCCCCATCCCTGAGTAGGCCTCAATTGTAATGTTTATTAAATGACATATTATAGGCAAAACGAACCTCATAAAGAATAAACCTCATAAAGAATAAAATGAACTGACTTGACCATTAGACAATATGATAGTTGATAGAGGCAATGACTATGATATTTTTGCTCGTTTCTAAGTTATGTGCACTATACGATACTCGTTGCCAATCTTACTAATTCATCTCAGAAGCAATTCATCTCCATACGAAAGTCTTTAAATCCTGTAAAGAATTCTTGCATAGGAAAGACCAAGTCCTATCAGCGATTCAGTATCCTAGAAAAGCAATCAATAATGAGTGAGGGCTACATGTCCAATTTTCATTATAATAAAAATTTCAATTTCGTTTTGACATTATTTATGATAATATCAGTGAATAAAATAGGTTGAGAAAACTATGGTCGAGAGTATCAAGAGCGTCTCGGTCTGACGTTTTAATTGCAAACGAGGCCAGAAGAAGAACAATTTCAAAACTTTTTAGTCATATATACAATTAAAATAACTCGGCTTGTTGCTTTAGCGATATTTTTATGGAACGTTACCTCCATTTTATCGAATGAATAACTTATACTGGATTGGAGAAATTTTGATGAAAACGTTATGTTTTTAAGAGATCATTCAATGTTTAGGTTAAAGATAGTTTGATGTGATAGACAAGTAAATATTTGGACGCTAGTTAGACGCAATAGCCTTATAATGAGCCAAGAAGAGAAAACATTTGCACTAAATATTTTTACCGTTTCGAACCTTGTTGTTGGAAATTTTATTATTTATCCAGTGTTCTTGTTCCTGGATTATTTTAAGCTCGAGTATTTTTGATGTTGTTATTATCTAAACATCGTTTTTTCTACAACTGCCTGCCATGATTTTTTCAAAGACCATATCACTTAAATGGCGTTTTCGGGGTTAATAGACATATAAATCCTATTCTGTTTTGTTAACACGAGAGAAAATTGTCAAAAAACAAATGGCTTGTTTCTTCTACTTTTTAATCTATGGCTGGACATGTCCTTGCGTTGTTCTTGTTTTGTTGGCTGGCAAGCCTCGATTTTCTTAAAAAGAAAAGATAGGACAGAGTTGTGGCAAATCCGAGGGCTGCATCAGGGGTATATTTCCCTAAAAACGGTATTTATTGTTCAGTTTAAGCATTGCGGGGTACACTAATTTTTTTATAAGAAACTGGCTATATGAAACGAGTACTGGACAGTCAGAAAAAATTAAGAAACTTCAGTACTCGAAGAAAAAAAATTAAGAAACTTTTAAATCGTGATAAACCTGAAAACAACGAAATTTTGTAAAATCCAAGAACAAGATTGCCCTGTTGGCCTAGAACTTAAGACACAAGGGATAAAAATATACTTCCAACATCTAAATACCGCATCGTAACGGAAGCGAATCTCTTGACGTGATAAAAAAGGTTACGAACATTTCATAACATCATTCATGGCATCATAATTAAGAAACTTTTAAGAAACAACCAGTATTGAAATTTCCAGATCATTAAGAAACTGGAGCACTCAACATCGACCTTTGTTTCCTATTAAAAAAATGAGGTTGTTTTCACTCTCTAGGATCGTCAATCATATTTAGCCTTTTTTATGATATCTGATTGTCTTGAAAGTTACGTATTATTTTGTAGATTGACTATCCTGAGATTGGTGAGAGCGTCGCTCCACGTCACCGTTTCATGTCGGCCTATGAACAGCGTATCGAGCCTCCAGACAAGACTTGGCAGTATCTTCTTATTGCTGCAGAACCGTATGAAACTATTTCTTTCAAGGTAAGGGATAGTTAAGTTATTATACAATTAGCTGGGCCGTAGCAATGGTCTGATTAGGCAAAGAGGCTTACCGTTAAAACTATTTGAGAAAACTATCGATGCAGTCAAGATACTCGGATAAGGCAGATTTAAAAGCAGTCATTGACAGTGTTGATTGGTTCTCATTTGAGTTGGGTGACCACAGAGCTAGGAATAATGACAGTCATTCAATAAAAGACCTTGTTGAAACCACAACGAAGAGCAATAAACAAAGACGTACAACGCCAAACCCCTGCCTAATTTTCTTACTGTGAAAGGTCGTAAAAGTTTGTGAAAAATTCAGGAGCAAGAAGAAAACTTTTCTGGGCTCTGTTCAAAAAAATGAAAAATGGACTACCGCAAATATTCAATCTTCTTTTTTACACCCAGCAAGGGAAAAAATTCATCGAAGTTCCTTACAAGTTGTTGGCATGGCTATACAGTAAGAACCCGCAAAAAAGAACCACCAGTTTTAAGAGCTTTTACTCTAATATTGCATGATTTTGATATCTTGAGTAAGAACGCAAGTGACCTTAAATAATGTTTAGCTTCTTGTTCACAACTTGGAATTTGAACAGATCTGCAAGAAAACTCGAGTCTTCTTCAAGATGAATATACTATTTCTAAAGTTTTTATTCGGTAATATAGCTATTTCACCTAGAATCTATTTTTATTTGTGCGAGCGCTCATTGGTTTAGACCAGGTTTTAAGAGTTTTAAGTTGTTTATTCCCATTTCTTTTATGAGAGCCTTTTTAGCCTGACTTTAAAAACCTGTGTCAACAGTGGGGATACACTACAATCTATGGATAAAAATATCTTGAAAACAGATCTCTGGTGTAAATTAGTGCCTAGTAATCAGGACCTAGTTATGGTATTTGTGACTTTGCAACCCTCCCTTCTTTTCGTCGACTTCCCTTCTTTTAGCTCTCTTCAAGGAGGCAGATGTATGTTCTTCTGTATTTGGAAGGGCTGTGATCAAGAGAGTGCCTCAGTCATAACTTTGGAAAAATATGCAATATACTATACGAGAAAATATCCATTATTGTACAGAATATATTAAATGTAAGGTTTTTGAGACCGCAGTGAAAAGAAGTAAAGCTCGTTATTTGTTTGTTTCATTTATAGAATTATGATATTTTTCAGGTTCCTAGCAGAGAAATAGACAAGTCCGAAAACAGGTTCTGGACACATTGGAACAAGGATACTAAACAAGTAAGTCATTAATTGATACGTCGACGTTAAAAATCTTTCTGGGCAAATTACAGTTAAAACTAAGGAGAGCTTATATTGATTTCATTTGTCAGCTGGTGTGATGTGCAATTTTGAGTGTTTTGCTATACGAGTATTGCCTGGGGGGGGGGGGCTGGGGGCCAATTTTTTGTTAAAATTCAATAATCAAAATTTTCCTGAGAATCGTCAAATTGTCTATTCTGAACGGTAAAATTTGTTAAAATTTGGTTTCGGAGGTGTATTTTTAGCCATTCTAGAACGTTTAATTTAAAAATTTTTCTTGCGTGTCGGACCAAACCATGTTAGGTTCTCCCATGTCACTAAACTTGATTCTTAGCCCCCCCCCCCAGGCTCAATTTCGTGGCACCGTCTCTGGTTGTTGTATTAGGTGCTTAAATTGCACTGTCGTTTATTTTCTTCGATAAATAAAGTTATCATCTGTTACCTTAAAGTTAATGTATTACGGATGGTTAAAAAAATTGATTTCAGTAGGTACCCAAAGCAAGTTATTGTCTGAAATCTAATTTTGTTTCGCGTTGTTGTAGACTCTGGGATAATCCTCTTGGTATTAATTTCAGTTATAAATCATTAAAACACTCACCATCATCGCTTCACTTTGCTAATAATAATGCCTTTAAAGGGTTAAGTAGATTTCAGATTAAAGTTTAGATGAGTAATCGGTAAATATCAATGCAGAGCACTGTGGCCTTATGATGTCCTACTTGATGTTGCCAACCCCTTTTTTAAGCTGTGATATCATTAATTGTATCCGAAACACCACATTTGTTAAAACTGAGTGCATCAGTAGCATTAGCCTTACAATTATCAACTTAGCTTATCACCAAATAAAGAAATGTCCTTTCTTTTTAGTTCTTTCTGCAGTTCCACTTTAAGTTGACCCCGTCTCAAATTCAGCAGAATGCAGCCCAAAAACTGCAACAGCAACAACAGCAAGAGCATAAGATGAGGAAGCAGCATAGGCCACCGGGACCTCCAATGATGCCGCCTCCGCCACCGGGAATTGCACCAACTCCGCCACCAAATTTCCCTCCTCCTGGACCCCCGCCACCCGGACATAGAGGTCCTCGTCGTGACGGAGACATGTTCCCGCCGCATGGTGGCCTTCAGCCTCCTAGAGGTCCACCTAGGCCGCCAGGCATGGATATGCAAGAGGGCCCACCCATGGGAGAGCCACTTCTTCACCCGCCACCTGGGATGCCACCATCAGGTCCACCTGGCACAGAGGGCAGCTTCCGACTCCCACCTCCAATACCGCCGCCAAATTTAGGTCATCCTCCGCCAAGACCTGCTGGGGATGATAACGAGGATATGGATTAGAGAGGTGACCTTGGAATCATAAGATTAACGCTAGCCATCAGAGAAGTGCCAAAGCACAGCTAGGGGATGACGTAACTTCTGTTATATTCTTCTGCAAAAACGTACCAAGGTTTTTGTTGCTAGAAAGAAGGTAAAATAAAGATACTTCAAAGAACTCATTAATTTTCGTCGGTTAAACTCTGTACTTTCGTTTCAACTTCATCATTATAGTTGTATGTTGCATGTCGCATGAAAGGCTCATATTCATTATTTTCTTCAAAGTGTTTCTCTTGTTTTCATTTGTGAATTTGGGAAAACTAAATATTCAATTAAGCGTCAATGCAATATTATATTTCATGCTTTCTTGAAAATGCAGAAATGAAAATCGACGCACGTTTTGTAACTCTTTGCCAAAAGTGTTTCTTTGGCAATAGACACATTTTCTTTGATCTCTTTTATAACAACTAATTGTTGCTTACTTACGTGATACTACCTGTATTAAGCAACAACTATCTTGCTAGAAATCTAGCCTGTCTTTTTTGTATTTGTGATATTGCATTGTTAAAAGGTTCAGACGCCTTTTATGATTGTCGATTGAAGTTTGGTATTGTTCAACAAAAAACAGTATAAAATAAACATTACTCGCAGATTAGGCCAATCTTTATAAAGTAGGCTGTATGCCATTAATTGTGACAATAGTGTTTTCGAACAGATTTCTATTTTCCATTATTTTTCCACTAAAGCAAGGTATTCTGTACTTGCTTATTTAGGGTTCTGAAAAGTATTTATTTTACCTCTAACGTATAACGCAATAGATTTTGCTAAATGTCGATAAACAAGTAAATTCTGTGCTTTCCCTGGTGAATCAAAATAGATTTTGGCTTGCTGACAATCTCTTTTCACTGGTTGATGTTAAATTATCTGCCATGTCCCTTCTCTAACTACAAGTTACGTGTATTGTGTTTCAAATGATGAGACTCTTTCACTGTGTTTAAACTCACAGTCTTTGTATGCAGTAACTCATAAGCGGCTTTTACTTTGTTTCTACACAAGAACTTTCTCCTCCGTGGTATCATTTTGTCTTTTCAACTATTTTCTTGGCACAGCTACAGCTTTTTCGTTACAATTTCCCCTTTATTGTTGATATTTTCTTTTGCCTGCAACTTAAAGCCAACTATCTTCATCAGGCGATCATCCTTGAATGACGGATTCATTTTCATCTATGAGCTCAAAGCTGGTGACTAGGCATTCACCCCTCTGGAAATGTCACTTTTGCAGTGTTAAGTGGGCTTTTGATATACAGGCCTGATTTTATTATACAGGGAATTGATTGATGAAGCTTTAAAAACAGAACCAGATATTAAGAATCAAGTCTTTAGTATATTTAGGGCCTGTTTATATGGAGAAAATCGTCCCACCTGTGAGCTTAGAGGTGAGATCCCATCCTTCTATAGAATCTTTTGTGAATTTCGTCGTGCGTTTATAATTGAAACAAGCCAGCCCGGTTCAGTGAAACCCTACTGCATGAGAGATGGGATCTCACTGAAGAGATAGGATCTCAATGAGGTTGGATGAATTTCCTACATATAAACACTGGAAGTTTGGATCGAATCTGCATGTAAACATTTGATGATTTCATCCCACCTGCCAGATTATTGGCCGAGAGGTGGGACAAATTTGCTCATATAGAAAAGGTCCTTGGATACTGATACCACCTTAGAGTTTTTTGACACGTAAAATTACACTTTTTTCATATTCTGATTGAAGAGATTTAGCAGGATTATTTATTGGTGAAAACTGATACTTAGATTCCCAAGTGTGTTTAGTTTCAAAGTTTTAAAGTGAATGGTGCCCATTTATAAATTGATCTTTTTCACTGCGGAAGAACTCCATGACTTGACACGGCAGATGAGCTGTTATTATCAAGGTTTTGGATCAAACATTAGGCCGAGGTCAAATATTTGTTTTCAAGACAATAACAAAAGAAATTTCGACGTTTCAAAATGCTAAGCAAATTGATAATTTTAAGGGGATGCGACCCCCCCCCCCTCTGATCTGCGCCCTTACTATGGATACCTGATAGCAAACACACTGAGCTTAAACAATACATTGATTTTTTTGATGAAAAATATAGCCTAGACTCTATTTTTGTAACAAGTGCATTTATAGAAATCTCTAATACGTGCGATATGCATAATGTATCTTTTAGAAAAAGATTTATCTTTGCGTAGAAAGAGATGGTTTGGTTATCTGTTATCTGAAAGTTTGCATTTGAGTTCATAACGTTAGACAATCTAAAAATGTAAAGTTAATCAATTTTGAATCCCATCTGGTTCTAAGCCTGGATTGTATGCTAGAAAATTTGGGGTAGACCTTAAGTCTCTGCGCATGACAATCAGACTCAGGGGAGACAGCTGAACCTTGCAACGGATTGATAAATTGAGACTTTGCAGGGACGCCAGAACACATATTGGGGTGGTGGGGTGGGCTAAAGACGAATTGGAAAACTTTTATGGCAGTTTATTCTTGGTACGACAACATGAGGTTTCAATGAAGAATATTTAGAGAAGTGTTACACTAGTGCATGTAAACAGGACAAGCATTATTCCTCTCATTATGCATACTCTACTAGAATCAGATTTCCAACTTGGTCAGGTGATGGAGGCGTTTCGATTTTCTTCTAAGTGCTTTCATCGGCCCCTCCCTCCAGTCTCTACTCTATGAAGGTCAGTAATTTTGATCTTAAAAGGCACATATGAATAGGATATTTTGCAAATTATCGAGCGCTCTTATTTCTTCAAGTATTACAATTCTAGCAAACAGCAAAGAAATATTCAATTTTTATCAGCTTACGTTGCCATTAATAACTTGAATCTAGATGTTGAATTTTGCTTTTTATTAACACGTTGTGCTTGCCTTTTGTAACCATAATTTTCTTCCATTGCCTTGGATGATCTGATCCATGCATTGACTAAGTCAAATTTCCTACCCTGTCTTATTGTAATTTATAGCATTTGTAAACGAAAAAGGCTAGATTGAGGTTTTCCTGTACATAGCAAACATAAATCCCAAACAACCGTCTAGATTTAGCTTCTTTCTACCGTGCAAAATCAACACACTTGTGAAACTGTGACAAAACTATGCAAATTCCTTTCCTGTTTTGGCCTTTCCAGCAAACTAAGTTGAAATCCCCTTCAAACCAAATAGCAATTGTTTTAACAAGAGGTAAAATGACATAAGTATATCATTAATGATGACAAGGTTTTCATAAGTAATCGCAAATCAGAACTTGTAAGATAAATGGACATCTTAGAAATTTTTTTGTTGCTTTCAGTATAAATTTCACGTTTACTGGTCATGAGGTTCTTTGTCAAGTTCATTTTTGCAACCTTTTATTCTTAGACACCAACAATCGCGTTGCACTGATGGCCCCCGGAAACTGCTCTCCTATACCCCAGTCGATGTTACTTCATTCTCTAACCTAAAATCCCCCCCCCCCTCCACCGAAACATTTCTCCAAGCTCTCACCAAATCCCCGGAACTCCAAAGTTTTTTAAATCTACGCAACCAAATAGATGTTAAATTATACCTGATTTCTCTTGCAGGCGATTAAATCAGAAATATTTTTTTATGTTAGTTTGTGTATGTTTTTATAAGAACTTTTGGTATGTCTTGCTGACTCATAATTGAGACTTTAAAGCAAATAACACAACTTTATCTCACTTGTTGGCCTTGTTAATTAACATTTCAATGAACTTCGTTTCTTAAAGATCCCAGCATAAACATTGAATGCAGCATTGGCTGTTAGGGCACTCCTATATACGTAGCCATTCAAATCGTCCATTGAATTTCTTTTGTCTGAAGCGTGAAGGCTTTGTCTTGCGTGGCTGTTAGAAAGATTAATTTTTCTTGCCTTCAAATTATATAAAATTTTGATTCCGAATGGAGTAAGATATGGTTTATTTAGCTGTGAATCCCCTCAGATTTTTTGCAGAATTTTTTGAAATTCTTTTATCATTTAAATGAAGTTCCTTACCCGTACGCCTCTCGCCAGTCTTTGATCACACAAAGAAGGCCCTTTGTTTTTGAATTCAATAGGCAGTGTTTCAACGAAAACTTGGGTTTCTGCCCCCAAAATTCACTCCACGTTCATTTGCTTTGCACCAAACGATGCAGAAGAATTTTCTCTTTCTAATGGTTATTTTGGTAAAATTCTACGACATTTCTTCGCAAAGTTATTAAACATTTTATGCATTTTTGGCAAGGGGGATTCAGGTTTGCATAAAGAAGTTCAGAAAAAACAATAGGCTTGTGATTCCCAGACTTTCTAAAGAATCCAGTTTTTCGCCAATAGCTCCTTCGTTATTTAAGATATAAAATTGTGAGTGGTACCAATAAATTTTCCGGCCCGAGCTCCATCTGTTGGTAGGCTAATTTTTAAATTTGGACCAGTGGTTGCTGAGTTATTAACTACTTTTGGTCCCAAAAAGTGCCAAAACAGGTTTTTCGAACCTCCTGGCTCTGATACTGCAAATATACTTTTGGCAACAGCTTCAAAAAATCGGCAAGGTGATTTCGCATCGTTTGACACATTGCTTGTTTTTTTTTGAGCCCGAACGGCTGAGATATTTCGATTTTTCTCGAAAAGTCAAAGTGAGAAAAATTTTCAAATTGCATCGCAGCGTCAAAGAGCTCCCGGCTACATGAGTGCGGTGGCGCGCTGCAAAATTTCGTCTTTTTTGACCAAAAAACAAGTGTTTTGAGAGATTTAAAGGACGGAAAACAAAATAAAAGGATAAATGAATATATTAAAGCAGTTATTAAAAGCTTTAAAGAAGTTTGAAGAGTTTTCACAGTTTTGCTCAACTCTTGGAGTCTGCTTGGTAGGGGAAACCCCCGAAAAACAAGACAGTTCGTTTGTTTACGTTTTAACTTCAATGTAAAGATATTGCCTGAGTGTAGAAAACCAAAAATTGCAAATAAAAGCACTAAAGTTGTCCATTTTTGGGTCTTTATATCAAAATTCACGCTCAAAATATCAATCTTATCTGCCAGGATGTTGCAAGGGTTCCTACACGAAATTTAGGCCACTTTGCCGACAGTGAAGTTTCCTTTGTCTATTAAACAAGAGAGTGATTTTTTAAGCCTAATGCAGTTAAATGTACAAATTATTGACAAAATAGGCATCAATTTCTAGCAAGAACTCCTTCTTATACACGATAAAGCAAGTTAAATGTTTTTGAGTAAGTAAACAAACTCGAATTAGTAGAATGGACCCTCATATAATGCAATTGACACCCCTACTCAAATCCTCCTTTCGGTCGAATTAAGCTACAAGAAATACACTGTAGATCAACACAGGTTGTCAAAATTGATAAAAGATATGCAAGCATTTACAATCAAAGCACGAAAACTTTTTTGATAGAGGTTATCAGGCTATCATCACATTTTAAGCTATAGAGGTTGGCTTCAGACACATCAATTTCCAGAAAAATCGAGAAAACCATCTAAAAATCGAATCTCTAGGGCTAGAAAGATGTTGAAACTCTCTTTAGATAAGTTTGGAACTCTAAAAGTAATAAAAACAACGAAAGTTTGGTAAAAAAAGACAAACCTTACAGCGCGCCACCGCATTCACACAGCCTAGAGTCCTTCGACGCTGCGATGCAATTTGAAAATTTTTCTCACTTTGACTTTTCGAGAAAAATCAAAATATCTCAGCCGTTCGGGCTCAAATAAAAACAAGCAATGTGTCAAACGATGCGAAATCACCTTGCCGATTTTTTGAAGCTGTTGCCAAAAGTATATTTGCAGTATCAGAGCCAGGAGGTTCGAAAAACCTGTTTTGGCACTTTTTGGGACCAAAAGTAGTTAATAACTCAGCAACCACTGGTCCAAATTTAAAAATTAGCCTACCAACAGATGGAGCTCGGGCCGGAAAATTTATTGGTACCACTCACAATTTTATATCTTGAATAACGAAGGAGCTATTGGCGAAAAACCGGATTCTTTAGAAAGTCTGGGAATCACAAGCCTATTGTTTTTTCTGAACTTCTTTATGCAAACCTGAATCCCCCTTGCCAAAAATGCATAAAATGTCGAATAACTTTGCGAAGAAATGTCGTAGAATTTTACCAAAATAATCATTAGAAAGAGAAAATTCTTCTGCATCGTTTGGTGCAAAGCAAATGAAATTTGAGTGAATTTTGGGGGCAGAAACCCAAGTTTTCGTTGAAACACTGCCTATTGAATTCAAAGACAAAAGGCCGCCTTTGTGTGATCCAAGAGCATAAAAAAGTGTACGGGCCAGGGACTTCAAATAAATGAGTTAAAAATTCAGAAAAAATCTGAGGGGCTTTGTCGCCTATAAAACCATTCTTTCAGCAGTACTACGACCAAATTTTGTTTATTCGGAGGGCTAGAAAAATAAATGACATCCGAAGTATAATGACAAAGCCTTCACGCTTAAGACAAAAGGATTTCTATGGACAGTTTGAATAGCAATGGAAGCGGAGAGCTTGTTTCGTATTGAGAAACTTTACTCTCCAGGTTCAAGAATGCAGAAAACAGGATATCAACGACAAGCAAACATAGCAGAAGCCTGTAAAATCAATAAATTCAATGCACAAGCAAAGAAAACTTACTCTCAATCCAGGAGAACAACTTAAAACTTTCTTTGATCTCCATATTACATAAACGACGACTATGTAAATTAAAGAATAATATATGGCGTCAGCAAATTATTTTTGGCGGTTTTCAGGAATGTTTGCCCCAGACCCTTTACTGATTTGGATCCCATTGAAAAGGTTAAGTAGAATTTGGCCTTTATTATGACAAGATAATTCTATTTTTATCTTATGGTAGGTACGAAACCATGAAATGGCTTCATATCCTTTAATTTCAGCTACTCCAATGTCACTTTATAGTACCACCTGTTCAGACATTCAGTTACAAAACAATAACAAAGCAGAGTATGCATTTATGCACAAAATGTCAAGTTCATGCTTCATCTTTGTCATTCTGAAGTTCTGGATACCACGAACGTCAATCCCGGTCTTCTTAAAGATCATGCCATTATTATGGATCCATCATCTTGCTCCAAATTTGTCATACTCAACATTCATCTGTAAAAATTAATAACATTTAGCAAACTCTTCTGAGAGACAAGCAATATTGAACTATTAATTAGTATTTGCAAGCAAAGAAACCTAAAGGGAACACAATTACGAGTCATATGATTTTGAACTCCGTTCCCCTTCTTGGACAAGGAGATGCTTATACAAAGGAGAAAGGGCCGCAGCGGCTATTGAAATTGGGGGTAGGGTACCCTAATAATCTATAAACTTATGCGTTTTATGAGACAAAATTGGATAGCATTGTGATATAGCATTCTAACAACGTCCAAATGGTCTGCATGCTTATACAAAGGACCGTAACGGCTATTGAAATTGGGGGGAGGGTATGCTAATAATCTATAAAGTATAGTGTTTGTTCTCTAAAACTCTTTGCGTTTTATGAAACAATATTGGACAACAGTGTGATATCAATGTGTGATACAGCATTCTAACAATACCCAAATGGTGTGCAAAAATATGTTCTGCGACGTTGCCCCATAGATACCATTTTTATCCCCCCGGATTATTTTCCTCTCGTTTCGGCCCTGATACATCAAGTTAAACTCCAAACATGGAAATATACCAAACAATAATAGACTTGTTTGTGATACGCCTCAGACTCCAAGATTCTATGTCATTACTGCACAAGAAACATGTCGTTATTAAATGAAATATAATGATAAAGTTTTGTGTGTGATTTCTGTGTAATTTCTAGAGTAATTGTTTATATTTCAGATGAAACGATTGCTTGGGAAAACAATTTTTTAGCTGGTGATGCTAGGGGAAGGCCCAGAAGCCCATAGCTAGGCATTAACAAGGGAAAGGGAGGAGGGATTTGGAAGAGAAGGAGTAAAGATCAAACTTGCTTATTTCTTCTTTGAATAAATACAGGCGGTAAGAATCTGGGAAGCAGGATGCCAGCTACCCTCGCTCTATTCCATCTTCAAAACCTCCCTCTTATTTGAAGGTCTTTTAAAATACTTTTCGAATGCTTTTGGGGATATTTTGGAGCTGTGTGGCCCACATTATTGCCATGAAACGTGGCACATTTAATATGGTAAAACGGGACCTATATATCTGGGGGGGGGGGGGGGGGGGGGGGCTGTTGCTGCAGAAATTACCTTTCTTTAAAAGGCTGTTCGAAGAAAAAAATATTCCTTTCAAAGAAATTTGTTTAGAAGATGTCTCAGAGTTGATCCTGGCGATTCTGATGAAAATGAGGACATTACAACTGATTAATTTTAAGAAACGTTCGAAGCTGCCAGCAAAGTTTTGAAGAACTGTTGTATAACCTTTTTTACCAAAAAATGCAAAGTAAATACATTTTTATAACGTTTTTTACTATGAATTATTATCAACCCTCCCCTCTCTAATAAGCCCCCCTATAGGACTGAACAAATAAATAAGCCCCCCCCCCCAGGGCTTAATAGAGCTTTTACGGACTACAAGTATAGGGCAACAATTATTTATAAAATACAGAAAAGCCCATTCAGAATTTTGATAATGTATGTATTCTAGGAACTTCTTGTATGCAAGAAGGAGATCTGTTCCAATTTTTTTAAATTGTTGGATAAAGGAAAAGTACGAGCACATGGAGATATCACTATGACCAACTTCAATGGATCTTATCCATTACATGACTGAATTAAAGATGGTTCGATTAACAGAATCCTGTGCAATTCAAGTGCATGAATCAGACTTGGCCACGACTTTGTCGGAAATCAAACTTCTGAGGAATTCCTATCAGTTAAACAATTTCTTATCAGTTGATGACTGGACTGATTATAAAAAAAATGGCAACACTATTAGTCGATACTTTTTTTAATTTCTGTGTTATCTTCTTAATCTAAATATGAGATTCCATCTAACATTGTGTCACAAAATTACAAGACTTCGCAAGTAGGACCATTCTTAACAGGAATAAAAGTAAATAGATCAACTGATAAATTTGCTTAATCTAAAAAGAAGAAAATTTTCAGATATCAAATACCCTTGTTAGTCTAGCTCTTGTAGAGGGACATAACACATATAACCTTCTTATAACCTTCTTAAAACTTCTAATTAGAGATTTGGTGCTTCAGTTCCCTAACTTCTTTTTCTTTCCAGATAAAGAATAAATTTTTTACGAGCGAATGCTAATTTTTTAATAGTTTTCATAGCAGCTCTTGTCGTGATGTATAAAATCCACAACTGTAAAAAGAAATTAAAGTATTATGACCATACTGTTATTTGGGGGTAAGGTGCTTAACTAGCTAACTAGCTAACTAGCTAACTAGCTAACTAGCTAACTAGCTAGCTAGCTAACTAACTAACTAACTAACTAACTAACTAACTAACTAACTAACTAACTAACTAACTAACTAACTAACTAACTAACTAACTAACTACCTAACTAACTAACTAACTAACTAACTAACTAACTAACTAACTAACTAACTAACTAACTAACTAACTAACTAACTAACTAACTAACTAACTAACTAACTCAGAAACCAATAAAACTTCTGGTCATACCTATCAATTATGATCCAGTTGCTTCAGTCTTTTCATCTTTTCTTCTGGTAAATCATAGAAGACTTTTTTTGGATAACGTCGCAGGAAAACGAAATCCTTGACGTCATATTGATCAGCATTGCTATGCCAAACAGTGAGTGAGTAGCTTTCTTTTTCTCCTAAAAGCCACAGAAGCTGTTCTTTTGACGCTGCAATTAGAGAAGCTCTAACAGGAAATGTGACAGGTTGCTGCAGGTTTTTCACAAGGGAATGCATGTCTTTTACCATTTTCCATGAATAGCCTAGCAAAAAATAAAAAAAATTCGCACACGTGAAAAGATGGCTTTCGCCTGACCAACACCAGTCCCCCTCCCCATCGAGCAAAATTCTTACTAGATGATGTTTTTGTGCCATCAAACGTCGTAAGAACATGTTCAGCCTCAGACGAAAAGGTTAAAAAAAGTAATATGCTTTTGAAAATGTTACAGAAACAGAGGAGACTTTATCAGCAAATCGTACGTGTTTGGCAGACGAGTGAGGCAAAGACAATTTTTTGTTTGATATTTTGCATGAAATGAAAATACCATCATCATGAAATGAAATTTGTTCTTTATAGGAGGCTAAAGAGTTACCAAAGAGTTGACAATTTGCAACTCCATCTAAAAAAACAGTGACAGCTCCCCGGGTGTTTGTAGCCCTAAGATAACAGTTAGTAGGGTAGCAGGGATGGAACGACTGATTAACAACAAACTGAATTGATAAACATACAAAATAACCTAAAACATACAATATGGCGTTACTCGAGAAATAAAAGACAGGTTTTCTGTTTAAACGCCAATCATTTCAAAAATCAAATCTGCAAATGATAGATTCCTTATATTGTGGATGGTTCTGATCATAAATGAAGCAAAAGTTTGTATTGACGTGAAAAAATTATACAACCGTCAACTTTTTGACAATTGGTTTTTAATAATAGATTGATTCTTGACAAAACATTACATAGGCTATTTGCCAGTCATAAAAATGCATTTGATCAGGCATACCTTCCGGTGATGACATATTTGTTGGCTTTCTAGTTGTCCAACCAGGAGACAACATACTCGTACTATCATACTTTTGACACAGAGCAAGAAATTTCTGAGCATCTACAGGCACTGATGAAGGATTTTCAGGGCCTTCTAGTATATCAGCATTTAGAATGATAGGTGGAAGTCTACCAGAATGATTTCTTTTGCTTTCTTCTAAGATCTGTAGCGATGGCTCAACCACTACAATCTGTTTGAAGTCCAGCTTCACACCTTTTGGGGATGCATATCCAAAAACGCTTGCAAGGAATTGCACCAATGTCAAATCACTGGAATTAGCAGGAGGGTGTGCCATGATTGGGATGTTCTGTAGTGGATCAATAAGAATATCAGCTTCAAGTATCATAATATTCGAATCTGTGAGGGACTTATTGAGTTTGGACCTGCTATTTACAGCATGGGCAAATTTCAGGTCAATTCCATCCGTCAAACCGAAGAATTCTAGCATCCTGGTACGATATTTGTTCCCATGAAGAACTCCACCACACCTCTGTTGAAAAATCACCACTATTGTGATTGCAGCTGAAAAAGAGAGCAAACTAGGGTTAATGAAAACTAATGTTTATCAGCCTGTCATATAGAGCACGATGCCGAATAGGCAGAGCTGTACACGTTTTGGTGAATAGAACAGGGCAGACAGGGGTCTCAAAATTTGCTGGGGAGCATAATTTCTTCAAATTGATTTAGAAGGTAGTAAGGAGGTGACTAAAACTATTCAAATGGATAATCAAGGATACTTCGATTTCCTACTATCATCCAGTTATCAAAAAATATTTTAGGATTATAATTTTGGCACTTTATAAAATAAATAACCTTGGATAGAGATTTTGGCATTTCTGCTTCAGTCAGTCCCCCATCGTATGTTAAACTCCTGAGCAGAGGCGTTGTGGCTCCTAGAAGAGGGCCGGGAAAAATAACTACAAAGGGCCCCATACTTTCCAGAAAACCATTTTTTGCTATTGGTGCAAGCAAGGCAGTTGGATAAAATTGCATAAATAGTGATGACACAACAAAGGAGATGGCCCCACCAAATTAAAACTGGGGGAGCTAAGAATCCAGCTTAGTGACACCATGGTTGGGTTTGACGTGAAAGAAAATTTTTGAAATTAAGCCTTTTGGGATGGCTAAAAATGCATCTCCTAGACCAAAATCCAACAATTTACTATACCCCCCAGAACAGACAATTTGACGATTCTCTGAAAAGCATCAATGTTGATGTTTACGAAAAATTTGGAAGAAGAGGAGTCATGTTAAAACTTTTATGACAGACGTTGGGGAAAGAAAAAGGGTGACCTTTGGTTCAGAGGGTACATCGATGTGAATAACAAGAAGCTGTTATATTTATTGAGAGAGTTTTACTTCTTGAACAGAAATGTGCATCTCGTGTATTTTCAGTAGGCAATATTTACATATCCAAAATGCATACAATGTAATGAAGCAGAAAGTTATCTACTGAATCGATGCAAATAATAGAGAAATAATAGAAATGTGCCTAAACAAGTTATTAAATAGATCAAATAATCAAGCAGTATATAAACTGTTTGTTCTCTTTTACACACTCTGTTTTTTAAAAATAATAAAGAGACAGTCAGAACTTTTCATCTCTGATATAGTGGGGGAGTTTCAGCCGCCCCCAGCCCCCCACGTCGGGCCATCCCTGAACAAAAGCACTTCTTGGAGAGTTCTTCAGTCAACTTTTGCTAAGCTAGAGATCTTTGAAAGGGCATTTCTATCATATGTAAGCAGTTTCGATTTTTGTGTGAAGCTTTCAGGCTAAAATGTAGCTAGATCTCGCTATACCTCTTTGCTTTTTGGAAATCTTCTACAGAAGACTTTTCAAGTCACATTAAATGTTGCATGAGAAGTTGTGACTGTAAGCAGAGAATGACTGGAAAACGGGCAAAATTGAGCAGCTTTTTAAGATTTAGAATAACATGTTATGTGACGTGGAGTGACAATAAGAGGAGTCCACTTCAACCCCTCAAATAGCCACATCGACTAGCTACCCTGGCGAGTCCTCCTCTGTATTTATAAGCGCTTTCTCGTACAGGCTCTCAAAAAATTTGCCTCCATCTGAAAACTATTTAATTAATAGGCCTCCAAGGGCTAATTCTTAGATTCACGGTATTCTCGAAAGCAAAGGCCCTCCCATCAGGTCGCCCAAGCTTTATTCTAGCGAGTCATCTTCTGTTTGACCCTCATTCCTTTAAATTCCACGCGGCCCATTCACGAGGCCCTTTATGTTTAAGTTTATCTCCAAATCTTTAGTTCATAACTATGAGCTTGATTTTTTATATAGATGAAAGATTATTTCAGCAAAGAATTTATTCCCTTGAAATATTTTCCAGGGTTTTACAAAGTCACTTGTAAGGGGCCCACCGAGAAATTTCCCGCCTAGCCACAACGCTCCTGCTCCTGAGGTCGTTGGAATGAAATTTATATTAAGAGATGCCCGTTCAGATGCTTCCTTATTAGTTCTCTGTTATAAAGAAATGCAAGACAATCACTTTTGGAGGCCCTGTCATATGTCTTTGCCGATCAATTATACTTTTTATGACTACCCCAAAGATACATGCAAGCAATGTGTACAAGAGGGGCAAGGCCGTAAGAAAAGGGGCAAAAAAACTAAGAAAATTGCTACATTTCGCTACATTTTGCAGTGCGCTCATTACCTCACACATTGTATGGGTTACCTTAGAACCACAACCCAACTTACACTGACAAATCTGTCTTAATATGCCTCCGTACTTTCTGAAACAAGTTTGAAACAGCAAACGACTCGTTTGAGGGTGTTCCTTTAAAAGGCAGTAATTTAAATTAAATTTAAAGGCAGTAATTTAAAGGTTATCCTTACCAACCAAAATGATAGCTATTAGGACCACCGCAACTATTCTTTTTCTGCGATCGTAATCTTTTTTCTCGTGAACATCTTTCTTTGATCCCATTTCTAGAGAAATCTGCTACAATACCTAGGAATAAGAGAACGCTGATTAGTGGTAAGAAGGAAAATAGCTTCAAAATCGAAAAGAGGTAGCTGCCTTCGTGAAAAGAGGCAGTTGACAATCACTCCTGGAAAGATATGACTCTGAAGGGTACTTGATTGGATCTGTATCAAAGTAAACAGATTGATGGGAATATTCTATGTAGATTGACCATCTGAAAAAATCAACGTCAACCTTTACACAAAGTCTCAGTTAAAACGTTTCAAATATCATGCGATTCCTAAAACTGAAAAGCAGTATGTCCTATTTTGTTGCCAACCCATCCACTTGTATCGTTGGACCTTGTGAAGGCTGGGACAGTTTGGTCATTTTCACGTCACCTGAAATATTTGTCAGAGCCAGACAAATTCTGCTCAACTTTGTGTTCTTAATCTTACCCCTAATTTCTGGATAATTTGCTCTAATTCTGCTTTTAAAGCGAAATAATTTTTAGTTTTGTTTGGTCGCTTCTCCTATCCATTTGCCAGTCTCGCTTTCATACTGGCCTCAAAATCAAAAGCACCGTTTTTCTTTTATTCTCTGTCGAGGCTCAATGTTCATTCACACAAAAAGATTTATTATCGTTCTATGGACGTTTTGGTTTCATTTCTCGGGATACTCGTTGTCTTCTCAGACTCACATAAAAAATCCTTGAACTTCCTAAATCATACTCCACTTCTCGTGAATTCGAAGTGTTCGCTTACTTAAAATAAAATGGATAGAATATTTTCACATTCCTGTTTTATTTTGTCTTCGTTTGCTCCGCCCTTATCCAACAGCCTAACATTTTCAAGTTCTTTCGTTTTCTCCCTCTTTGTGGTCATGTCAAAATAGCACGAAATTCCCTAAAACTGGAATTTTGCTTCAAAACAGTCACAAAATCACGTCTCCTCCCTTTAGGTGCCATGTTGTGGCAAGGTCACAAAATAAGAAATTTGTGGCAAGGTTGGGTATCGCCCTGATAAACAACGACGATTACAGATGCGTATGCCTAAATCGATTGCAGGTTTGGATAACAAACCACGACATGCACCAAAAAGAGCAAACAAGCAAAGCTAGGAAAAACTACAGCAACAGCAAAAAGAGAAATGTTTAACCTCACGTAGTTTAATTCGTCTCTGATTCAAATCGCCTTGCAATTTAGATCAATATTCTCTCATACAAATCTCCAACAAGCATCGAATTTGAAGCAAAGAAATTGTATGCGCAAGCTATTGTTCTCGTGCTTCTTATGTCATCACAATACGGAAGTAAATGGCAGCGGCAAAAGAAAGCAAATCACAGTAGAGCCACATAGTGAGAAGATTATCTCAAAATTCCAAAAATAAAACAAAAAATTTTGGTGGGGTAGGTTTTCTTGTTAAATTCATTCTTTTGGGGCCAGGGACCGATCCCAGCGGCAGGGATGGAGGAGGGGGTGGCTAGATAATGATTGTGTTTGGTGCCACGCCCTTCATATGTCTGGAAAATGTCGGATGTTGAAACTAAAGCTAAAATAAACGTCTACCAGGGTCATTAATCATTAACTAGGGTCATCACGGTCATACCAGGCTTTCCATTTTATTAATTCAATTTCATAACATCATTTATTTCCAAGGATATTGTCAGTTCGGTTGATAGGTTATTTCATAGAACTTTTTTATCTCTGCAGTCTTCAGATTGTTTTACCTTGGATCAAAGAAAAAAAAAGCAAATACTTTAAAATTTCTCTCACGTCAAAACAAAAAATAATCATTCAATTTCTTTAACAATCGAAACTCCGTAGATGGCAATACCATATTTGGCCATAAACTATCGTTAACAAGCCTCTACATACCTCATGATATTGTCTAGGAAATTTTGCGGCTTAGGCCAGTGGTCACCATACATATATATAACCGCATTTAGTGTGGAGTTTGGAGTAGCAACTTAGGACAGTCCTGTTCTATACACGTACACTAAAAAGCGTATATATTTTTATGCCTTTATAAATCTTTCTTGGCCACTGTAAACTACCTTTTTGGCCCAACGTTTTCTTACTCTTGCAACCTAAGAGAAGCTTTGACATAATTATCTCATATTCTGCCTAATATAACTACATTACTGAACTTTCAAAATTAATCTGTGTTGTGAAATATCGTAAAATAAACCCAACGACGGGCTGTTGCTACCATTTTTTGAATTTTCTGTTTATGCGTCACTTGTTTCTCGAACTTTTGTTTATGCTTTTCTGTTTCTCGAATTCAAAATATCAATCAAAGGTGGATCTAAAAATTGAAACAAAATATTCTATGTTCATCAAAAGATGTCTCAAAAAGCAAATTTTCGAAAAGTAAACTAGACATGATACATCTCAGTTTATGTCAATATTATCTGGCTGTGTTATCTGGGAAATGATCTCTTTAATATCTGAGTTCCCAAAAACTTTTACCCCATCTCATACTTGTTCGTGAACCTTAGGATCAAATGCTGAATTTACTTTGTCTTTTGCTTCTATTGCATTTTTTACAGCTTTTCTACCTTTAAATTCACGCAAAATGCTATTTAAACTCACTGACAAAAGGTATTTATGACGTTCAGCATGTATTGCATCAACTCATCCAGCTTGTACAGAACCTGCCAGTGGCGAGGCTAGCCCCTAGGTTTCGTGGGAGGAGGGGCTGGGGGGGGGGTACAGCCACTTTATTTTTACCATCAGAAATCGCTCTTTTACCAAAGGGGCACGCCAAATTTACCAGTTGTGAACCCCAGTGACAAACGTTTGGTTAATTAATGACAGTTTCAAAACCATACAACCATGTCATAAAAATACTTTTTCCAAATCTCACCCTTCCAACAAAATTTCTCGTTTTATTTAGACGAACTAAAAAATCGATTGTTGAGAAGTGAGAGCGTGTCCCCCCAGTCCCCCCTTCCATGGAGACGCTATGGGAACCTTCAAAAATTCTGCCCTGGGTTTTGTTATATTAGCAATCTGGTGAAAGTTACGTTAGAACCGAGGGGGGGGGGATACTCCCATTAAGGCTTGAAAGGGGGGTCCAGTCGATTTGAGGGTCTTACCAAATGACTACCAAATGGCCCAGTTTCGATAAAAACAGAACGTTTTAGTTTAGCTAAAGGATCAGGCGCGTAAAAAGAAATTGATGCTACCAGTGTTGTCAAAAAACACTACCATTTGAGGATAACTTTTCAAAATTTTAGCTTTTGCCCTCATTGACCCTGATTGGACCCCCCTGTTAGGCCATAATGGGAGTACCCCCCTGGGCCTTAGAGTCACAAGACCAACTTGCAGGCAGCTAGGAACTCGCTGTTGCTTTCATACATCGGGGACAATGCAAGTACATTATAAAGAGTGGATTCTGTAACTTGAAACCGGTGCGTCTGTCTGTAATTCCCATTTACTTGCTAGCAGGATGTTTGAGGACTAAATTATCTTTGAATAAAAAGTCTAAAAAGAGTATCTTCGAAGGCATCATGTTAATGGCTTTACATTGAAAACCACTTGGCCAATTCACAACTTCGTTATTCTTTAAAACTGTGTCAATACAGGTGTAACTAATATTTAGCTGTCCATCATTTCAACAACAGAGAAATCTCAAGATTTCAAGGCTATTTTCGATAGCTTTGATAGAGGATTTATCTTGGAAAGAATTGGTCGTCAGATGTGTGCAGAATAACGCGGTTATACAGCAGATGCTTAGCTTTAACCAGCTTTTCATGATCGAGTACAATTACGGAGGAAGAGAGTAAATTTAGTAAGTGAGTAACAAGGAAGAGAGTAAAGGGGTTGAGAAGTTTTGGTTGTGGTTCATTCTGGAAAAAAGTGAGTTTTCTCCTTTGAAATTTCCGCTGGTAAGTTTGGTTAAATTTATTTAAAACACGTAACACATCAAACGGAGATTGGACATGATGTTGATGTTGAACAAATCGCTGTTGATTTTTCCGTTCATACAAGAACAAGATGATATGGCTCTTGATAGCTTTACCCCACTTTTTCTCCATATTTCAAGAGTTTGATTATTAGAACTATGCGCTTTTTTGAATGGACTCTTGTGTTATTCTCTCAAATATGAAACTGTCATTAACGAAGAGGCAAATTGACTGTGTGGAGGTCTTATTCAAACTTTGAGATCACGAGATTCGATCATATTCCCCGAAGAGCTATAAAACCATTAACAATTGGACGGCTGGCGTTATTTAGAAAGTAGCTTCGTACTACAGTAGATAGATCGATACCTAAATATGTCAATAATTCAAAGAAACACGTCTATTTCGCTAGATGCCATTAACAGGAAAAGATCTGCACCTTCAGTTTTAGCGGGCCAATCTCTATGTCTAATAGAGTTGACTCTAAGATCTATTTCCTGCAACTCCCCTGCTCATATCGTACAATGCACATCTTGCTTTGCACCAAGTATTTGGGGGCTTTGGGGTTAGGCACCCTGGGAGCTTTTTAGAGGGCGCTCAGCCAACCCTAGCAGCTTTTCAATGCAGAACAATTGAAAACAGCAAAAAAGCATTGCCATTAGACCCCTGTCCACTAAAAACCAGAAATTATCAAGCTCTAAAAGTAGAGTAATGGAATAGTAAAATTACATGGCGATCGCTTATTCCATCTCTGAATTTAATGTTACCAATTTATCCGGTGCCACGAAGGCCCATTCAACATAACTTTTTCCTAATAATCTGCTTTCTTCTTTTGTTTAGGTTAAGGTGCCCCAATGTATTTCAACGGAACACACAAGACAAAGACATGTTTGATTCTGGTATAGCCGCAATTCTAGATGAATGAATAAAAGAGAGTGTACTGAAAAGCAGAAAAGACACAGAGTACAGAATTCCACCAGAAAGATGATCTTGCAAAATTCAACTTTCGCAAATAGCAGCAATTTGAAGCCAGAACATACGTTTACTAACGCGGAAGATATTATAACAAAACTTTTATACATTGTGATAGCTTTTGTAAACTTTGCTGGAAACTTTGTGCTGATTTTTGTCATCTGGAAGCAAAAGAGAATTCACAATACTGTGAATCTTCTTCTGTTGAATCTTGCACTAGCAGATATTGTTTCTGGCATCGCGATATTCCCGTATCTTTTCATCAAAGGACGTTCTGATATAATTTGTGGAATCAAGGATGGCCTGCCTATTTTCCACGCAGCATCAATGGTCAATTTTCTAACGCTTGGACTTTTGTCTCTAAGTCGATATATGCTCATAAACCACCCTACTAGGCCAAAATGGCGGATCAGAAAAAGATCCGTGAAATGGCTAGCTTTGTGCACATGGCTGACTGGAACGATACTTGTGATACCAAATGTTGTATTATCTCGCTATAGCCAAAGCACAAGAATCTGCGAATACCACTGGTTGAATGGATTTGCTTCAAAGCTAGCCTTTGTGGTAACAAACGTCATTGCAGGTACAGCACTATTCGCTTTAATATTCACTTACTTCTCGACGGTATACACCCTGTGGTTTAGGCCAACAGCAAGGCGACTTACACGGAGTAACTCTATATCAAGCACGCAGTCAAGCCGAAAAAGAGTGAGCATTCTTCTTGGCATGCTAATAGTAGCATTTCTGGTTTGCTGGGTTCCGTTCACAGTTTACTGGGTACTGTCTGCTGGGTTGGACC